CTGCTGCTGCTGCTGCTGCTGCTGCTGCTGCTGCTGCTGCTCTTCAGTTTGCTGCAGCGCCACCGTACAAGCCACCAACTTGGGCATGGGGTAGCCTGTGAAATGGCCCGAGTGCATGTGCGCCAGCTGCAGCCTGCAGCAGCAAACCCCACCTGCTGCTGCTGCTGCTGCTGCTGCTGCTGCTGTTGCTGCTGCCCCCCTCTAGCAAGAAACAGCAGCAGCGGCAACGGAAGCAGCAGCAGCAAGAAGAGAGACAGCGGCAGCGAAAACAGCAGCAGCAGCGGCAGCGAAGACAGCAGCAGCAGCACCAGCAGCAGCAGCAGCAAGAACAGCAGCGGCGAGGACAGCAGCAGCAGCTGCTGCTGCTGCTGCTGCGTAGGGTTTAGGGTTCAGGGTTTAGGGTTTAGGGTTTATACTTTGCAAGAAAAAGAATCTCTTGAGGAGTTAAAAGCTGCTGCCGGGGTTTGTGGGTGAAGATGCAGCCAATAAGCTCAAGGCCGAGTCTAGCAGCAACTGCTGCTGCTGCTGCTGCTTCTGCGTCTGCTGCGCTGCTCTGCAGCAAACGAAAGCCGTCCGTGGTCCCCTCCTGCAGCAGCAGCAGCAGCAGCCGCAGCAGCCACAGCAGCTGCAGCAGCAGCGCCACAACCCCCAACGCACCCCAACCACCGCCCGCACCAGCACCAACACCCGCAGCAGCAGCAGCAGCAGCAGCAGCAACAGCAGCAGCATCATCATCATTAGCAGCACCATCATCATCAGCAGCAGCAGCAGCATCAACAGCAGCATCATCAACAGCAGCCCCATCATCACCAGCAGCAGCAGCAGAGCCGCAGCAGCAGCACCCGCACCATCATCACCATCACCAGCAGCAGCAGCAGCAGCAGCACCCGCACCATCATCACCATCACCAGCAGCAGCAGCAGCAGCAGCAGCAGCAGCAGCAGCAGCAGCAGCAGCAGCGGACCTGGGGGGGCTCGTAGATGGCCTCGCAGACGGCGCGGAGGCCCAGGGGGTAGTGGGGGTCTTCGCGGAAGTAGCCAAACATGAGCCCCACGCGCTGCTGCAGCAGCAGCAAGTTTTGCTGCCAAAAAGAAACAAAACTTCGAACTTCTGCAACATTCATCAACTCCAAGTGGTCCACGTGCCGGTACCCCTGGTGCTTCAGGCTCACTGGCGCTGGCAGCTGCAGCAGCAGCAGCAGCAGCAGCAGCAGCAGAAGCAGCAGCGCAGCAGCAGCAGCAGCAGAAGCAGCAGCGCAGCAGCAGCAGCAGAAGCAGCAGCGCAGCAGCAGCAGCAGCAGAGGAACGGGCAGTGCAGCAGCAGAGGGGGGACGGCCGTGCAAAGAGGCAGCGGACGGGAAGGACGTGGCGGGATCTAGGGTTTAGGGTTTAGGGTTTAGGGTTTAGGGTTTAGGGTTTAGGGTTTAGGGTTTAGGGTTTAGGGTGGGGGTTTAGGGTTTAGGGTTTAGGGTTTAGGGTTTAGGGTTTAGGGTTTAGGGTTTAGGGTTTAGGGTTTATGCAGGGCGCGGGAAACACCCCCGCGTTGGTGAACAGTTTGTTGACTTCGCTGTGCAACATTTCGCCCTTCTTTAGGGTTTAGGGTTTAGGGTTTAGGGTTTTAGGGTTTAGGGTTTAGGGTTTAGGGTTTAGGGTTTAGGGGGGTTTAGGGTTTAGGGTTTAGGGTTTAGGGTTTAGGGTTTAGGGTTTAGGGTTTAGGGTTTAGGGTTTACTTTGTTCATTTGGCCGGTCTGGAGCTTCTTGGGCGCGTAGCTCGTCAGCAGCGGCAAATCCAAAACAGCATAATTTCTCTCTTCTATGAATTTGTCGAAAGATTGAAAGTTGCTGCTGCTGCTGCTGCTGCTGCTGTCCGCGGGCTTCCCGCTGCTGCTGCTGCTGCTGCTGCTGGCGCTGCTGCTGCTGCTACTGCTGCTGCTGCTGCTGCTGCTGCTGCTCGGAGCAGGCGCATCTGCGGCCGCAGCAGCAAAGACACACCACAGGCAGACTGAGACTACTCCGTTAAGAACCCGAGCAGCAGCAGCAGCAGCAGCAGCAACTGCTGCTGCTGCTGCTGCCAGCAAACGCGCAGCAGCAAACCTGCTTGTTTGCTGCTGCCGCTGCTGCTGCACCCTGGGATTCACTTGCCGCTCAGAGCTGCTGCAGCCTCCGTATCAGTTCCTTTCGCTGCTGCGTCGCATGCAGGCTACTTGCTGCTGCTGCTGCTGCTGCTGCTGCTGCTGCTGCCGCTGCTGCTGCGCTCACTTGCTGCGTCTTTGTCGCTGCTGCTGCGCGGGGTGCTGGCAGCAGGAAAAAGATCAGCAGAAGCAGAAATGGATTCTGTTCCTTCAGCTTCCACAAATAAAATGCTGCCAGAAGTCAGGCCCAGGGCCTCCACGCTGCGGGGGCCCCGCTCCAGCAGCTGCAGCAGCAGCAGCAGCAGCAGCAGCAGCAGCAGCAGCAGGCGAGTTGGCCGCAGCGAGCGGCAGCAACGGCAGCACGCACTACAAAGTGGCGAAGCAAGATCGCGCAAGGCACCCAGGGGTAAGAGGCAGCAGCAGCAGCAAGTCATTAGCAGCAGCAGCAGCCGCAGCAGCAGCAGCAGCAGAGGCAACAGCGGAAGAGGCAGCAGCAGCAGCAGCAACGGCAGCAGCCGCAACAGCAGCAGCGAGCTCGCAGATGCAGCTGCACTGCACTAGAAGAAAGAATGCCAGCAGCCACACATGCAGCTGCAGCAGCAGCAGCAGCAGCATCCGCAGCAACGGCTGCAGCAGCAGCAGCAGCAACAGCAACAGCAACAAAGACAGCGAGCAACGAGAGGAGCACGTCGAAGTAAGCAGCAAAAACGCACCCGTCAGCAGCAGCAGCAACAGCAGCAGCAGCAGCAGCAACAGCAGCAGCAGCAGCAGCAACAGCAGCAGCAGCAGCAGCAGCACCTGCTTCTTCTCTGCGTCTGTGTAGAGGCGCAGCGTGTCTGTGGAGACTTTTAGCTGCTGCGCCACCTGTACATACACCTCATCTGCTGTGCTGCTGCTGCTGCTGGTGACTCTGCTGTGGCCAGCAGAAGCGCGCAGCCGCAGCACCACAGGCTTGCCCTCCATCTTTGCTGCTGCTGCTGCTGCTGCTGCTGCTGCTGCTGCTGCTGCTGTTTGCTGCGGGCGGCGAGGGGCGCCAGCTACCTGCTGCTGACGCCGCGCAGCGCGGTGCAGCAGCTCATGTAGCTGCTGCTCTTGCTGCAGCAGCGGCGCCTGCTGTTGTTCTTGTTGCTGTTGTTGCTGCTGCTGCAGCAGCTGCTGCAGCTGCTGCAGCTGCTGCAGCTGGCCCGCTTAACCGCCGCCCGAGGCGTTGCTGCTGCAGCTAAGCAGAAGCCGCTGTGCTGCAGCAAAACAAGTGAGCTGCTAGCTGAGGTGTAGGTACACTGCAGTCTCAAGTTGCTGCTGCTGCTGCTGCTGCTGCTGGCGCTGCAGCAGCTGCCGCATGCGCCACGACGGAGACCTTCGGCCGACGTCGTTGCTGCTGCTGCTGCTGCTGCTGCTGCTGCTGCTGTCTAGATGTCCATGCAGCTGCCACAGAAATAAACTTTGATTTTAAAAATAAATAACTCGTCAAAGACGCGCGGCAAAAAAAGAAGTGTAGGAGTTGCTGCAGCAGCAGTAACAGCGCTGCTGCGCGCTGCTGCTGTCACTGCTCAGCTGCTGCTGGTGCTGCTGCTGCTGCTGCTGCTGCAGTATCTCAACGCGCTCGCACGAGGTGTACGGACAGCAGCTCTAATCAACTCTTTTTGCTGCTCAACATAATTATTTATTTTTTTCAAACATTTAATAACAACAACCCTCTTGGTAAGCTAGGCGGGAGCTTCCGTTTATTACTGTTTGCAGCCGCACCAGCCCCAGCAGCAGCAGCTGCTGCTGCTGTAGCTGCTGCAGCAGCAGCAGCAGCAACTGCCGCTGCTGCTGCTGCAGCAGTGAAGCTGCGATTGACACAGAGATAAGGAGCTGCAGAAGAACTGCTGCTGCTTCCGGGAGCAGGCTCGAGGTGACGCCAAGGAGCTGTAGCTACACAGCGTAGCAAAAAGCTGCTGCTGCCGCTGCTGCTGCTGCCGCTGCTGCTGCTGCTGCTGCTGCTGCTGCTGCTGCTGCTGCTGATATTGGCTGCCGTGATCACCGGGAGAAAAGAAAGCAGCCGTGCTGAGGCGCCGCAGAGACACGAAGGGCCAAGGCGGCTGTGTTGGTGACTGTAGAGTGTCTTCCTTCTGCTGCTGCTGCTGCTGTAGCTGCTGCTGCTGCTGCTGTAGCTGATGCTGCTGCTGTAGCTGCTGCTGCTGCTGCTTGGGCAGCAAGGCTTAGAAGAAGGCCTTAGCTATGCGTTAGCCTGAGGCTTTGAAGTCAAGAGAAGGAGACAGGCAAGCTGCTGCTGCGCATACAAAAACAAGCAGCAGCAGCAGCAGCAGCAGCAGCAGCAGCAGCAACTGCAGCAGCAGTAGCAGCAGCAGCAGTGGAGTAGAAAGCACGAGACAGAGGCTGCTGAAAAAGAAAACAAGAGCTTTGATATACAAGACAAAAGCAGCAGCTGGCAAGGAGACAAAGGTAATGCAGAGCAGCAGCAGCAGCAGCAACAGCAGCAACAGCAACAGCAGCAGCAGCAGCAGCTGCTGCTGCTGCTTCTAGAGTAAAGGGCTCAAGCAGATTCAAAAGAGATGAGTAACAAGGAGCAAACAAACTGAGGGCAAAAAGGAGAGAAAGAAAAGAAAAAGAAAAAAGATTTAAAAAAACAAAAAAGAAATAAAAAATAAAATAAAAAGTGACAAAAAGAAAAGAAACAAAAGGAGAAAAAGCTTTTGCTGCTGCCTCTTGTGTGCTGCTGCGAGGGTTTTGCTCGACAAGAGGATGCCACCGGGGCTTAGCTGTCAAGGGTCCCCAAATCCCAAATCCCAAATCCCAAACCCCAAATCCCAAGTCTTAATCCCAAACCCCAAAGCCTTAATATGAGTAGTCTTCAGGGTTTACAATTTAGAGTTTAGGGTTAAGGGTTTGGCGTAAAGGGTTTAGGGTTTAGGGTTTAAGGTCAAGAATTTAGGGTTTAGGGTTTAAGGTTAAAAATTCAGGGTTTAGGGTTTAGGGTTTAGGGTTTAGGGTTTAGCTGGGAAAATGGCGGGGCCTGGGAAGGGCAAGAAGAAGCAGCGGCGGCTGGGGCCCCCCGAAGTAATTCGGTTTAAAGAAACAATTCAGTTTTTGCTGCTGAAGAATTTGGTGGCAGAAGCAAACAAAGACCCGCTGCTGCTGGACCGCGTGCTGCTGCTGCCCACGCAGCAGCAGCAGCAGCAGCAGCAGCAGGGGGAGGAGGACGAGGAGGAAGAGCAGCAGCAGCAAGAGGAGCTGCAGCAGCAGCAGCAGCAGCAACAGCAGCAGGCGGAAGAGCTGCAGGAAGACGAGCAGCAGGAGGATGAGCACCAAGACGAAGAGCAGCAGGAAGGCGAGCAGCAGCAGCAGCAGCAGCAGCAACAGCAGCAACAGCAGCAACAGCAGCAGCAGCAGCAGCAAGCAGACGAAGAAGAAGACATGAGGAGGTTTGGGTTGCTGCTGCACCTCTTGGGCCGTCTGGCCGATGAACTCAAAGTTAGCTGCTGTTAGGTTTCCTGCTGCTGCTGCTGCTGCTAGGTTTCCTGCTGCTGCTGCTGCTGCTGCGTGTGTTGGTGTTGCTGCTGCTGCTAGATTTGCTGCTGCTGCTTCTAGGTTTGCATCTGCTGATGCTAGTTCTGGGGCTGCTGCTATCAGTAGCAACAAGCCCAGCAGCAGCAGTTCCCGTCGTTGCTACTGCTCCTGCTGCCCCCCTTGCTGCCCTTATTGCTGCTGCTGCTGCTGCTGCTGCTGCTGCTGCTGCTGCTGCTGCTGCTGCTGCTGCTTTTAGGCCTCGAAGCCAAAGGACTACCGCTTTTTGTGGGCGCCGGAGCTGCTGGCGCCTTCGCCGCAGTACTGCCCTTCTGGGTATCCGCTGTATGTGCTGCGATACGTGCGGCGGATTGCTGCAGCAGCAGCAGCAGCAGCAGCAGCAGAAGCAGCAGCAGGTGACGCAGCAGGGGGCGAGGCAGACGGCGCTGCTGCTGCTGCTGCAGCCGTTGCTGTGAGGCAGGCCTCAGATGCTGCAGCTGCTGCTCCAGAAGACGGGCAGTTCTTGGGCGCTGCGCAGCAGCAGCAGGGGCCTTCCGCAGCAGCAGCAGCAGCAGCAACAGCAGCAGCAGCAGGCCCTGCTTTTGGGGGCTGGCTGAGCGAGGCGCTGCAGCAGCAGGAAGCAGAAGCAGGCAGCAGCACGCACCGCAGCAGCGGCAGCAGCAGCAGCAGCGACAGCAGCAGCAGCTGCAGACTGCAGCTGGACGGACTCAGCGTTTGTTTGCCGCTGGAAGTTTGTGAGCGCTGCAGGCTGTTTTTGCTGCTGCTGCGCAGCAGCGCAGCAGCTGTGCTGCAGCTAGCTGCAGCAGGCCTCAGCAGCAACTTCGCAGGCGGCCTTGTGGGCTTTCTGGGGCAGCTCAAGTCCCGACTGCAGCAGCTAGATGGCCTTTGGATTGAAACAGAAGCAAATCTTGCAAAGAGGCTTTATGCTGCAGCAAACGAGCGGCTGCTGCCGCTCGTCCTGCTCCTAGTGAGCCGCTGCTGCTGCTGCTGCTGCTGCTGCTGCTGCTGCTGCTGCTGCTGTTGCTGCTGCTGTTGTTATTGCGTTTGCTGCTGTTGCTATTGCTGCTGCTGCTGCTGCTATTGCTGCTGGTACTATAGCTGCTGCTGTTGCTGCCGAAGCTGCTGCTGCTGCTGCTGCCTGCGCTGTTAGTTCGGCTTTTAATGTGAAAGTGTCTGTGGGACTGCAGCAAGAAGCTGTGTTTGCTGTTTTGTTTGCCAAGAATATTTGTCTTTAATTGCTGCTGAAAGCATTTTGCATTTTTAAAGTTTTGGGGAATTTAATTTGTCGTAAAAGTAAAAGGAAAGAAGTGGAGCCATTATGCGGTGTATGTACACCGCAGCAAGTCAGATAATGCATTCAGTGCAGAATCCGGAAAAGTCTTTTTGTTAGATTTTTTCGATCTTTTGAAGCAATTGCAGCTCTAAAAGTACCATTTTAGTGCCACTTTTGATTTAAAATTCTAAAATACTTTTTTAAATTTGCAAAAGTCTTTTATTTAAATGAAAATGGCAATTTGCAGAAAGTGAAAATCCCACAAGTGGCGCCGGCGGCCCCCAGAGCTGAGGTGTATGTACACCTGGCCTATAAAAGGCCTATTTCTCTAAATAGATTTTTAAATTGAAATATTTATTTTGTGAATTTAATTTATTAATTTGGATGTTTATTTCTAAAAGTATATTCATTAATGTTTATTAGTAATAATTTATCTAAAAAGGCTTCATTCATCTTTTAAATGTTTGTTCTACAAATAGACTTCTACAATTTATGAAGTGTTTATTTCTTTAAATAGAATTTATTAATTTATTAAATTCTATTTTTAAATAAATCCTGTTAGTCTTTAAAATATCTTTTTCTTTTAAAAGATTAAAAAGTCTTCAAGAATGTCTGACTTTCTAAAAAGACTTCAAAAGTCTTTCTTTCTCTCAAATTGCTGCTGCGCTGCTGTCCGTAAGCAGCAGCAGCAGCAACAACAGCAGCAGCAGCAGCAGCAGCAGCAGCAGCAGCCTCTCCGCGAATTCAGATTCAGTCTCGCTTCTTTTCCCTAGACAGTTCCTTATTTCCCTGACTGCTGCTGCTGCTGCTGCGGCTGCTGCTGCTGCTGCTGTGGCTGCTGCTGCTGCTGCTGCTGCTGCTGCTGCTGCTGCTGCTGCAGGACGCAGAGGCCAAAGTAACGCGCTGCGAAGCAGAAGAGGTGAACACAAAACGGAATTTTCTTTTTTTTATTTCCTTTAATTCTAAATTAAATTTATTTCTCTTTTTATTTCTTTTCGATTTATTTTGTTCTTTTGTTTATTTTTTCTTCCTTAATTCATTATGCTGAGATCCGTGCTGCTGCTACTACTGGTCCTGCTGCTGTTGCTGCTGGTGCTGCCGGTTCTGCTGCTGTTTTTGCTGCTACTCTTGCTGCTGTTGCTGCTGTTGCTGCTGCTTCCGCTGCAGCTTTCGCTGCCACTGGTGCCGCTGTTGTTGCTGCTGTTGCTGCTGTTGTTGTTGCTTTTGTTACTGCTGTTCTTGCTGCTGGTGGCTTCGCCACTGCTGCTGCTGCTGCTGCTGCTACCTTGCTGCTGCTCCTATCGCTGCCACGGTTGTTGCTGATGTTGCTGCTGCAGCTGCTAATGTTGCTGCTGCTACTGTTGCTGCTGTTGGTCTTGCTGTTGCTACTGCTGTTGCTATCGCTGTTGCTGTTTCTGCTGCTGCTGCTGCTGTTGCTGCTGCTGCTGCTGCTGCTGTTGCAGTCAGCTGAAGAGTCACTGCAGCAAATAATGCTTTAATTTGACGAAGAAGCAGAGCCTGTTTATCCCACTAACTATTTATTTATTTATTTATTTATTTATTTATTTATCTATTTATTTATTTATTTATTTATAATTGTTGATTTATTATTATAAAGAATTATTTTATTTGTTTTGCCCCTCAGGAGTTCGCTTCGAAAAGAAAAGCCGAGGAAGAATTCGTTCTGCGGCTCGTGGTAGAATCTGCTGCTGCTGCTGCTGCTGCTGCTGCTGCTACAGCTGCCGCTGCTGCTGCTGCTGCTGCTGCTGCTGCCTCTGCTGCTGCGCGTAAACGGCTGCGCTGCTTCTTTGCTGCTGCACTTTGCTGCAGGACCTGATGGGAACAATTCGCCCTGAGTGGAAAGACAGAGACATACCTAAAGTACCAGTCTAGCTGCTGCTGCGAATGCTACTGGATTTGCTGCTGCTGCTGCTGCTGCTGCGACTGCTGCTGGATCTGCTGCTGCTGCTGCTGCTGCGACAGTGGCTGTGTACGTTGCTGCTTAGCATATGCTGCTGCTGCTGCTGCTGCGGGGAAAACCCTCTGTAGGTTGTGCTGCCGCCCGGACAAGCAACCCACGCATGCGTCCCCAAACGCTAAACCCTAAACCCTAAACCCTAAACCCTAAACCCTAGGTGGTGCTGCTGCGGCTGCTAGGACGCCATAGAGCTCGCGGAGACAGTCATATTTTTTGAGCTGCGGCTGCCAGCAAACTACAAGCAGCTCTGCTCCCAAGTAATCAGAGCCTACCTGCGAGGTGCGAGCAGCAGCAGCAGCAGCAGAAGCAGCAGCAGCAGCAGCAGCAGCAGCAGATGTAGTGGATTGTGCTGTCCTTTTGCAGCCCGCGTCGTTTTGAGGGAGGTTCCCCGAGTTCGAGTCAAGTTAGAACTCGAGGACAAGTATGGGCAGCAGCAGCAGCTGCTGCTGCCAGCAGCAGCTGCTGCTGCTTCTGGTGTTGCTGCTGCTGCCTCTGCTGGCGCTACTGTTGCTGCTGCTGGCGTCGCTGTTCCTGTCGGTGCTCGTGTTATCAGCGTCGCTGCTGCTGCTGCTGCTGCTGCTGCTGTGTCTGGGTGCAGCAAGAAGCTGGTAGTCGCCTTAGAGCATCTGCTGCAGGCAAGGAGAGCAGCTGCTGCTTCTGCCTCTGCTGCTGCAGTTGCTAGCACCACTACCTTCGCTGCTGCTGCTGCTGCTGCTCTTGCTGTTGCTGTTGTTGCTGTTGCTGCTGCTGCTGCTGCTGCAGCAGAGCTGCTGCGCTGCACTTGCTGCTGCAGCGCATGTGGGAAGCCCGTCGCTGCTTCGACGCCGCGCTGCAGTTTCCCCAAGTGCGTAACTGCTGCAGCCCGAAACGCATGCGCATGCAAATGCATGCAAACGCATGCATTTGCATGCACTTGCATGCATTTGCATGCATTTGCATGCACTTGCATGCATTTGCATGCACTTGCATGCATGCAGTCCTACCCTACAAGTTGGCAGCGCGCAGCAGCAGCTAAATGCCGAAGAGCTTTGCAAGAATAGCACTAAGTCTCTTGTAGATCTGTTTGCATTTATTTAGATTCATTTTTATATTTTTAATATTTATTTATATTTATTCGCATGCATGCGCTTCAAAAGTACACAATTACACAAATGGGGCCTCAGGTGTATCGACACCTCGCAGAATCATCCACTTCAAACTCTGGCGGCCCCGACTAGCTGCCCGCTAGAGAGCTGCATGCATGCATGCATGCATGCATGCATGCATGCATGCACAAGCGCATGCATGCACAAGCGCATGCATGCACAAACGCATGCATGCATGCACCTTTCTGCGCATGCATGCAGCTTCCTGTGCGTGCATGCAAGCACGCACAGGCCCTTATGCATGCATGCATGCGCCCATGCATGCATGCATCCAAGAATGCATGCACGCAAGAATGCATGCATGCATGCATGCATGCATGCATGCATGCATGCAACCCCCGCAGGCGCATGTGTGTGTGGGGTTTGCAGCTGCCAGAAGGCCCCGCGTTTTGGCTGGAGAGGAACGGGCTGACTGTGGAGCCGCCTCTCGAGAGCGTCCCGCTGATGCAGGTTTGTCTTTGCTGCTGCTGCTGCTGCTGCTGCTGCTGCTGCTGCTGCAGTGCATGCACGCGCGCGCCCTGCGGCACTGCTGCACCGCGGCGCCCCACAGCTTGCTGCTGCTGCTGCTGCGGCCCCGCAGGAAACAAGAGAAGTCTAGAGGGCTGTCAAATGTGCTCAGCTGTCAGTACACCTCACAGCGAGGCCCTAGCTATCCTGCGGCTGCTGCTGCTGCTGCTGCTGCAGCACGCACTCGCGGCTGCTGCTGCAGCACGACCTGCTGCTGCTGCTGCTGCTGACGCTCCCGCAGCAGCGCCTAACGCTGCTCTCGCAGCGGCGTCTAGTGCCGCTGCTGCTGCAACAGCATCTAGTGCTGCTGCTGCTGCTGCTGCACCTAGTGCTGCTCTGGCAGCAGCTTCCAGAGCAATGGCTGCAGCAGCCTTTAGAGCTGCTGCCGCTGCGGCGTGAGATGCTGCTGCTGCTGCTGCAGCACCTTACGCTGCCCTTGCAGCAGCATGCTGCTGCTGAAGCAAGAATTCTCGCTGCAGCAGCAGCAGCAAAACTCTAACAGTGCTGCTGCTGCAATATCTAGTGCTACCGTCGCAGCAGCATGCTGCTGCTGCTGCTACTGCTGCTGCTGCTCCTACTGCTGGCAGCACCTAAGAGACAAAGAATCTGTCTCGTATCTATCAAAGATAAGGATCTCGGTCGGGCTTGTCGGAGCTGTAGAACTACACTTGGCGGTGCTGCTGCTGCTGCTGCTGGCGCTGCTGCTGCTGCTGCTGCTGCTGCTGCTACTCACTGCACACGCTGCAGCCGCCCCTCTGCTAACAACTATTTATGCTGGCAATGCTGACAGAGAAAGCAGGCAGCGCCTGGGGAAAGAAGTCCCTTGAGTTGCTGCTGCAGCGCTGCGAGGCTCCCGTAGCTCCCAGGTGGCTGTGCTGCTACTGCTGCTCTGCAGCAGCAGCAGCAGCAGCAGCAGCAGCAGCGGCGCCCCTCGGAAGGAGAAAGCGCCACACATCAGCGCAGGTCAAGACTCCCGTCAGACGGCCCCTGCAGGAGACAAATAGCCGCAGGCAGCCACACAGTTACGGCTAGCTGTTAGCACGGCTAGCTAGCTAGCTAGCTAGCTAGCCAGCCAGCTAGCCACACAGCTAGCCACAAAGCTAGCCACACAGTTAGCCACCTAGCTGACCGCGTGGCCAGCTAGCTAGCTGGCTAGCTAGCTAGCCAGTTGCACGGCTAGCCGCATTGATAACCAGCTAGTTATCTGTCTTTCTAGCCAGATAGCTGCCCAGCTAGCTAGCCAGCTAGCTAGCTGGATAGATGGCCAGCTAGCTGGCTAGCTAGCCATCTAGCTAGCTGCATATATGGCCAGCTAGCTGGCTAGCTAGCCAGCCGCATGCACGGGCACTGGTGGCCGGCCAGGAGGCCCCCCTAGCTAGCTGTGTGGCTAGCTAGCCAACCTCACAGCTAGCCATATAATGTGCATGCAGTGCAGCAAACAGCTGCAGCAAACAGCTGCAGCAAATGGCAAATCACTGAAGCCTCAAACTGGATGCGTGCGGCCAAAAGAATGGAAGCAAAGCATGCAAGTGCTGCTGCAGCAAGTGCTGCTGCAGCAAGTGCTGCTGCAGCAAGTGCTGCTGCAGCAAGTGCTGCTGCTGCAAGTGCTGCTGCTGCAAGTGCTGCTGCTGCAAGTGCTGCTGCAGCACAAACTGCTGCAGCAAGCACTGTTGCAGCAAGTGCTGCTTCGATCTAGACTCCAAGCACACTCCATTCAAAAGCCCATTAGGTCAGGAAGAATTCTCAAATTCAAAAAATTAAAAAAATTAAAAAATCAAAAAATGCAAAAAAGACAAAAAGACAAAAAATGCATTTTTAAAAACCCTTAGTGAAACAAAAGCTTTCAAGAATGCATTTTCAAAAGCCCAAATGCAAAAAATTTCAAAAAATGCAAAAAAATTCAAAAATGCAAAAAGTCAGAAAATGCATTTTTATAAGTTCCGAATTGCAGCAGCAGCAGAAGAGTCTTTTGCAGCAGCAAAAAGGACTTTGCAGCAGCAAAAAGGACTTTTGCAGCAGCAAAAAGGACTTTTGCAGCAGCAAAAAGGACTTTTGCAGCAGCAAAAAGGACTTTTGCAGCAGCAAAAAGAGAAGTTGGAATTTAAATAAAAGACAAAACCATTTGAGTACTTAAATGAAAACTTCGAAAAATCCGAAAACGCGATTTTCGAGATTTCATGAAAAACAAAAAGAGAAAATCCATAAAGAGTGTGGGGCAAGAAATGGAAAACGAAAAGAAAAAATCCAAAATCCAAAATTAAAAATCAAAAATGAATAAATCAGAAATAAAAATGAATTGGAAAAAGAAAAAATGAAAAGAAATAATGGAAGCAAAAGGCTCAATGAATGCAGACACAAGTGGCGGAGAAAAGTCGAAAATAAAAAGAAACCAAAAAATAAAAAACAAAAAAAGAAACAAAGAAGAGAAAACAGAAATAAAAAGAAAAACAAAAAGAAACAAAAAAGAAACAGGAGCAGACAAACGGAAGAAGTAAAGGAAGCCAGAAAGAAAGCTGCTGCTGCTGCTGCTGCTGCCGCTACTGCTGCTGCTGCTGCTGCTGCTGCTGCTCACTGCTCCGATAAGAAGAGAATCTTTTTCTCGTCGGCAAATAGCAGCAGCTCAATCGCCTGCTGCAGCGTCAAAAAAGCTGCTGCTGCTTCCCTCACCTGCAGCAGCAGCCGCGCACATCGCAGCAGCCCCAACTATACTTCCTGCTGCTGCTGCTGGTGCTGCTGCTGCTGCTGCTGAGAGAGAATAGAGGTTTTGCTGCAGCTGCTAATATCGAAAGAACTCACCACCCCTTGGTAGATCGGCTGCGGGCCGTTTGCTGCTGTGAGGCGGCTGAGGGCTGCTGCAGTTGCTGCGCTTCTTCTGCTGCTGCCGCTGCTGCTGCTGCTGGAGGGCAGCAGCTGGATATCGCTGCCTGCTGCTGCTGCTGCTGCTGCTGCTGCGTGCGCCAGCATGCGGTGCTGCCACTGCAGCTGATGGAACTGCTGCACGTACCTCGACACTGGCAGCGTGAGGTCTAGGGGGACCTGCAAACACGCAGCAGCAGCAGCAGCAGCAGCAGCAGCAGCAGCAAAGCAGCAGCAAAGCAGCAGCAGCAGCAGCAGCAGCAGCAAAGCTCGCTCACGAGGTATTTACAACCAAAGCCTCTTCTTTTTAATTTTGCCTTTGTTGCTGTTCGTTAATATCTGTGTCTCCTTCTGCCCCTCTGCCCCTGTTCCCCGCTGCTGCTGCTGCTGCTGCTGCTGCTGCTGCTGCTGCTGCTTCTTACCCCGTCATGCAGCAGCTTGAAGACAACGGCTAGGAAATCGTCAAGAGAAAAGCAACAAACGTAGGCCCCTGCAGCGCAGCAAAAGAAGTACCAGCAGCAGCTCCCTCGATCCCCCGCTGCTGCTGCTGCTGCTGCTGCTGCTGCTGTTCATTTTTGCTGCTAAATACGTGTCCTCTCTGCGTTTTTCGTCTCTCGTAATTTCTTATTTATTTATCTGAAATTCTTTTGTTTCTTTTTGTCTCCATTTGTTTTCTTTTATCTTTTTCGTTTGATTTGTTTTTTTGAGTCAATTTTGTCTTTTTTTAGATCTTTTTGTCCCGTTTTTCCACGAAGTTCAACTTCGTGTCTGTGGAAATGTTTGTTTTGCTGTTTGCTGCTGCAGTTTGGCAGCAATTTGATTCATTTGCTGCTGCTGCTGCTGCTTTTTGGCTCATTTGCCCACCTGTGGAGTCCACCAGCGGCAAAGAAGAAAAACCAGCAGCAACTGCAGCAGCCAAAAAGTCCTCCGTCGAGTCCTCGACACAAAACGTCACCAAGTCCTCATGGGTGCCCAGCTGCGCGCAGCAGCAGCAGCAGCAGCAGCAGCAGCGGAGCAGCAGCAGCAGCAGCAGCAGCGGAGCAGCAGCAGCAGCAGGAAAAAGAACGCAATGAAACGAAACAGAAAAAACAGCAAACAGCAGCGGTACGCCAAGGCAGAAGCAACACGCCCACAGTTAGCTGCAACAGAGAAGAATCCCCCCGCAGCAGCAGCAGCAGCAGCAGCAACAGCAACAGCAGCAGCAGCAGCTGCTGCTCACTTTGGCAGCTAGGACATTCGTTGCCAGAATCGGGTGAGCCCCTTGGAGCTGAAGAGCACAGGAAACAAGGAAGCCAAAACAGCACAGCTACTTGGCACCACGCAGCAAGCAACTCCTGCTGCTGCTGCTGCTGCTGCTGCTGCTGCTGCTGCTGCTGCTTGCCTCTCTGACAAGGTGCACAAGAAAAGCATGGGTAGAGACGAGGGCCAAGGGGGCCCTTCTTCCCTCGTTGACGATGCATAGGTAGGGGGCCCTGCGCGCAAAGTCGCACTTCGCTCTTGCTGCTGCTGCTGCTGCTACTGCTGCTGCTGCAGCTGCTGCTGCTGCTGCTGCTGCTGCTACTGTTGCTGCGTACCCGCTGTCTAGGAGATGCAACAGGGCAGTTGCGCAGTCGCAGTCCGGCATAACTCGCTGGACTTCGTCCACAGAGCCGCCGCATATATCTGCAGCAGCAGCAGCAGCAGCAGCAGCAGCAGCAGCAGCAGCAAATGTGGTGTTAGCAGCAGCAGCAGGAAGGGCATGGCTGCATGCAGCAACGAGCACAGCTGCTGCATGGACCCGAGAATGCCCCAAACAGCAACAACTAGACATTGTTGCTGCTGCTGCTTCTGTCGCCGCTGTGGCTGCTGCTGCTGCTGCTGCTGCTGCTGCTGCTGCGCAGCTAATCTGGGCTTCGCGCAGCAGCAACAGCTCGTCGCGGAAGCAGAAGGGCAATGGCAGCAGGAGACGCAATTTACACTTTTTGCAGCAGACCAGCAGCAGCAAGGAAAAGAGCACCAGCAGCAGGAATAGCGGCAGCAGCAGCAGCACAGCAGCAGCAGCAGGAACAGCGGCAGCGGCAGCAGCAGCAGCAGCACAGCAGCAGCAGCACAGCAGCAGCAGCAGCACAGCAGCAGCAGCACAGCAGCAGCAGCAGCAGCACTCACGACCGAACCCTTCCAAGGAAAGGGCCCACGGCGGCGTCGAGTCTTTAATGTCTAAAGAAGCCCCGACAGCTTCGCCGGATGCGTTCTCTCCCTGCTGCATGCTGCTGCTGCTGCTGCTGCTGCTGCTGCTGCTGCTGCTGTTGCTGCTGTTCATGCTGCTGTTGCCGTTGCTGCCGCTGACTGTGGTCTCGACCTCACTAGCGTCACTGTTGTTGTTCGGTGCTGCGGAATCAGCAGCAGAGTTGCTGCTGCTGCTGCTGGCTGCCGCTTTCTGCGCCTCCGGCGCCCCGCCCTGCTGCTGCTGCTGCTGCTGCTGCTGCTGCTGCTTGCTGCTGCGCAGCCAACGCTGCCAGTGCAGCAAGTAGCGCGCGAAGTGCTGCGAGTCCAGCCTGCTCATGAAGCGCCTGTTTGTTTCTGAATAGACCCAAACCCCTCGGCAGCTGCAGCAGCGGCCCTGGGCGGGGCTGCCGCAGCAGGGGGGGGGCGACTGGGCGCTGCTGCTGCTGCAGCTGCCGCTGCTGCTGCTGCTGCAGCTGCCGCTGCTGCTGCTGCTGTCTTCGGGCGCGGCCGCCGGCTCCGCCGCCGCCGCCTCGGGCAGCCCATTCGTGCTGCTGCTGCTGCGCAGCTGCTGCAGCAGCTCCGCGCTCCTGCTGCTCTCCCCGCTGCTCGGCCAGTGCGCAGCAGCGCCCGCTGCAGCCTCAGCTGCTGCTGCTGCTGCTGCGGCTGCGGCTGGGGACGCTCCTCCACTCCTTGCTGCTGCTGCTGCTGCAGTGGATCCCTCACCTGCGCTGCTGCCCGGCGCTGCTGCTGGACTTGCAGGCTCGGCTGCAGAAGCAGGCAACGGCTGCTGCCGCCCACTAGATCCCTCATCCGCCATTAGAGCCCGTGCAGATTCTGACGGGCAAATGCGTTGCTGCTGCTGCCGCTGCTGCTGCTGCTGCTGCTGCTCGCTGCACTGGGGCCGCGCTTTAGAGGATGCAGCAGCTGCAGCACAAGAAGGTGCCGCAGCGGCGGCCGCAGCAGTCTCAAACTGTTGCTGTCTTTTCGAGGCAGGAGCTTTGGGCATGAACGGGTAGCTGGCTGGCTGTTTGCTGTTGCCGCTGCTTCGCTGCTGCTACTGCTGGCGCTGCTGCTGCTGCTGCCAGCCTGCATGAGGAGTCCCAGGCCACTCAGATCTGCTGATGCAGCTCCTGAAATGCATCGTTTGACGTTATTTAACGCTGTCTGCTGCTGCTGCTGCTGCTGCTGCCGCGGAGGAACTGCTGCTGAAGCAGCAGCGCCGCAGAGCCGAGCAGCCTAGCTAGGCCTGGGATTGCTGCAGCCAGTCAGTAGCCCCCCGTCGCTTCTATCCTTTCCTCTTCTATAAGAAATAAACAGAAATAGCGGGAGAGGGGGACCCTGTGCGCTGCATGCTTACTTCAGCAGCCAGCAGCAGCACAGCAGCAGCAACAGCAGCAAGCAGCCGTGGGGCCCCGGCAGCTGCATAAAGCCGCGCAGCGACAGCAGCAGCAGCTGCAGAGAAGCCCTCGATTTCGGGTTTTATTCTTTTGAATTCACGCCGAGGCCCTTTGTACTCTAGCTGCTGTGGGGCGCGCCTGCGCCTCCCCGCAGCAGCAAATCCTGAACACCAGCCCGCCAGGCAGCCGACAGTCGGCGCAGCCAGCCACACTCAAACCTCCCACGCGCAGCTGCAGTCTGTTGCTTCTCTGGCTGTCCCTTGTGTGCTTTGCGGGCCGCAGAGCGGAAGCCGCAGGCCCCGTGCCAACCTGAGCTGCTGCTGCTGCCGCAGCGGCTCTGCTGCTGCTGCAGCAGCGCCGCTTGACTCGCATTTGCTGCTCTTGAGCCTCGAAGTTTAACAGCTGAACTCGAAGGGAAAGCCTTGTCCTATCTTTGTTTCCCGGGAGTCGATTTCCGACTCTTTTCGCCTTATTACAGTGACTGCGCCCCCAGGTGCCTTGTGCATTTTTCTAGGAGGGCGCTCAAACACTGACTCAGGCCCCTACTTCGGGCAATTTTCTTTGTAGATTACACCCCAGCTGCTTCATTAGCAACATTGGCAGCCCCAATTGGCTCATTTCTGGGCCCGGCGGCACACGCGAGAACTATCTCGCCCTCAGTGTGGTGTTCCGCGGAGCCCAGAAACGAGCCAAGCACGGCTAACGACTTAGACAGTTTGGCTGGTTCTAATCTGCACAAAATTTGGCCCAACTAGGGGCCCTAAGTGAGCCCCTGAGTGCTTTATAGTCTCCGAGGGCAGGCCCGCGTTGCCCGGGCTCGGGGCGGAGGGCTTTGTTATTTGTGGGGAGCTGCTGCGGGGAGGCACAGGCTCGCTGCGCAGCAGCTAGGGTACAAAGGGTCTGGGTGGTAGTTCAAGATAATAAAATTCAAAATGAAGGACTTTTTTGCTGTCTACCGCACAGCATGGGGGCCGCTGCTGAGTCTTGGGGTAGACGCTGGACTGGTTTCTGGGCTGAGGAATTCCATGAAACATCCTGGGGAAAGGTTGGGGGCAGGCTAGCTGCGTTTGAGCAAATGCCCATGGGGCTAATGCAGGGGATCAGCTGGGTGCTGCAGCAGCAGCAGCAGCAGCATTCTGCTGTGAGCCCTATAGAGCTGCTGGCCTCTTTGGGTGTTCGGCTGCCGAAATCAGTTTGACGGAGAGGTTGAAGTAATTGCCCTGACTGCGGAGACAGTGTCTAGTTTACTGAATATCTCTAAAAAGCGGATTGCTGATTCAGCTGTTTAGCTGCAAAGGTAATCTGGAGAGATAAGAAAGGCTGGCATCTCTTTGGCCCCGGGGTGAAGTGTGTGGGCGGCCACAATGGATGTTCAGGGCTCCTTTCTCCCTGCTGCTGAGGCCAGGCCCCAGTTAAAACTTCTTGTCTTGTGTTGTGGTTAAAACTTCTTGTCTGTCACCCCTAGAATATTGGGCTTCTTCCGCTAGTTGGTTACTCATCTGCAAAGATAATTAGATTGATCTCCGGTGGGCAAGTAGACAAGGCTAAGAAGCCTCTGCGCAGCAGTCGCTAGCACTACGGCTGCCCCAACCCTAAATTCCAGACTCGGGAAAAGCAGGCCAGTTTCCCATCACATCTTTCAGACAAGGCCAGTCCAACAGCAGCATAGCAGCTTTGAAAACCTCTCACACCACACAGGAGTAGCAGCAGTAGCTGCTGCTCCTACTACAAAACGGTTTTCGTAACGCTGGCAGCACCAGCGCAATCAAAGCTGGTGTGGGAAAAGATCCAAGCTCACTGCATTTGCGCGTGAGTTCACTCGCATGCATCAAACCCTTTCACGGAAAGAACGTTATAGGCGTGCTTCTCTACAGCGTGGGCAGTATGACAAAGCGCGGAACCCATTTACAGGCTCAAGTCTACCCTGCTTACCACATCCTGTTCCTGAAGTTCTCACAGTCGACACTCGCGTACACTAGCTCCCGAAGAGCACCCCGATAAGATTAATACTATGTTTAACAGACAAATGCCCCTAGGTCAAGCTCAAATATTCCCTGATAGCTAAGTTAGGCGTAGGTTGGCTCCACCGTGTTTCTCCCGTGGTTCCTTACACAACACTGCCTTCTGAAGGCATTGCTGGGCTCGAAAATGTCGAAGCATCCTCACTCGAGGTCAAATTTCCGAAAGGACGGATCTGTGACTTCCTTCATGTTTCCCCGTCCCTGTGCGGCTGTGCTGCGCTCTACAACCTCAGTGCCTTTTCCCAGGCCCAAGCCCTACGCCCCGATGCAGAACAGACTGGGCCTGATCACCCTGTGGCAGAATCCCTTCGCATTGTAATGACTTCTTGTTACTCTGTAGATATGCATATTCTGAAGCATAGGACACTCGAGGCCATTTCTGGGCTACAATGGAGTGCTGCGCATTGCGGTTGCGCATACAATTCGCCGCGCCTCAACGCCGTCGCCTTCCTCTAGCTTTTGTCTCACTGCTAAAATGAGCGCTCCGCCTAAATCTTGTCAGCTCTCCACGCACAAATGAATTTTGCGACGCGCCCACTTCTCGGCGAGCTTTCCGCCTTGAGATTTGCGGCAAGCAGCATAGTCAAGTGGTGTTGCTGCTTCCTGCCGGGCTTAAAATATAGCATCAAGTAACTTCCATTCTCTTCCACATTTTGAGTAGTTTCTTCCTGCGACACAAACGCAGAGAACTCGCCATGTTTTGGTTCGGGCCGCCAACCTGGCACATGAGTGAGGCTATTTATTCCCGCGGGAAAACACGGCGCACGGTACAGCAGATTCTTTTGTTCTTTTGTCCTAGCGAAGTGCAGTACTCCCACACAGGCACTACAAGGCACTACAAGGGCTTGCGATGTAGAACTGTATTCGGGGACTTTTGTTCTCCGAGGCGAGAAACCTCCTCTGCAAGGAGGAGCCTGCCGTTACCAGAAGTAGACGCAGTGTATTTTATTATGAGCTCACCAAAACCTACTTATGCACAAGTGATGAGGCTTCGGGTCTACGGTAGACAGGCGTCCGGATAGCTTCGTCCAGAGATTAACAGTTCTCCCCGCGCATTTGCCTTAGCTCGTGATCTAGATGTGGACACTAATAGTTTCCTGCTCTTTTTGAGTCACTGTGATTTCCTGAAACGCGGAATCTATGTGTGGCCTATACAACTTTGTTGCTTCGGTAACTAGTAGCGTTTGAGTCATGTTGCTGGAGAAGCCAGCGTACCGCTTGGCTATGCGGCTTTCCCAGCTTGAAAGCACCACCCTGCTAGATGAATCTAGCAACGAGAGAGCTGCGCCTGCTTCCATGAACTGGCAGTAATAAGTGATATTATTGGGCAACTCAGGCATCTGTTGTCTTGCTGCCGACAGTTTTCGACCCTAGCTCCTGAGCTAGAAAGGACTGAAAGATAGTGCTGAGTTTGATCTGAAGAGTGACTACGCTATCGTTAGGCAAAAATGTATCAATGTGTAGTTGTATAGTGCCGCGGTGAAGGGTTTGCAGTCTTCCATGTGTCTTGCTCTGCAATGCAGCTCTGGCGGAAGCACTCCCTGAACCCAGGATGAGAATGTCACATTCATCTCTAGTACAGTATGCACAAGCGATATCGGGAAACCACGGGTAGCCGTTGAGGCATTCAACCCTTGACAGCTAGTTGCCATATGGGCCTTCCGTTCCCCAACGGCTAAGAGGAAATGCCGCTTTTGCAGCGCGGCTAAAACGAACAAGACGCGCAGGGACTTGAAACAAAAGAGGGGGAGAAACGAAACATTCCTCGCGTGGCACGGCTTTCCCGCGCAATATTCACCACGCAATTTCATTGGTCTGCAAAAGGCCGAAAACTTGTCACGTATGCATGCTATGAAATCTGAAGGAGTGCATGGGCTAACGATGATTGCATCATTCTCGGATAGCCTCCGCTAAAAGTGAGCTATGGTAAGTATAGCGCTTAGAGCTATCCCTGTGTACGACTAAAGTGCGCTCTCCTTTGTTTAGCACACCAATTCAACAGACCTCCAAAATTTAAGCCCAAACGGACCCGTGAAGGTCTGTAGTTAGTGGAGCACAACACTGCGCTTTCCCTCCTACTGCATGGCATGCGTTCTTTCTAGTTGGCCAACCAACCATCCTACTACGGGCATTTTTACTGCTCCTAGCATCTGTAACACGTCCAGAGCCAGGTCTGTATACGGCATGAAAGCATTCCTCAGTACTTCTTAGCTCATTGGCGTATCATGCGATGATGCCATAAAGCTAGTCAAGCGGTACTACACGGAACTCAGGAAAGCTTGGGAAGAACAGAATTAGTTCAAGGGTGGAATAGAGCTGCGCCCCGACCAAAGCTGATGCGCAATGTTCATTCCGAGAGGCCTCAGGTTGATGAAAACTCTGGAGCCACAGCAGTCACCGGCCATCATGTGAGCATGCTCAAGGCCTTCGCAGCTCCTAATTACCAAGTAGTTGAACACAGCTCTGGCTTGCAAAATAAGCCCAGGGCTCGACGGCTGCAGCCGCCTTCGCACAAACAGTGAAGTTTCAGCGGTCCCAAGCATGGTGCCTCGATAGTTAATGAAAACGCCCTGCGATGCTCCTATCTTTAATGACATTGCTTGCCGAACTTCGGCTCAGAACAGATCCACGGTTGATACTGGGCCTTCCTTCTAATGCGCCCATTCCCCCTGCTTGCAAGACACCGTGGATCTGTCCCTTTTTAACGGCCCTCTCCTTCCCCTAATGCCTTCTATGTTTAAAAAAGCGTTTTAGATAGATCTAGCCTATGTAGTATTAGCTCAGCAGCAACACTAGCGCAGTTAGCCACAACAAGCAGGAGGCCTCCAGGGTCGTCAGACCGATGGGTTGTGTCTGGAATCGTCAAGGCATTATCGCCGTCTATATCTCAAGCCTAAAGGCTCGAGATATTACTTTTAAACTGGAGGCAACACACGTGGCCAAGGTGCTGCGCCTCTACATATTGCCAAACAGCAGTTTCAAGGCTTGTTCACGAGTTATTCCGCCATTTAAAGGCTTCACAAGGGGTTAAGAAGCTCTTGGGAATCTCTAGTCTACACATAATGTTCAAGTTGAATACTCGTACTCACCGAAATACGTGTAATCGTTCCGCGTTTAGGGGCAAGGTTTGAAGAGCTGCAACGAGAGCCAACGGGGCCCTCTGTGTCGTTGGGTCCATAACAGCATAGAGAGCACTGAGGGCCGCAGTGCAATCAGCTTTTAAATTGATCTGTTTTACTTCGAGCCGTTTTTAAACGTTTTTTTTACACCGTTGGCTGTCGAGACATTGGGGGAAAGGGACGAATAGGCCCAGGAAGCTGCTGCCTGTTCCTTCTGTTCGCTGCGGTTCTTCTTCGTATGGAAGGCTCACACTGCAGCTCTTTGCGCTGCTTTGACATTCTTTGAGCTGCAAAAGCTTCCCATAATTGCAGATCAACTATCAGCTTCTCTTCAGAAGCGAAACGGCCCCAGCTTCCTCGCCCCTACTCTCCCGCTCGTCCCGTCACCGGTTGCCAGCGCGGGATAGTTGTCCTTCTTTCCTTCTCTGACTCTTTACATCAGTTCAATTTTTGTTTTTTGTTTGTTGAAAAGCACACAGGACCTAAGCAAGGGCGACTGCTGGCGCCGCTTCGGGAGACGGCGACACCGGTAGCTCGAAAGGCCATCCCCTTTTTTCGAAGTGGACAAGTTGAGAAGTTTTGGTCCAGTTCAGCTCAGCATACACCGGAGGTCGCGGGTGGAGGACTTTTGTTCGCGGGGAATGTTTCTTTTCTCCCCCTCTTTTGTTTCAAGGCTTTGCGCATCTTGTTCGTTTTAGCCGCGCGGGAAAAGCGGCATTTTCTTTCACGCCTTTTTAATACGTTTTTAGGAGGCTTGCAGCCTTTAATAATGGGACATGAGGGCCAAGCAAAGCCAGGAGGTGAGGCCTTTTTGGTTCTCACGTCGCCGCAATTTTTGCGTCTTTCAACCTGTCATCTTTGCCCTTCTTCACCTTTCAGATTGGTTGAGTGTCGCTGCTTCTTATGCTCATTTTTAATCTTTATTGAGACAAATATATCCCTAATTTGGTTCTTTTTTGCTCTTCACTTCTCCACATTTCCACCAAATGGCATTTGATGTTTCGGTTTGCCTGTGGTGGCCTTCCGTGCGTTTCCTTCTTTGTACAGTTTCTTCTGTCTGTGGTTCTTTTCAACTGCAGTGGCTTTACCTCCATACTGCTTCTCAGTTCTTATGGGCATTTACACATATATTATATTTATTCGGAGCAATGAACTTTTCCCGTTTGTAAAAAAGACTAATTCATTCACTTTCTTGTCTTGTTGCGTTTCTGTCAACTCTCGCGCAGAGCCTCCGGAGGCTCTCAAGCGAGTGCGCAGTGAAGGCTGTGTTCTTCGCCGGCAGCAACTAGTTCGGAATTCTCCTCTTCCGATTAATTCTTGCTACACGGTGGGTTTTTTATTTTTATAATTCTTTCATAAATTGCATTTCATTGCATTTCGCTTTGCTGCAGTTCTTTCTTTCCTTCCCTATTTGTTGCTTTCCTTTAAAGCATGCGCCGCGAGCCAGCTCCTCCCCACATATTCCACCAATAGTTATCTTTTTCTTGCACTTGCTGCTGCTGCTGCTGCTGCTGCTGCTGTTCTTGAGTGGGCTTGATCTTTTTCCTGGTTACCCTTCTTGGGCACTTCCGTGGGTGCTGTGCACATCTGGAGTTCTGTTGCATTAGTGCCAGCTTTTGGCCGTATGGCCCTTTGCGTTTCATTCCCGTGACATTGCTGAAGTCTCCTTCGAGTGTTCATCTGTGCTACTGCAACAACAACTGCTGCTTTGCTGCTGCTGCTGCTGCTGCTGCTGCTGCAGCTGGACGAGACCATTGGCCTGGGGTCTTTTGGCTGCCGGGTGTACCGGGCCACGGACATTTTGTCGGGCGTGCGCCGCGTGGTGAAGTGCGTCAGCAAAGACCAGCCAGAGGGTGTTCGCATATGGCGCAACGAGATAAGTTTTTTGCGGCGAATTCACCACCCCAATGTGGTCCGCATTTTTGAAGTTTTCGAGGAGCCCGCGGCTGTCTACCACGTGCGTGGGCCGGGGCCAGGGCTGGGACTTCGTTTCATGTTGCATTGGTTGAGTGTTCGGCTTTTCTTGCTTCCTTTTGCTCTCTTTGGACTCGGCAGGAGCTGCCGGGTCCTCCCCTTGGATCCTGCATCTCTTGAATGAGGCTTTTTCCTGTTTGTTTGTGGGTCTTTTAATGCTACAGTGACTGTGTCCGTGTACACACATAGCATTCTCATCAGTTCGCTTGCATACTTTGTTCTCTGCTCGTTGCACTGTTCTAAATGCTGTCTTCCTCCTTCACTATTCCTGCTGCCGGTGCAGACTGATCGTAGTATGTTGCAGAAGTTGGGGTGTATGTACAGGTGACGGAAACGTGCTATGGCGGAGACCTTCATCAGTGGCTAGACAGGCGGCTGCGAAGAAGACACAGGCGCCTGAAGAGGCGGAGTGTAAACTTCTGCCTCATGGGCGACAGCGAGGCTCTTCAGCAGCAGCAGCAGCAAGAGGGCGGGGCCGCTGTTAGTGGCCCTTTTGCCCCGGCTTCGTCAGCTGAAGCCACAGGGATAGCAGTCACAGCAGGCACCGCTACGACAGCAACTTCGCCAAACTCCTTGGAAGCTAGCAGCAGTACTAGCTCCGTCTCTCCCGTTGCTGCCACTCCGTCTGGCAGTCGTGCCGGCATCAGCATGCGTGGCTCTTGTCCCGTAGCTGCCGGCGCTGCAGCAGCAGCAGCAACTGCAGCAGCAGCCGCAACAGCAGCAGCTGCGGCGACTGCAGCTGCTGCGGGGGGAGGCGGAGGCCCCGCACTGTCCTCGCCTCCGTCAGCGCCGCCTGGAGCTGCAGCAGGGGGTGCTGCTGCTGCAGCTCGTCCTCTAGTTAGTGAAGAAGTAGCTGCGCAGATAGCTGGTCAGGTGCTGTGCGCGCTGCGCTATCTTCACAGCAAGGACATTGCACACTGCGACATTAAGTTGGAAAATATCCTCTTGGTTGCTGAGCTCGATGACTCGGAAGCAACGGGGGACGGCGAGAGCAGCGAGGAGGAGGAGGCGGAGCTGATGAAGGAGTCCAAGAGCAGCAGGTGGTGATGCAGCAGCAGCAGCTCGCCGCATTGCAGCAGCAGCAAGAGCGCGAGGCAGCAGCAGGGAACAGACTGCGCGCTGGCTTCAGAGCTCGCAGCAGCAATCACAGCAGCAGCAGCACCAACAGCATCAGCAGCAGCATGAGCGCCCTTTCTGTAGTGCCTATGGTAATGAGAAAAAGAAGAAGCATGCGGGATGTTGGCCAGAAGGCACATGCAGACAAAGACATGGACATAGACAGGAATCGAAGCAACTTGTCTTTACCTCAGCTTAAAGACAGCATCCACAGTTCTTCGCATTCTCTTGTCGACAAGTTTAAAAGGAAAAACGTTTTAGTGAAGCTGGCGGACTTCGGATTGGCGAAAAAAATAGTGCGGGGAAGGTCGCAACAGAAGGTTTGTGGCTGTGTCTTTTTTTTGTGCTTCCGTTAAATTGCTTGTTGCGTCTGCCGTTGCGTCTTCTGAATTTTCTTTCCTCATTTGTTTTTGGGAGTCTGTTGTCATTACTTGTCCTTTGGTCTTCGGGTGTGAGCTTGTTCCTGTTGCTTACGTCTTGTTTCTTTTGTATATTTGCCTCATGCGGGTCGATGGCTGCAAAGGGTTTCTAAATTTAGTTTGCATGAATACGTTTGTAAACTATTGGGCAATGATTTCATTGGGTTGCAACAATAATAAATGGATTCTTGAACATTTTAATTTGTCCAAATGTCCTGCAGTGCCTTGACTCGCTTTGCGCACTTGCACAGCATTCTCACACGCAGGATTCACATTCACAGGACTAAGAACTGCTGCTGTTCTGAGACTGGAAATGTTTCAGTTTTTACCAATTTTCTTTTTTATTTCTGTATGTTTCTTTTTGCCATTCTAGGCGGCGCCTAGTTCGGTCTTGGAAGGAACGCTGTACTATCGGTCGCCCTGGCAGATTCGAAATGGGGTGGAGGGTGACGAGCGCAGTGACCTGTGGGCGTTGGGTGTTTGCCTGTTTATGCTTTTTTCGGGAAGGCCTCCTTTTGAAGGAGAAGATAGGTGGAGCATTGAAAAAGCAGTAAGCAGGACAGAAAGCTGAGGCAGAGCTGGAAGCAAAGCTGCACATCGATAGCACGTGCAGACGCAGAATGGGAGTTTGCAAATAGAGGTAGACGCGTGCAGGGCGGGGGTAGCAGCAGAAGCATGGCTGCGTGACTAGAGAACAACGAGCATTATGCTTCAACTGTAAACGGACATGCGCACAGAGTGATATGTGTTGTCTAGTTGGTGCTGCATATACTGTAAAACTTTCGTTTCCAAGGCGAATTTCAGGGAAGGGTGTACTTCGTGGTGCATGCAGCACTCCGTGAACAGAAGAAATAATATTCAGCTGGCATTTATTTGTCTGCTGCTGCAGATCACAGACACGCCTGTGTCCTTCAGCGGGGGCGTGTGGTCAAGTCTTTCGTGTTTGGGCTTCTTGCGGGCTCTTCTGTACAACCCGTTGCTGCCGCTGCACCTCCGTGGCCCTCCCCCGCCCCCGCCCTATTCCCAGCCGACAGCAGAACTCATGCTGAGGCATCCCTGGCTGCAGCAGTGCTTTCGGGAGGAGAGAAGACGTGCGTGGCTTTGTTTCGCAGTTTTCAGGCGCTTGTGTTCTTGATAGTGTGTGTGGCAGTCCTTTGCTCTTTCCGCTGTCTGCTGGTGTTTTGCTGCGCTTCTGCCATTCAGATGCCCCCAAAGGCTTGCCTTTTGCGTTGCTGTCTGTCTTTGTCTTTTCTCATTTCCGAACACTGCGGTGCCTTGCTTGTACAGAAGTTCATGCGGCGTGCTGCCGGGTGGGTTGATTCCTGTGTTTGCTTCTCTGCAGGCCTCATGCGCGCAGTGTCTGCACCTTCTATGAATTACCTGGCAGACCCTTCTCCCCAGTCGCGCAGCTCAGAGACGCCAGAGTCCTCTCCATATACTCCACCTTGCCTTTCTCTCTTATCTCCTTCCCTCAGCCGCAGCGCGCTGCAGCACCCGAACGGAGCCGCCTCAGACCCCACAGCCCACACAAGCGCGGCGCACACACAGGATGGCAGCAGCAGCGGTGGCAGAGAGACAGTTGTTAGGGCGGCGTCGGATCCCCCGCTGCTGCAGCACTTTCGACAAAGACACACTACAGCAGCAGCAGCAGCAGAAAAGACTGAAAGCGCCTCCTGCTGCAGCAGCTGCAGCGCCTGGGGCTGCATCCATGGATGTGTATCCACGCAGAAGCAGCAGAAAGACGCGAAACAACTCCGGATATGCTGGGGGTGAGCCCCGCTGGTGGCGGCGGGTGGTATGCAAGCCCCGCAGCAGCAACAGCAGCTGCAGCAGCAGCACAAACGGCTGTGCTCCCCACAATCGGAGCAAGCAGCTGCCGGCTCATCTTCCCCCACGATTTCTGCGGAGAAGGAGAAAGAAGAAGATTTGTATTTGAATGGAGACACTGGAGGAGAAACAAAAACAAAGTGCTGCGTGCTGCAGGCCTTGGGCATAAGTTCACTGCGATGTGTGTCGTGCGCGGGCAAGGGGGCCTTGACGTTTTTGTCGGAATGCAGCAGCGACTGGCGCGGCTCGCCCACGTTCAGTAGTCAGCAGCACGTGCCTCACGTGAGGCTGACGGGGCCCACCTCAGGCTTGCTGGGATTGGAAAGCTGTGTGGCGGAAACAAATGCCGCTGCTGCTGCTGCTGCGGCTGCTGCTGGAGTGGCAAAGGCAGTGCACCTTGAGGCAGTGACACATTTTCAGGGGCAACTGGGACCTCCTCTTGAGAACGTGCCGCATTTTCATTTGCCTCCTTGTAGGCCTCGTGTGTCTCCCCCTGTTCGCAGCAGCAGCAGCTCATGCATCAACTGCAACTGCAGCAGCGCTGAGGCTGGCTTCAACAAGCGGACAGAAGCACCCGACGCTGCAGTGAGCTCCATTTGCTGTCGCTGTGGGAAGGCCAGTAACAGCAACAGGAGCGGCAACAGGAGTTGCTGCATAGCGGTTGCAGACTGGCTGACGGTAGAACTGTTCGAAGCCCGGGTGTTGCTGCTGCTGCAAGCTGCTGCCTGGCTAGAGTTCGCTCGCCTGAGCCCTCTGCAGAAGGCGCTTCGGTCTGTTGTTGTGAAGTTAATGGAGAGCGACGAGGTCTTCAGGCCCGTCAGAGATATTATGTGGGTCTTAGACCCCCAGCGGAGAGGACATGTGTCTAGTAAGGCTAGAAACTGCATGCTTGCATACGTAGTACACGCGCCGCATATGGCTTGTGTATACAGATACGCAGACACACATATTTGCAAGTTTTACGCGAAAGGATAGCTTATTTCCCACTGGAGTTTACATTAGTACATTCGGAACGCACATTCATGGACTTTGGATTTATGCTACTCCTTATGTTGCGCCAATATCAGTGGATCTTTCATGAATTTTGTTGCCTTGTGCTTTTCACGCCACATGAAGAAGGTTTTTCATGGTTTGTGTACTTTGGTGAGCATGTCGCGTAATTCTGTGGTTGTACATCTATTTGTGCATTGCACGTTTTGCTGCTGCTTTTTCAGGGCGGTGCTTGCTCGACAGCCTTAAAGTCGTCAGAGACTTTTTCAAGTTGGAATCATTCTTGAGGGACTCCGAGCCAAACACCGCCGCTTCCAGTGTTAGTACTAAGGCACTTTCATCTGCAGCGGTAGATCCCAGCACCGCTCACAGCAGCAGCGGCAGCAACGGGATCGTCGGCAACCTGCCAGCCTCTCCTCTACAGACACTTTTGGCGCTTTCAGATGTATTCCCAGGGGAGGAGCCCCAGCTGTTTGCTCTGGATCAGTTTTGCAAGTTGCTAGATGAGGCTCTGGAAACGCAAGAGGCGCCAGTCACCGAGTCTTCAGTTCAGCAAGGACAAGTGGGGAAACCGGCGGACTTGACCAGTGACGCTGCAGCAGCGCATCAATCAGCTGCTTCCGCTTCTACAGAAACAAGAGCAGAAGGACCTGGCGCTTGCAGTTGCCCCATGGATGAGGCCCTCGTCTGCCTTGACACTGACGGCAGCGGGGCAGTGGAGTTCGATGAGCTTGTAGCTGCATCAATGACCCGTGTAGACTTTCTTGAGAGAGAGCCGACGTGCAGGCAAGTGCCGCTGCATGATTAGCACCTAAAAATCCCTATTTTCGTACAATTCGCGGGGGAATCGTTGTGCTTATCTCTTCTTTTTCAGTTTGTTGCAAGCGGGTTGGCAACAAACTTGAAGTGGAATAGGCAGTACTGCTGCTGCTTCAGTTTCGGCGGTTCTGATTCACCGCAAGAGGGGAAGTCAATCCGTGCTTCTTTTCCTTCTGCTGTTGTGCGCAGCGTTGCATTTCGCTTGCTAGACCGCAACGTGGATGACTACGTCTCCGCCAACGATCTCCTGACAATTCTGCACTTCGATCCTCGGTCGGATCTGAAGGCAGTTTTGGAGGCGCAGACCAAACGTGCGGACGCAGCAGTAGAGTCGCTCATGCGAGCAGCAGCTGCTGCCGAGGCTGCGGGGGAGCCTCTCCCTCCAGGCGCCGTTCTCGATCAGACAAAGCTGGTCACAGGAATTGATGAGCACGGAAATACGTTTGAAGTCCCTGCAGAGGCTTCCTGCATTTTGCAGCTGGAAGGCGTCACTGCTGCAACGGCACCGCTGTATGTGCAGGTTGTCAGGGAGCTTAAGGCGACGCAGCCGCGTGCGAACGGCCTTTGGGCGTTCGAAGACTTCATGAAGCTCCTCTAAACTAGCAGTTTCTGGTTTTCTTGTTCATGTTTAGTGTGTACACGTCGCAAGAAAGCCAGAAGCCCAAATGGATCACGCGGTGACGGCTTTTCGAAACGCTGCGTGGCAGCAGACATGGTACATTCACTTCTCTCGAGCTGGGTCGACTGCAGGGCAATCAGTCAGTCAACTCTCGCCCGTGCAGTGTTGGAGTGTTGCGGTGGCCCGCACTCCGCAAGTGCTTCAGAATTCAATACAAAGGCAATTGCTCGTATCTCATGTGCTCATCACGCCGTAGACTTCGGCTGAGGCGCACTCAAGACGAGCCTGGCTCGCCAGAGCTGCAGGGTGTCAGTCTCTGGCACACATATTTTTATACTCAGATACAATTTGTACACACATTCACATATTCACGTGTGGTGGTGCATGCAACCCGCCTGCATGCGTAAGTGCATGCAGAGCGGTGCTTCCGAACGCGCTGTGCTCGCTAACTGATGGGCGCATTCCACTGGTCTGCAGAGCGCTTTTCTCATGGTTCGGTAGAATACGAACAAAAAGAAACACCGGGCGAAGTCTTCACTGCATCTGCATGCACCGCCTCTAGTGTGTCGGCGACGCGAGGCATTCGAGTAACTTTAGCCCTACTTTCTGCACATAAATCCGAAGTTTGGATTCGGGACTTTAACATTAAGTGAGCTAACAACTTCGCCACGTCACTTAGATAGAGGGTAAAGAGTTCAGCCGCACAACTGAAAGGCTCGAGCCGTTGCAGGCATGCACGTAAAAAGCGAGCACTCAAGTCAAAGCTTCAACTGCGCGGGCGCACAGAAGCTTCGCTTGCTATAATGTGCGAACTAAGTGTCCTTAGATGCGCCGTCTTTGTTGGCAGGCCACAATTGCAAGCCCTAGCCGTTTTAGGTTTCATAACGCTTTATTTCGGAAGCTTGGACGGGGCTTCCAATTTGCCCAGATCCAAGTCTTTTCTTCCTTTCTGGAGAGCCCTCCTCTGTCTTCTCACATACTTGCATTTATTTTTTCACAGGTTTGCCTTTCTACAGATTTGCCTTTATTTTCTCGAGAATGCCCGCCGCCTCTTCGGCAGTGATCATAGAACTGGCGCTTTTGAACTGTTTGAAAAGATTGTCGTTTTCAAAACGCGGCACGACGTGGAAGTGCAGGTGGTGGACGATCTGGCCAGCGGCGGCCCCGCCGTTGTGCAGCACATTTACTGCGTCGCAGTTTGTGGCCTGAAGTCGCAAAACTCTTTGTACTTTAGAGAGGAATAAGGCCTAAGAATGTGGAAAACATTCACTTCTGAGAAGATACGAAGGGGGGCCACGGGAGGGGGCTTTACTGAGGTCACTCCACTTCAGGTGTATGCACACCTCAGGTGTATGTACACCTCGGGTGCACGCACACCCACACTTCAGGTGTATGTACACCCACCTTCTGAACTGCCCTGCAGAGTCTGGGAAGCTCCTTCAGCACATCTCCCGCCTGCTGTTCACTCAGATCCATAATTGTGAGTGCCGGCGCCTTCGATATGAGCAAGGCGTGGCCCTGGGCTGTGGGGAATGCATCTAAGATGGCTATGCAGCTTTCTGTCTCGAAGATCTGATTCATCAAACACACAAACGCAACACAAACATATCATGCAAGAATGCATGATGCATGTAACTACATACGCTGGCGCTGGCGGTAATTCACGCCCACACAACTCTTTATGCAAGTTGAGCATAATGTTTCTAATACAAGTCTGTTTGTTTGAGGTGCATGCAAGGCCACGCAAAACGCCGGACTTGTGTTTGCTACTCCGCTTCCGCGTTGAAATTTCCTGTACTGCCTCTCGTGTCTCACCCTGGAGTAGATATTCACTCCCTCGGTTGTAGACATTAAGGCGACAGTTAGTACTCGCAACAGTCAAAACTGAAGTGCTTTATTTGATGCTAAGTGTGGTTTCATCTACAAGTGGGTAACATGACTAAGGCAAAGAGAGAGACTTTTCCCATCGCTGAAAGGGCAAATAGCTCGGGATAATGTGCAGCTCATCAGCTGACCTTGTGGCACGGCAGTCGGCCATCAAGGATCTTTGCAAAGACGTTGTCGGGGTCGTAGGGCTTTTGCTGGGTTGACGGCATTCTGCTGCTGCTGTAGCTGTGGAGGGCGTAGAGCGCTGCAGTGCGATGCGTGTAGGAAACTGTCGGGGTGAAGATTTGGCTACGGGGGCCCTGCAGTTTCAAGGGGGGAATACACGTGGTGCAAAAAGCCCACAGATATCTACGCATTTGCATTTTTAAACAAGATGTGTTCTTTGCTTGTGGGTAGCAAGTGTAGTATCGTGGGGCTGAGGTCTCGAGACAAGGGGGCTCACAGCGGGCGGCATTTTCGCACACCTACGTCCTATCAGCCACGTGTACACAGTAAATACAGAAATCAAAGAAGTGTTTAATTGTCATTTTAAATAAACACAGAATATGGTTCGCCCAGAGAAGCCTTTACGAATGTCCGGCCCACAGGGTCGTCTGTGTTGTACATACAGCATGTATGATGTTGAGTAGCTTTATGAATGCTCCAGTGACCACCTCTTGAAAGCTTATTACCTTAATAATCTTGGGGAAACAAATGTAAACTGCAACACATGTCATCAGCATTTTTGGTTAATTGTGTAACTTTCCGGTGCAATGAATGAAAATGCCAGCGCCTACCAGAAATGCGCCGTCTGCCAAATACATGCCAACGACGCCAGAGTCTGTAGAGTAGAGGTGTCACTAAACCTTTATTTATTCTGTTGTTGCCTCGTTTCAGCTGCAATGCATAGAGGCCTTTTTGCCCCAGAGCAACGACTTCAAGTGTTTGAAGCCTTAGGCCTCACTCGACTTCATTGAGAGCTTTTGGTGAAGTGTAAGGATTCTTGGTGGGGAAGGAGTATCCGCGAGCCTTCCTAGTGAATAGTCCTCATCGCACTTCCTGACAGCTGGATTACACTTTGACGTTGTTGTTCCGTACAATAAGCTCCCATAGCACGCTAGAGATGCAGTCCCATTGGAACCTTGCAGAAGGTATTGGTCCACTGGAGACTTGAGGGTGTATGAGCAGTTGCAGACGACCAGCTCATTGCCACTTTCGCGCTACTTCGTCCAAGAGAAGCAACAATTCTTGTAGCGGACGCTTGAATTGGGCTAGCTTTATTTGGTCGTGAACAGCCTTGGCAACACGGCACTTATGTCACCTAGTTTGGTTTCTCATCATTGAGTTCTCTAAACATGCTTTGCACATGTCGGTTATCAGGAGTCAGACAAATGCAGGCACGCTTTGGCAGACGCTTTAAGTATAATTCCTTGACTGCGCGTCGCCCAGCAGTTTATCATGACAAAGCCTTCCCCCGGCAATCATCAAAATCCCATACTTCTGCCCCCTCCGGCTCTTCATGACTTCGGTGAATTCATCTGAATGTTCATAATATATGGGCAACTAGCCACGCTATGACCCACGCAGTGAATTCCGTTGATGGCTTCTAACTCTCAAGAGAAGCTTGTCAGCGAGGCGTAACACATTTAGGGAGCTCTAGAGCGAAGTGACAAGGAGTTCGTCACCCCAGCTAAATCGGAAGACGGTTTCAAACTGTGGAGGCTCCTTCAACTACTTTGAGGACATGGAAGGAAAAATTGATTTTGCCCCAGAGATGGAACGTTAGCAATGAGAAAAGAAAGGCGTCCCTAAATTGAAGGAACTGAAGCAAGGGAGGTGACTGAGAGACAAGGCAAACTGCAAACGACCTTGTGGTATCAGTGGCCCAACTAGTTGCCTTCTTAGTCTGCAGCGGAGCCCAAGAAGGCGCCTGGGCCTTCGTGGGCTCCGCCGCAGCGTCGAAACCAAAATAGTTGAAACATGGGGAACATCCACTGTCTCTCATGGTTGCACTTATGCGCTGTGTGGAGAAGGCATTAGGCTTTAGCTTAGCGGTAGTGAGAGCGGTTTTCGGTACAGAGCTACTTCCAGCATGGCACTTGTTTTGGCTACATAGGTTTCCACTGATCACTACACACTAAAGACACCTTTTAAGCATGCAAAAGACTCAGACAGATTTATTGTAAGTCCGGCTCCCCAACGATTGCATACGCTTCTATCCTCAGTTTCCCTACGTGGCCATGGTGGGCAACGCAGATTCAGTTCACCTTGCCCCAACCCCCGGATCTGATGGCAAAGCACGCTAGTCGTGGTCGTCCGAGGAGGAGATCGCTTTGCGCCATAGTGACTTCTAGTTATTATCCGAGGTGTACGACCCTGGAGGCCATTGTGGGCTACATTAGAACCCACGATGGACTTGGACCTCAATAGCTTGCACTTTTCGTCACTAAAAAAAGCATATGGGTCCTTCTTGGTGTGTATTTTGGTGCAGCAGCCCTTACTCTGCTGCATTTTCCTTCAACTTCAGCGGCAACGTTCTGCCGCTGTGTGTTTTGCTGTATGTTCTTGCGTTCACTTGACGCTGGTCTGCTTCAGACTGTTTCCCTGCAGACTTTGCCTTTTCCACACCTGGCTCGAAAACCGCTCCTCTCTGCAACGCCACTGCAGCTATCGCTGCTACCGTCTGCGGTAGTTACCCACCGTATGCATGCACTTCAGTGCTGCAACGTATGTTAGTCATTGCTTTATATCGATTTTAGCCGTGTGGTTCGCTTGCTTTGTCTTCTCCTTTGTGCTGCTTGCCGACAGTATTTGTGGAAGAAAGCTCCGCCTCCAGTAAGCTCTGCTTCCCTCTTTCAATATGCGCCTTGCGCTCTTCTGCAACCGTTACACATGTGGCATGCCTTTATTCTTGCATCAAGAGTCTCTGCTTTCACCTGGAGTTGGATCCGGTGGCATTTGGCCTTGTTGAGATGGAACATAGTGTGAGGAACTGCACATCTGTAAATGCTTTTCGTCCTTGTATGCAAAACAACCTTGCCGTCCAAGCGGCGTACTCTGCCACCTTCGTTCGCCTAAAGGCTGTTCGTCCCCGTACGTCCTCCACGTAGCGCTCTAATCCATTTCATTCCGTCCTCGATGCTTCGCCTTCAGCTCCTCTCCTGCATTGCTGTCATTTCTGCTGCCGCTTCTCTTTACTCGGTGGGCTTGATGGTGGCACCATTAGTTAGGACCCTGCAGAGCTGAAGTAGTACGCATTGAGCTTCACTGCAGCACCTCTATCCTTCGAACAAATAATCTTTCCAAAATTAGCCCAATACTTCCGATGTTAATGTTTTTCACCGGCTAATTGCAGTCTATTGAACTAATGCAGCACGGTTGAAAGTGCAGGACATAGAAGCATGCCACACTTTACTCTTGCCCAGTGCTTAATATCCGCGCTTGCATTCTATAGATAGATCCAGTTCACAAGAAAATAGATACTTTTCTAGCCCGCTTCCCCAGTAGCGTTGGTCTAGGTCCATTTGCGAAAAATGCATCGCTCCTACATCGAAAAACGTTCTCATGTTGCCTCCCCCTTTGCATGGCAGCTGATGTCGCTGGGATCCATCGCTCCAAACTCAGATAGAGAAGGAAAAATCGCATCTGCGACGACTAGTGAGTCAGTTAGGCAACTCCCATGGCCTGGTCGATTTATGAGGAGGTCTCTACAGGCCTCTACTTCCTACTTTCTCATGCCATCCCTTTGTAGGATGTAAATGGTGCTTTTATGAACCCGTTTCTCGGGTGTCAGAACTTTCTGCTGCGTAGCTTGACTTGCTTCGCGAACGCTGGAAGATGTCTGGTCGTACAGCTGTATTATGCGCTTCTTGTGCATTTGCATGGCTGACGCACTCCGGATGGTAGATGTTAGTGGCGCCTCGATTCAGCAAGATTAAATTAACAGGATTGTAACCTGATAATGTGTAGGGAAATTGTTCCGTGGGACGAACTCCAGATTGTAGTGAGCTAGACCCAGCTTGACTCCTACGCGTCTTTCCCGTCTTGATTGCATAGCCTCATATCTAAGACTACCTCCTGATGACAGTGTTTACACCTAAAAGAGGTTCAAACAGTCTCGTTATAGGTCCAGTTTTCAAAGGGATACATACGCTTTGTGTACGATGTTTCCCCCAGCCTGCGTGGCTACAATGTGCATTGCAGCTTGAATTCGCCATGCAAGCCCCAAACTCCGTGTTTTAATACAAAGCACCTTGGTCCTGATGGCCCGTGAACCGAGCCACTGTGCATGAAAATGGCTTTTAGCCGTTACTTGTAGATTACTTATATCTGCATATTTTGGAATATATGACCCTGAGGCTATTCGTGGGTTGCATTGGAGTGATGAGCACTACAGTAGGTGTCTACGCAAACACAGAAGCTGCAGTAACTCAAAGGGACTATTCGCCCTCGAACGTCTTTTGCTTTTCTGTATAGCTGTAACTGTTTATAGCTCAGGTAAGCCTATAACGCGTTTCTCGTTTCCGAGGACAAATTTCGTTCTGCATTCCTGTGCCCTGCTCCACAGTGCATGCTTCGTCGAGCCCGTCTGTCACCAGAAACCAGGAAGCGGGTATGAGAGGATTATAAGCCTTTTACTCCAGAGATTTGCCAGAGTAACCCAATTTTTTAAGGAGCGAGAACTTGCCAGTAAAAGATGGTCTAATCTTCGGTTTGTGGTGTTGGACCTTTCTGCGGCGGCCAAAAATAGACGAAAGGCATGAGGGCATCGAATCAACGCAGCTCAAGCCTAACTAAAAGTGATGACTCTGCGCTCAACAGGGAACTAAGTACACGGCACGTTCGTAGGCCATGCCAGGGCCTGGTGCTCTTGGATGTCGTTGGACGGCCCACAGGACTGGACTCTGTAGGGATTTGTTGAGGATGCGGGCTCGCTTAATGTTCAAGCTAATAAAACTTGCACAAAATGGCATTGATGCCCCTAGACGCGCTTTAACGCTAAATGCATCAAACATTTCGGGTTTGGAGTAAGGAAGGGCTAGGAATGTATTCCTGTAATGTTAAGCGCAAGGCAAAGACGGAGAAAAATTAAATTTGCTCCCATGAAAGTTATTTGGCTGCTTCAAGGTGAATTTGTGCTCTAGGTTAGTGTTGGTGAGGCAGTGCCTAGGCTTGGTTTATAGGTAGGGCACATGAGGCAATGCACCGTGCCACCAGACAAAAGCCTTCTGCAGAATGATAGGGCTGGTTCTCCCTTGTGCAAGGCACGTCCCCACTGTCGCAATTACTGCATATTGCATATATCAGGGGCAGCGCTCAAACATCGCTGGAAGCGTATCTGAGCTGCATGTTAGTAACTAGACGGATAAAATTGGTGCTCAGGGGAGTGGAAGAGCGACGGAGTCACTTGTTGCACTGCGTTTCTGAGGTTCGCATTGCGTCCCTTCGAATATCCACCCTCGACAATTGCTGCGTCTTCCTTGCAAACGTGAGCTTGTGCTGCGTAGTGTGGTTTAATGGGCCCCGAAGAGCTTTGCTGTACAGCGTATCACCACACCTAGCGGCACAGCGCGCATTAGAAATTCCACGCATTTATTTTTTTCGGGCCCCTGGCCGGGCCGAAGCACGAACTACGTGGCAGATCACTGCCCATTCATCACACTTATGTCGCCTTTGTCTATTTCGCAGCTGACAAATTCAAATTGCCTCTTGGAAACTTGAGCGCTTATATTTTCAATTGGTCAGTTGATGCTCTAACTCAGAAACTGGTAGAACTGCGGCCACTCCCTCCTAAGCGTGATACCAACGCGACGCGTGCTCATCCAGGGATGACAATCAACTGAAAGTACTCTGCGAGCTCTTCTCACTATTCAAGATATTCTGTCATTGAACTAGTCATAGGAAGGAAAAAATGAAGAAATCAACGAAGGATACACATTCTAGGAGCCCTGTTGTCTAGACATTGAGGGTCACGGATGGGGAACTACAACCCAGAGAACAACAACAGGGCACAAAACGACGTTCGGGAAGTCGAAATAGCTGAATTTGAATGCTTTTTTTAAACTTTATTAGTCAGAGGCTAGTTGCCGCACCTGTACCAGCACCTGGTGGATCCCACAAACGGGGATGTGGACACACATAACCAGAGCGTGATGTTGCTGCATGAAGTATGTTCCAGCAACTTTGGCTTTCACCTGCTGCTTTGCAGCATAACAGGACAGTGTTTGAACATGCAGACAGCACGTTGGCTTAGAAATAGCCCTAGTCACCACAGCAGCTGCGTACGGCTTCCAAGATAAACTACAAACGCTCTGTGGCGTGCAGCTGCTGCGTGCCGCCGCTACAGATTGCTGAGGTTTGCAGGGCCAGCTAATTCTCCCGCCAAATTTCCGCCATCTTTAATACGTATATTGCGACTGTTTCTGTGGAGAATTCATACATGCAACGGGCAGCAAAGACCCCAACGAGGTGTTTGGCGCAACTGCAACGGTGCCCGTCTCGAGCGGCTGCTGCTACTCCCTGATCAGCTGGCGCTGCGTATCAGTTGACGCAGAACTGTGTTGCACTCTTACACTAAAAATTGGGAGCTTCTCCAGCTTCCGATAAAGGGGCTGCTTGCGTAGCTTTTCCCCCGCTCCCTGCCGCCCACCTGGAACACAGCCTCTACTGCAACTCACGTGGCATTCACGAACTGGGAGAGTTGCAAAACAACTTAGGGAGTCAGATCCGCACTCTGCAAAATCAGAAACGTTGTTTATACAGAGCTACGCACCAACACTGGGCACAATGACAGAGGAAATACCAAGCAGCAACACTCCCGCGGCAGGACAGGCTGGAGGTGCTCCGGCGGCCTCTGCAGGCAATAAGAAGGCAGACGCCAATGCGGCAGCAAATCAGCAGCCAAAGAAGAAGAGATCGCCTAACCGCCTTGTGGTGGAGGAGGCGATCAACGACGACAATTCTGTCGTCGCACTGAATCCTTCCCGCATGGAAACCTTGCAGATCTTCCGGGGTGACACTGTGCTGCTGCGTGGGAAGATGCGCCATGACACCGTCTGCGTCGTTCTTGCAGATCAGGATCTTGATGAGGGCAAGATCAGGCTTAACAAAGTTGTCAGGAAGAACCTCCGCGTCCGACTCGGTGGTGGGGCCATGTACACTGCAGATGTGTGCGAGAGATTTTCCCTATTTTTCACGCAGCAACGTAGTTGTGTGTGCATGCGTATGCTTTTCTAAAGTTTATGCGCGGATGTGCTGCAGACATAGTCCACGTTAGCGCTTGCGCGGACTGCCCATATGGCAAAAGGATTCATGTCCTTCCCCTTGATGACACAATCGAGGGTATAACGGGTAAGCCCGCTCTTGGCCTTGCAGTTTCTTCGCTGAAACCTGACACAATTGCGTGCTGACTTGGAGGATGGAGTGTTTTGTTGGTCGAGGAATGCGACTTTTGTGCGACTTTTGTGGACAGGCAACCTCTTTGAGATTTACCTGAAGCCCTATTTCATGGAAGCTTACAGGCCAGTGCGAAAAAATGACCTGTTCCTTGTTCGTGGTGGCTTCAGACCCGTTGAGTTCAAGGTAGGAAAACAATCCGCGTTGGGATGGGACCTTCTCCAGGGTTTTTCTTTCGCTGATCTTTGGTTGCATGCCGACTCTATGAGGTTTAGTGTCGCCGTTCTTTTTCCCACTGGGGGGGCCATGTGAATAGCAGAGCAGTATTGTTGCCATGGATAGGATGCATATAGGCTCATGGTCTCATACTAAGCGTGGTTTTCGGTGAGCCCGAGGCGCAGTCTTTTTTTTTAATTGTGGCTTCATGTTCACAATTCAATAGGTAGTAGGAGTTGATCCTGGCGAGTTTTGTATCGTGGCACCCGACACTGTTATTCACTGTGAAGGAGAGCCGGTCAAGCGCGAGGAGGAGGAGAGACTCGATGAAATTGGATATGAGGATATTGGTGCGTCTGCTAAAATTTCACGTTCCAAATTCACCTTCCAAGCGGCCGTTCGCACTGTACGGACCAGGGCAGTTGTCTTCGGTTTCTCCGGCTGTTGTGCTGCATCGGCTGTTGTGTTGCATTGGAGGCTGGAAGGACGCTTCGCTACGTCTTTGTCTCTGAGTAGTATGAAGTGTTCTGTGATGTGCATAAAATTTAGGGGGCTGCCGCAAGCAAATGGCGCAGATTCGTGAAATGATCGAGCTGCCCTTGCGACACCCGACGCTGTTCAAGACACTAGGAGTGAAACCCCCACGGGGCGTCTTACTTTACGGCCCTCCAGGTAACTGCTGGCAAGCGGGTATTGCTTTCATCCTGGCGTCGTGTTTTGCCTTTCCTGCTGAGTCTCAGTTGTAAGCGCCGAGCGTGCTGCAGTCCCATGTGGTCAGGTGAGGTTTAGGGCGGAGGGAGTATATGAGGATAGTTCGCAATGATGATAGGGCGTTTGCTCTGCAGGTAGCGGGAAGACACTTATTGCGAAAGCTGTGGCAAACGAGACGGGAGCGTTTTTCTTTCTCATTAATGGTCCTGAAGTGATGAGCAAGATGGCAGGTTTGTTTCCACGCATCTGCTGGCACTGGTGACATATTGCTCCTCCTCAAAGTGCCGCTGACTTACTTTGACATGGGCAATGCTGCGCTTTCATGCAATGACCCGCTCGGGACGGGAGTCGATAGTGCTGCGCGTAGTGAGGTGCCTCTCCAGGTATTGTGCGGGACATTGGCATGTGTGCTTTGGAGTGGTGAGTGGGTTGCGGATAGTGGCTATTTAGTCACTAGAGAAGTAGCCTCCGTGAGGATTTGTTAATGCAGGAGAGGCGGAAGCGAACCTACGTCGAGCATTTGAAGAGGCGGAGAAGAATGCACCTGCAATCATCTTTATCGACGAGATTGACTCGATTGCGCCAAAGCGAGAGAAGACAAATGGAGAGGTCGAGCGCCGTGTCGTCTCCCAACTCCTGACGCTGATGGATGGCCTGAAGGGGAGAGGTCAAGTGGTTGTGATCGGTATGTCTCCACCCGGAACGACCCAAACAAGAAAGAGTAGCACGCCGTTGACTCTCTGATTTTGTGCTTCCATTTTATCCAGGCAGCCTCTTCTTCGGGTGATAGGCAGCAAAGGTTTCGTGACTCTTTTCGGATGTTTTGGCCCACATCATGATCCACAAGCGTGTACAAATGTCTATGGCAAATATACCTGTGGTGCTGCAGGGGCCACCAATCGTCAGAACTCCATAGACCCTGCTCTGCGTCGTTTTGGTCGTTTTGACCGCGAGATTGATATTGGCGTGCCAGATGACAACGGACGCCTCGAAATTCTGAGAATTCACACGCGCAACATGAAGTTAGGCCCGGATGTGAGGCTGGAGGAGCTGGCCTCTAGCACCCATGGTTTCGTGGTAAGTGGCTCGTATTTCGCGCTTTAGGGGCTTTAGGTTGCAGAAGCGCATATAGCCGTACGTATGCACATCGCGTGTATGTATGGATATCTGGGGCTTGAATTTGTCTTTAACTTCCGTTGTTTGTGCTCATACAAAATTATCGCGGGTAACCTTGCTGCATGGGGAAGTACGCAAGGTCTTGTAGGTGGAATGCCGTCGTGAGCTCGCTGCTTTTTTTGCAGGGCGCTGACTTGGCACAGCTGTGCACTGAGGCAGCTCTTTCATGCATTCGTGAGAAGATGGATTTGATTGATCTTGAAGATGACACGATAGACGCCCAGGTAACGGCGTGGATAGTACTCAGGTGTTCGTAGCTGCTACTGTGCTTCCTGGCAGGAGCTGCGTTATAGTGAAAGTTGCTGTGTGGTTGAGGTGCGTAAGCAACCCGATTTGTATGACATAAGAGGAAGGGTAGCTCTTCGATTTTGCTGTCTGCATCTGATGTTTGTCTCTTCTTTGTGAAGGTACTGAATTCCATGGCAGTCACTCAAGAACACTTCTCTTCAGCACTGCAGAGCTGCAATCCTTCTTCTCTCAGAGAAACGGTTGTCGAGGTCCCCAACGTGAAGTGGGACGACATTGGTGAGCATATCCCCTGTGTCAGAAAGTGCCTTGGGGCAAAAGATTACCGCAAACGCGAAGTGAGGCTGTTACTCCATGGCATCTTGAAACACTGCTGGCGCTGTTGCACGTGACGCTGCAGGCGGTTTGGAGGAGGTGAAACGGAACTTGCAAGAAATGATTTTGTACCCAATCGATCATCCAGAGAAATTCGAGAAGTTCGGAATGAGTCCAAGCCGAGGCGTTCTTTTCTATGGACCTCCAGGTAAGGCTGAGGTGACATCTTGCGGTTTATCCTCGACTGCTTTGCATAAAGGAACTACGAGTTATCGAGACACGAGATGTTGAAGTATTATCAGCTCACTTTTGTGTGTAATCGAGTCTGAGTCAACGCATAGTATATGTGCCATTGCGGATCTGGCCCATCTGAAGTTCTTCTGGCGCTTGTGTGTGTAGCGTTCACACGTATTTGAGTTTTTGCCTGTGCGTGCGTACCCCGTTACATATATCACATTATTTTGGAGCTCGTAGGAGTTGTTTCCATTGAGTGATTTAACTCAATGCGACGGAGGCATATTATTATGCTGCTTGGCTTCAGGGTGCGGCAAAACTCTACTGGCAAAGGCTGTGGCCTCTGAGTGTTCTGCAAACTTCATATCCATCAAGGGCCCGGAGCTGTTGACTATGTGGTTTGGTGAATCTGAAGCAAACGTCAGAGAAGTATTTGACAAGGTATGTAGAGCTGCGAGAAGCTGTACTTAAAGTTCAGTTCTTTTTGTGCCGTTCCACGTTTATCCTGTGCTGCTGTTTGAGAAGTGACGCTCATGAACTATGTCTTGAACCTGTGTGTATCATCTGATGGCTTCAGGCAAGAGCTGCCAGCCCCTGTGTTCTTTTCTTTGACGAGCTTGATTCGATCGGCACGCAGCGAGGAAATAACCTTGGGGATGCGGGAGGCGCTGGTGAGTTCAGCGGATTTGTAAGCTAGACGGACTTTTGCCGAACTATTTAACAAGGTCTATACATTCCTGCGTGGTGAATGTTGATTGCTCGCAGGTGACAGAGTCATGAACCAGCTGCTGACAGAGATAGATGGAGTAGGCCCCATGAAGAATCTCTTCTTTGTTGGGGCTACCAATCGCCCTGAGCTTCTTGATGAGGCTCTTCTCAGGCCTGGGCGTCTCGATCAGCTTATTTATATTCCTTTACCAGATCTCCCTGCTCGTGTCAGCATTCTGCAGGTTAGTCTGGAGCTAAGCATTGCCTTTAGACCGCTATTCGGAGTCGGGACTTCGCTCTTCAGCAGCTGCACTGTCGAGCACAGAGCCTCATTTTTCATTTTGCTGCAGGCAACTTTGAGGAAGGCACCGGTGGCTCCGAACGTGCCTATTCCGTTCCTTGCTCACAAAACTGCAGGCTTTTCAGGAGCAGATATTGCGGAAATGTGCCAGAGAGCTGCAAAAGCGGCTATTCGCGACGTGAGGTATTCACTTAATGGGTGCCAACAGCTGCATTGGCGCATCAAGTCGGTGCGGGGTGTTCAGCATTCACATTCGCATGCTCAGTTGCAGAGTGCTCGGCTCAGAGCGTAGAGGCACCCTTTCTCCAACTTTTCGGCTGTTTCCATCAGGCAATTGCTGCTGAGGAGTTGGCACGAGCTGCGGGAAATGAAGGGATGGATGAGGATGAGACGAACATAAAGTACGAAATCACCCGGAAGCATTTCGAAGAAGGGCTTGCAGGTGAGGACTGGCACTGAGGGGTTTTCGTCAATTACGAGTTGTATGCGTTTTTGAACCTAAGCGGACCTTCACTAGACACTAGGCAGTTGAAGACATTTGAAAACTGCGGGGGAGTACTTTCAGTCTGCTGTCCAACTAGTTCGAATTGCGCACGGGAAAAAGAGCGGGAAATGGCTGGCGTGTTGCTCAGATGCGGGTTGTATTGGGTGTATTCTCACGCGTATGTATGTTGTTATCCTGTAGTGAGGCATGTCGTAGAAGGTTTCCTCACGTGTCGCGGTGGTGTTCCTGTGGCACAGGTCCATCTGCTGTGTTGTGCTGTCAAGTTCGGTGTTGCTGTGCCTCATGTTTGTATGTGTGGCAGTGCTGTTAGGGGCATTTGTGTGAGGGGATTTGCTTTTTAGTGGCTTAGTAGAGCAGGCATTGCAGAAGTGGTGGAATACGTGGCTGTGTGATCAGGGGCCCGTAGAAGTGTTTCTCAGACGGATTTGTCTAAGTACGACTCCTTTAGAATGAAATTCGACCCAATATACAAGAGCCAGGCAGCTGGAGGCGACGGGTCAATTATTGTCGATTGGCCAAACACCGATGGCGCAGCCACCGACTTGGTAGGTTGTATAACGTGCAGCTGGGCGCGTTGGTTTTTTGGCTTGGCATGCATCTACATTTGGACCGCGCGCGTATAAATGCCTTTGTAAATGTGTTTAAACAATCATTTAGTGTTTCCATGCGGTGCTTTTGAAGTAGGACTAGCCAGGGTAAAATTGCGCCGACTGACAGGTCGTTTTCAAGGCGACATTGTTGCCCACGAAAGGTGTAACACGTAGTAGTAGCACCGTTAGCTTAAAGCTCCAACAACTGCCTGTGCGTGAGCATTTATGACAGGTTCGGGTCGAAGAAGGCGACGACGATGATTTGTATTCGTAAAGCGGTGCCAGGGGCGTCCTACAGCTCAACAGGTCTCCCGTAATGAATAAACAACAAAATATAGTGACTGCTCTCGAAGTTGCGGCTTGCCGGGCAGGTGCAGTTCTAGGACACGGACAAGGATGCATAACACGGTCGGACGGCAGCAGAAAGAAGCAAATATTTGGCAGCGGCGTTGAACTGTTGGAAAATTTAGTGTATTTGTTGCCTGTATCATCTAAAGTATTGCACTACACACTCGTATTGGCGAGGGGCGAGCACATCTCAGCAGTAGCTATCGCCGCCTCCTCTCCCAGTACGACGAGGAAACGCTGTTTGTGCTGCTGAAAGGCAGTATGAAGGCAAACACGAAAGTGCGGTGTCCGGACGTCGGCCTTCAGCTTCCACTAGGTCTGGTACTGTTAAAGAAGCACCTTAACCGGACGGTTCCATCTCTGTCGCACAAAAAATTAAGGGGTTTCAGCCCCATATACAGATTCGAGTACTACGCAGTACAGTTCAGCAGAAGATCCGACACAGAGTTGAACACGGCCGTAGCTTTCTGCGAAGTAGCGACTGTGGAACGGCTGGCTGCGGCCTCGGCAGACCGCAATGTGCAGACACGAAATGCCTAGATTCGAACTATAGTGGAAGTTCAGAGGTGAATGTTTGTTGATTTAGTTCTTCCATTCTGCAGTCATTCAGATCGGCGTAAGGCCACATTAAGCTGCAACATTCGTTAGATGCCAGTCCTCAGTGAACGACTTTCGCTTTGGCGCCCATGGAGGTTTCCAGTAGGGACCTAACCAGAACCAGCGACCTGACCTTCCGCGCATCTGCAGAGCAGAAAGGCACAAGGCAAACTAACATACGGCTCACGAAACAAGTGCTGCAGAAGTGAGTCCTGCAATTTCTCACCATCCTGGGCTTCCCGCCGCGTCGAGCCTTTGTGTGCGAGAACTTCGTGGGGTAAAATTCATGCGCCTTCACCTGCACAACGGAACCATAGGGACCGAAACAGTGAAGGCCAACACTGATACGACATGCAGAAGTGTCGGCAGGCACTTACACGGAGCAGTACGCGTTTCTCTTGTGAACGGCATGGTAGCAGAACGGCATAGTAACGGAACAATACATGAGCCCGGACAAACCCGCCGATATGTCCGGGTTCTGCATGTAATATTCGTAGGCACTATTCGTCGGTGCCTGCTTATGTCGCTGCGGCCTCACCGCCACGTCGAATTGCGCCATTATCTCCTGGACTCTTCGGTCATCCGGCCCTACAGAAATGAAGACCCCAAACCAGCGGAAGCTCCATTTTTTCCTGTTGAGACTACCGAGTAGGAAACACTTTGGCCATGCTGCTCGTAGAACTCATGGGCTACTTTGTACTGGGTCTGGCTGAACTCGACGAAATAAATGCCTCTACTGCCAAATCTTGGCATCCACCACTTACCCAACGCTGCGTACATGCAGCTAAGAAGGGTCCGACCCGGACTGGGAGCTCGCGGCTCCAACCAAACGTTGAATGGGTGCACGCCAGTTCTCTTGGCTTCTGTGCAAGCCTTCCACGTCACATGTTGCAAGGAGTTCTGCGCAGCGACTGCTCGCTCAGTGTCTCTATCCCCGTTGACATCTATTCGCATATAATTACACTTCGCTGTGACTGCGAGCCAGTCCACGTGGCTCTTCATCGCCAGTTTCAACCCCGCCGATTCAGTCTTGTCCAGGAAAAGACGAGCAGCTAAGCAGCGACGAGTCCTCGCTAGCCATTCTGCCAATTTCCAAAGAGGAACGCTCATACAGTCATCAGCAAAAGACGTTTTCCCCGCGTCTTCCGTAGATGCAGCCGTTGAGACTGCCGGCGGTGGAAGGGGCTGCGCGCCGCGCGCCTTGGTGAACAAGCTCTTGTTTAAGACTGAAAATAAAACTAACACCGGAGTGAAACTCAGTGAAAAATAAAGGTGGTAATCTTATAGGTGTCTCCATCCGTGTACACGGGCTATGGTGTTTACATACGCCGAAAAACCTGTCACGATAACTTGCCAACTACTGCTCTCCAAATAATGGGGTCGTTTGAATGAAAACTATGCAAATGCTGTTTAATTCAAGCTTTTCAATTATACACAACATAAACCCCTGAGAAGTTTACAAAGATGGACACTGTCATGACTTCAGATACAAGCGAAAAACTGTACTCCTTGGTAGGGCTGCAGCTGCAGCTTACGTAGCTGATTATACAGTGGCAAACACCGAATAATTGGACAGTCGTCCGAAGCCCATAGCGGCTCTTCAGTTCCAGTAAGCTCCTGCAGGGCTCCACGCATATCCATGGAAGCGGGCATTGCATCTTTTCGTAATTCTGTTCCTGATGACCCTCGCCGGACATCCATAGCCCAAGAAATGACCTCATGCATTGCCTCCAGATCCTGCAGAGATGTAACTCGGGACCAAGACATACTTCCCTTTCTTTCCAGTGTTAAAAAGTGCAAGTAGTTGCTTTTGCGATTAAATCCTAGTGAATATTCGCTGGCTACCCACAGCTAAGCACCAGCAGGGCTGCGCGGCTTGCCGTTGTCTTGAGTTGAGGAACATCAAACAAAGCAACGGTGCCGCGGGCTGCCAAGCGCGCTGCGCGTTCGTCTGCATCCAGCAAATATCCAGCCGGTGACGAAGGTTCATTTTCCTTGTCCTTGCTGTTCAGTTTCACGGGTGATTGAAACGCCGAGAGAGCTGCGCCATCGTTAATTATGGAGGAACCTCTGCGCACAGGTGGATGGCTTCCGAGCTCCCTGCACTTCAGTGGCGAGAAGAGACCCTCCTTCAGCTGATGCAGAAGAGACTGCAATATACCAAAGCCACAAAACCAGGTTAACAAAATAAATGTAGACCTGGTACTGGTGCTCAGAACTAAGCAGGTAAATAAGGTATCCTTCTTCGCTGCTTTGCACTGCCGGCTGCATAGCAGAAGTACCTGAATTTGCTTTGGGTCAGCTCGCTGCCGTATAGCTCCCTCTACTGCTCACTCAATCACATCGACGCACGTCTGAACCAATACAGCAGCTCGGCTTGCTGTGGTGCAGCAACAGCAGCTCTCAAGTGGCGCAACATGAGAGGCACGAAGTGGAGAAGCGCACAAAGAGAAACACGGTTCCTCAACAAACAAGAGCACACAAGGCATATGGCTACAGCACGGCTTGTCTAAGGCTTAATAAGTCGTTTTACACCTAGCGTTTGTTAAGCTGGAGCTGGCAAATCATCGTGCACGTACGCTGATCCAGCAGCCGATCTCGAGGAGACATCTGGGCAAAAAAACAAAGAAACTACAGTATGACTAAGGGGACGCTTGGCAAGACAAATAATACACATAGCACAACGCAGCAAAAAATATGGCAAGTCGAAAGGATGGCAAAAAACCGTGAGAGACTCGGTCAAATCTAGTTCAAAAGCTCCCACAGATACTTTTAAAAAGCGCATACAGCTTTCGTTTCATTTCCAGAGGAACCTGTCGACATAGCCAGAGAAACCGCAGCCATTAAAGCCTCCCGACGCGCATCTGAGGCACCAGCAGGCAACTCTGCAGAGACAACAAAGCGAGAAACGAACCCTGTCACACGCAATTTTAAGTGCTTAACGGCTGCTCCTTAACAGCTACAAGAGACAATGACGAAGGCAGGCACCGAAAAATGACTCACCATCAACTACACGGCCGTCAAGCATCAGCAGGCAATGAGGCAACGAAGAGACCCCAAAGGTCTGTAGCAACATGGGAGCCTTTTCACTTGTGGTCACTATTAGCTCCAAAGCAGCAGTTTTCCCTTCTTCTCTGCTGCGGCGAAGGGACTGCTGGAAAGAGGAGACTCGAAGAGAGAGCCACTGCCGCAGCGCTCGAGAAGTGCCACTCCATCTGACGGGGGGAACAAAAACACCAACAAGAAAAAATCAAAGGATTCAAGGTTCGCTTCAAAATTACTCTAGGTGCAACAGAGATGACACCTTCGCCCGTTTTATGTTTCCGCTCCTTTGTGTGGGCGCATTTGGACTCAGTAGAGGGATTTACAACAATATCAGCGAGACGCCTAGGCAATATGGCAAACAGAAGTAGGGAGATTTGATGAAGGCAATATGTGGGGCAGTTTGATACGAACAAACAGCAGAAAATAGCACTCGGTCGGCCAATAATACCACGAAAAGGATACAGCTTTACCTACACCTGAAGCGTCACCAGCAGATTTGGAGCTGTGAAGAAGCAATTGATCCTCTTACTCAGCAGTAAAGAGCACGATGGCAGCCTTTGGGGCACACAAGCCCGCCTTTCTAACAACAGACATAGCTCTCCTTTCAACAGTCTCCACATCTGCTGATTTGCTGTCTCCTTTGGCGGCAGCAGATATTCTTCCGAAGGAGACACCTTGTCGTATTTTGGCTTTTGCCAAGCAAGGCAGCCAGTGGCTGCTAGTGTCAGTCACTACTGTAAATTCAGGCACAGTATCCGCATCAGGAGAGGATCCCTGCGTGTGTTTAGCTCCGCCCTTGCTGCTATCACTGTTGCTGTTTCTGCTGACGCTTGTGGTGCTCGTTTTGCCTCTGCTGCTGAGGGTTTGAGAGGCGAAAGTGCAAAGGCAGCGGCAGGAGCAAATAAAGGGCCATGAAATGAAGTTCGACATTATCTTCATAGGCGGCTGCAGCGAACGCATCCCCTTTATCCCGTCTGTACATTTGTACTCGCGGTTTCGGAGCAGAAGATGGCCCTGAGATATATGAATGTAAGAAACCGCTGTGTAGCCTAATGGCTCACAACGGCCGCAAGGAAGCCGCTTTCGGATTGCAGCAGCAGTCGCTGCACGCAGGAACTCATTTGCCATTGTGAGGATAACCCCAACAGAGACTCGTTACGGCGTAAATTGCCAAATTGGAGAGCTCGACAAGTCCTTCCACATATCTGTAAGCAAAAATGAGTGACCGCAGGACGTTTCAAAGCTGTTGTCGCTTCTACTGTGAAATCTTGGGATGAGTCGCCTCACCACACATCTCCAACTAACGGGCAGAACAAAGGGCCACAACATGCGGAAGGTTAACTGCTGCGCATACTCTTGTGAGTAAGTGAGCGGTGAAATAGAAGAATCATATTATGAGCCTTTGAATCAGCGATGATTGACAGCCCCAAGGCATGCATGAGTATAACTTGAACTATTTGCCACGATGACTCGCCCACTCTCAGATTGAAATCAATTATACATTGTTTTAGATGCCTGAACACAAAATATGCGTGTTATTCTTTTCACACCAAGAGTTTTGTTATAATTCCGATCGAAATGGCGTGGTGTGGTCTCCCTGTGCTACCGAAGACCTGGGGACTCCGGTAGATAAAGTAATTACATAGGTGAAACTAAAAAACAAGCATTTATTTTCCATTTATGCCTTTTTATAATTCCTTAACTGCTGAATTTCCCAAATAACTCAGGGATGAGCACCCGTATGCGTTGCAACAGAAAATACACTCACTCACATGGCACGGACCCGGTAGAACTAGTCCCAATTTTTCGAAGAACCCCAGGCTCGCTTAGTGCCCTATTTGCGCACACATGCTTTCCGAATTTTTCACGTTCATAGCTCATGTTACACCTAAGCCATACTACGGATAAAATATACGTCCGCCATTGCATAGAGGCGCTGTCCTGTGGTAGTGGCTGCACTGTTCCTCGGTGGAAAATTTTGAGGAAAAGTTCGCTCCCAGCTTTACAAATTCACAGTACGTGTCCTTGCGAATTTTGGTTTCTTCATCCTGCAGATCCCAAAACCACGTTGGAGTCGGCTGGAAGCCACATGCTTCGTGCTTTATGTTATGAGTTGCACCAGAAAGTATCGAGGCATGCACGTGTTTACTTGCCCTTTATGCGTAGGTCTGGAGTAGATAAACTTCAATTAACAGGCTATGAGGCAATGGACACCACAAGCAAAGCGCAGCTGCACTTTGCTTGTGGGTTCCAGAGCCGGAGAAGCAAGAGCGAGTTTGTTTAGCTAGTTTGCTCCGAAAAGTTACCGACTATTGATGGCCAGTGCCAAGGAAGCCACAGTAGGAGAAGTGGATTTGTTATCAGGCAGTACGGGGGAGCGATGAAGGCCCCAGGAAGGCAGCGTCGCCAAAAGAGTCAAGGGCCTCGCTGCACGGTCGAAAACCAACTTAAGCAGACTATGCGCTCTCAAGCACTTTGTGCGCCTTGACTAATGATGTTTAGCACTGCATGTGCACAAATGGATACGGACGCGGTGTTGACTGCTGTGAGCTCCTCTTAACTGTAAGTAAGTCGTAACTGCTGAAGAATCCCTTTGTAAATAAATTCAGGGTAATTCAGTATCAGACAACTCCCCTTTTTCGAGATATCGAGCTGCGGAGGGTGGCGTCTCCACGTTGTCGGCCCTTGCGAGGCTCTGTTTACCTGACTGTACGCAGTTTGCATATCTATCTTTACACTTTTGCGGGCTAAAGGCACTACATGAATATCCAGTTCGTCCGCCTTGCTTAGACCAAAACCACACTCTCAAGGTTTTAACTTGCTCACAGGTACTTTTCATGAAGTCTTTCTATCAACTCGCAACGAGCCACGTGACTGACTACCTTACAATGGTGTCGAAGGGAAACGTTCGGCTACTCAAAGTAGCAAAACATGTCGCCTGCCTTCCCTTAGTATTCATTGGCTTGCAGACTGCACGTTCTCTCTGTAATGAGAGAGATTGTCTGCCCTTTGGTGATGCAAAACGCTCCGTAAGTTGACGTCAATCTGGAAAACTAGTACGAGCACTGTTGCCACGCCAGCAGCAATAAATGCCAGTACTGGTCCTAGTCGTGAGTCTATACGCTGCACAACGTTCGCTACTCCTGCCTTCGCGACTCTCCTGAAAACATACACACAGTCGATACACACCACCTGAGACACGGAGTCTTCCACATACACGCGTTTAACAAGTAATTGATAAGTCAAGAGACCATAGTGCGGGTGCAGCAAATTCAATGCCTACTGTGAGATTCGTTGGCACCGCTTCGCGTATATCGCGTAGGCTCCGCAACATAGGAGAGCGCAGGCGCACGCTAGTATAAGGACAACAGCTAGTCCCCAGCTTCCGCTCAGCGTTTGCAAACAGCTGCACAGCATGCGACACCATCAATGCCCCTTTCTCTGTTCAGTACATGTTCAACTAATGCACTAAAAGTAGTTGGTATTAATGCACGCTTAGGAAATGATGTGGGCCTCTGTGCGAGTTTTAATATGAGCTTACGCGAGACTAGCTCCAGCCAGATAGAGACCTTTTTGAATGTAGTGGAGGAAGGTGCGTTCTCCAGCGAAAGACGTTTTCGGGTCAACTTTTCTCACAGTGCGAATGTGGCGGCGCACCAGTCGTTGTCGCATGGAGTCTGCACTGCTTAGAATAACTCCAGAGGCCCTCTCTTCCTCAAATTCCCCCTCAGCAGACGAGTCCTGGCAAATGGGACGAGGAGCCTGCTGAAGCTGCAACTGCTGCTCTGTCTGTAGCCAGCAGAAAGTACGATGCGCTGCTGTCGCCGTTACATCCTCCTGTATGCACATACAATTGCTGCAAGAAACGTTCATAACGGCCGCATTACCGATGTATGCACATTCTATCGGTCGGGCTACTTCCACATGTCGCGCTCATTAGTAAAATAGGGGCCCCCCGAAAGCACGTCATGCATCGCAGCTGTAGTTACCACATTGGGAAACTGCAGCTACGTCTGAGAACCGCGTACCCAGTCTGGTTCCGTTGCAACCGCTGGCTTGCCTTCGCCTGCATCGCATTATTGGCCGCGTTAACCCAGCTAAGTTAAGGGGTGCACGCACCACACGAATGTGGCAGATGCTACCTGGTTGTGGGAGCTTTCCTACAATCCGGTTAGACTTATGCAGTTGAAAATTGCGAATCTATACCTACCAACGGGAAACAAGCTTCGTTTCTTTACACCCAGGGCGTCAGACGGTGAAAGCCTTGGCGCATGCTGGTCTGCTAAGCTGCGAGCTAAAGGGGTCAGGAGACTATCAGGACTATTCCGCAGAGACTCGAACAGTGAGCCACCTAGCGCTGGCACTCCAAGGCTGCTGCGTTTCTTGTTGGCTGAGCTTTGCTCATCTTGATTCTGCTGCTGAGCAGACAGCGGCGTCTGCAACCAGTGAGGCAGCAGCCCGCTGCTGATCTTGTCGCGATGCAGGAAGGCCATGCCGTGCTGGAATTTAGAAAATTTGTACACCAGCGCTGTAGCTCAGACGCATCACAGACTTCCATAGACGTCGCTCCTTCCAATGCCAACAAAACACAACAGGGAAGTTCGTTAATTAAGCGGCGTGTGCAACACAGTTTGCAAACTATAGAGAGCTGTGAATTAAAGAATGAACAGCGGTTTCAAAATTCTGAGGTTCGAGCCAATCGAGCTCTGAAGCTCCATTGCATCCAACGTAATGAGACACCGTCTCCAGATATGGAGTCGCTCCCGAAAAGTATCGCCAGAGCAGCTCACAGAAAACTTTACATTGATGCCCACGTGCATACGCGTACTCGCATCCGCTAATAAAAGCATCGATTGCACCCAAGCAGGCGGAGGTTGCTGCTGAACCTTAACTTCAAGTATTGCATAGGGAAACCGCACAACTTCATCCTGCAGAAAACTCACACCACTACAGGGGCTACTGCGAAGCATCAAAGAGGGAACTCTGGAATGTCAATTGCCCAGGTCACAGGAGTGTACTTTCCAAAATATTGGGTGCGTCATGACGCCTATTTGCTAGCAAAGAGAGTGTATGCCTATATAACCTCTGAGCAGCCGAACAAATCCATACCTTTCCGAGCAGCTCGTCAGCAAGTCGACACCAGTTGAAACCTCCATATTCCTGTCTTTGAGGCCTGTACTCGTTGACCATGCACAAATTAGTGTCCAAAGAAATGCGCACCTGTGGAAGCAAATGCAGCGGCCACATAAATCTGAAGGTGAAACAGATGCTTCACCAACGGTGACGGCTGCAGATCCTCACTCCAACTATCCGTCAATGTGCTGCTTAACAGTTCGTGACTTCACGCATCCCATAATTCTACACGATGGGCACTGTGGAGGCGTGCTAAAAGAAACGGCACGTTGCCACCACATGCGTGTAAGGGACGAACGAATATGCTAGTGTGCTCATATGGCGACGTGCAGAACGGCAATCAGTAAATTATGTGCTTACAGCGTTCGACGTTGCCAACTGAAAGGCAGCCCGAAGATAACTAGTCCGAAGCTGCATCGGAAAGGACACGAATGCTTTGTGCGCACTTGAAGGCACCCTTAAATTGATGCTGAGAGGCTTCTGCTGTACCCCACATTTTTTCGATGACGAAAGGCCACAACTAATATATGCTGTAATGCCTGTACTGCTATACTGGGGCAAGAAGCGCAGCATACAAAAGCAACCCTCTTTATCACGGCGTTCAAGAGGCGTGCGCAAATGGCTATGGAGTGATTGGAGCAAGAACGTGCACTTATGTTTTTGGCATGCACACGCTCTGCATTGCTCGTTGATTACCATTGGTTGAAGCTGATGCTCTGCAATTTCTTCTTGTATTTCCTCTCCCAGCTCGATTGCCTTTTTTAATTTGCAATTTTTCGCGATATACTCCGACGCGCCAATCCCCGCAGCGTCAATAGCCACACGGTCGACTGAATCAGGCTTTGATGACTCTGCTGCACTTGAGACAGTAGGATCTCCAGGGCTCTGGCCGCCATCAGTTTCTGGTGGCTCAAAGCCAGAGGCCTCCAGCAATAAGTCCCGTGCTTTTCTCTGCAGGAGCATGTAAGGCGCGACCAGTCTCTGCGGCACGACGAAGCGTTCTTTCGTGCTGCTCAGGCCACTCCAAGATTCATGATGTGTTTTCCTGAAGTTTGCAGCAGACAGCAAGTGGAGAAGTGCGTAGACAGTTCATGTGCTCCCCTTCCCAGCCCTCCCAGAATTTGCAACAAAAAACCGAATGCCTTCAAGAAGGTGATATCCCTCACCGCTCAATGAATATGTCTTCATCTGGGCCGTTGTTATTGGTGCCGTACCAACGAAACCGCAGCAGCTGCGCGCCTTCGAAACGCCTTATGCGGCGCTCGTAGCTGTACGCATCTGTTATGCAAGCGCATCCACGCCACCGCAAATGCGTTTAGAGTGGAAATATTCAGTCAGGCATCTATGTGCAAACGAGTCAGAATAAGAGAGCCCATGGTGAAAACTTTCAGTTTACATTCTACGCTACCTGCTGCTACATGCCCACGACGCCCAGCGCGGCCATGTGCTGCCCTTATAAATTAAGACTGCAGCAAGCTGCAGTGGCTCTGCAGAGGCGGCCGCACTATTGATAGAATACTGTGGAAGACGGCGAGAGCCAACGAACGGCACCCACTTGCACTGTCAAAATATACTGACGCTACCATCTGTGTTGGTGCAAGATTAGAAGCACGCTGCTGGAGCTTCTCCAAGGCACTCCTTGGACCTAAAAGTGAAGCCTCCTGAACACAGAAGCCACATAGGCGGGCCTCTATACCGAAAGGAATGAAAAGCGAACACATGCAAGTGTGCGTATTCTAAAAGCAAGCATAAAAAGGAGGAACGGATATTTCGTTTCAGAAGTATACCGTCCCCTTCATATAAAGAATTCTGTATCCTGATACTTTGTTTGAGTAAACCGTTTTCATCAGAACGTCACAAAAAAATACTGAGGTGTATCCGTGCAAAAGTGACTGCGGTAGTTGGCTTGCTTCCAGTTGCTAGAGCAGCTGCCGCAAATTATGCGGGTTTCATGTGGAACAGTTATGAACTTCTGCAAATATGGACAGCGCCGCTAACTCGAGCTCACCAATTCCTTATCTGACGTCCCAAATACCAGAAATGGCAAATGACGCACAATCAGGCACTGAGCCCGCACCTGTAGACAAGTATGAACTTGATGCAAAGCCGCACTCCACACGCTGTTTCCCTGTCTGCACCAAATACACGGGCCACCCTTTTAAACAAGTAAATAGCTGCTATTTAAGGCCCGTATGCGCCCTTCGATGATCTTCTTCCCTTCGAAACAATATTTGCCAATATTGCGAGTCCGTTTGTCCCCGTTGTGTACAGTCAACTGAGGTTGCAGCTTCCCTGGTTCGCATAATGCATGGGTATGTTTGTGCTTGCATGAACCTCCACAAGGATGCTGCGGCCCCCTTGAGTGCAAATGAAAGAGCACTAGCAGCACTTACAATGTTTTCCGGTCTGATCCAATATTTTGTTGTGGCCCGGATAAATGAGTCAGGCGGCTTCCATGCTGCGGACGCCAGCTGTTTCCCCTCCTGCACATTCCCCAGCATACACAGCTTGCCTCCTGTTTGCTTCACGCCCATCATGCATCTCATCAGCCAATTCTGACTCTTCAAAAGCACGCCACGCTAAGTGTATCGAGCACAAGTTTATCAACCCTAGGCCTGGTGTTTGCTCATCAGCGTACAAGTTTAGAACGAAACTTCCCCCAAAGAAGAGACAACATCAGAACGAGTCGTTCAAGGTCGACATTGCAGTACGCCTCCTTCAAAAGAGATGTAGAAAACCATCGTGCAGTCTTCGCCTGCATTGCAGGAAGGCAGTTTCGTACCATCGTGCTATCAGCTTCGCATACAACTACTTTCTCAAAACCTAGGCACACCTATCAACGTTTCTCCCGCCTGTCTGCATCTGGGTCTGCACAGAAGTGGAGGCCACTTATGTGCAGACGGCTCGCAGACCCAGATGCAGACAGGACTTGTAATGCTATACAGGCCAATGCCCTCCCACTGCTTCCAAAGAGTCAACGTACTACAGCTGCTTACGCCTGTGAGTAATGCTATACAGGCCAATGCCCTCCCACTGCTTCCAAAGAGTCAATGTACTACAGCTGCTTACGCCTGTGAGAAGACGGTCGAAATGCGAACAGAGGGCAAGCAATGCTTTGTGATTCGTCCTGATGTACAAGTCAAGATGAATTATTTCTGCGGCAGAAAATGGATTATTTAGCAAAGGGTGGAAGCATGAGCATACGCATCAGGACTGCCACACGAAGCGTATACGGCGAGACGCAAGAGCAACGGCAATGCAGGGTTCAACAGCCCCCGACAATGCAAAATTCACACACCCGCTGACTGTTCTTCGATAAGTAATTCTTCGTCTCCTTGCAGCTTTTCGTGCTGAGCCCCCACACAACAGCAAAGGTGCACTGATTCCCTCGTAAGATAAGAGCCTCTTCGGCCATCAGCGGCCGCTCTCCAGGAAACACCTGGGTTTCAAAAAAGAGACTTGTCAAGTGCAACGCTAGCTACGCATGTGGCGAAGCAACAAGCGAGCTTGGAATGAAGACGCGCCTGTTCCATGCGCGCAGCGATGAGCCTTATGTCCGACTGAATTTGTCGTTCCTTCTCAGTCGCAAATTTATTCAACTCGTTCACTTGTTGTTGAAGGAGACCCCAGAATTGAGCCTCTGCACGGACAAGAGGTCAATCAAACACCACAGGAGCAGCATGTGTGCGAAATCTCGAAAGTCCCCGAATTTGAGAATCAGGAGGTCAAGGGTTAGCGCATGATTCATGATGTCAACTACTTAAACGAGCACGGTACACAGAACTCAACAGGAAAACAAACTTAGCTTGTTTGACATTAACAATTCACATGTGTGCATGCCTCGGCACGCGCCCATATGCACGACGAAATGTGCAGTTGCACGCACCCAAGTCTGCATAATTAAATGGTCTAACATTGGCTGCCGGAGCTCTACTGCGCATGAGCAGGTCAGCCCTACCTGGTAGCAGAGACAGTGTTTCTGCCTCGGCCCTCAGACTGGATCCCGCCATTCCATCATCAGCTCGGGCAGCTGCCGCAGCTGCAGAGGGCAAAAAGTGGGTGTGCGAAGGGTCTGTTGAGGCAGACAAGGAAGCTGGCGAGTCCACATCTTGATGCTCTCCTGCAGCAGCTGGTGACGTTGGTTTCTGAGCTCTGCCATAGGGAAGCATTCGAGGCCTTTGTAGGATGTCAAGGCGCCGCTGCAGACAGAAAACGAAAAAATCGGAACGCAGAAAGAAATCGAAAACAAATGGTTCAGGTCATGCAGCTGTGTACCATGGCTTGGTGATAAGCTCAAGATGGCCACGCCCAATCAGAAGGGAGGAGTACAAAGGCTGCTTACTCGCACAGTCGCTCGCTGGCGTTGCGCTCGCTGTACAAGACTTTCCAGCTTCTTCTTCAGGCGCCGGATATCCACATAGGCGGAGAGATAGTGCGCAGGAACGCGCATTTGAAATGGAGGGGCGGCCATTGTCGATCAAGCGTGCGCAAAACTAGCCTAGGAAAATTAGCCTCATTGTGAAGCAAATGAAGCAGTGGAGCTCCGAGCAACAGCGCGCTTGGCAGGAGGGAAGAACCGGTACTGGGCCAAGCTCAAATTTGAGAAAGGAACATCAAAAACGTCTTTAAGGTGTGAGATCAATGGGAACCTTAGGTCGTGCTCATTTAGCGGGAAGCGCTTGCTAAGCGGAAAGTCGCACAGGAGAAACTAGTGGTCCTTCATTGCGTGGGTGTTACGCGCACGCGGCGGTTGCAAGAAGGGCGAACATTGAGGAAAACGCAATAATAATCAACGTCTATGGACGAAGGCTCGCATAAACAGAGGCTTTAGCGTTCATTGACCCAAGCATACGAAATGCTGTAGTATAAGAAGGTCAAGTAAATCTTAGGCTAGGAGACCCCGCACACAGTCCCTGCAATTTTCGTACATTGATGGCGAATAATGCGTATGTTTCTCCCAGACGTGATAGTAATTGCCCAGTTTACTTTTCAATTACTGCAACGAAAGATGCGCATGCGCGCTGCTGGCACGGGGCTTTCTTGGGTCCTGCACGATGCTCAGTCTTCTCGATGACGCACCGCTTGACAAGTGAATGTTTCTTTGAAACAAAAAATATTTAGCAAATGCCCGCATATTCCTTTTGTTCCTGTGCTTGAGTGACGCTCTTCGCCTTCTCGGCCGTCGGAACTTTTCGCTGGGCCCTCGCAAAGTACCGTCCGGTGCGGAGAAAACGACTGCGAGGGGCGACGTAGACTGACCAACTGTGTTTATTTGCTAATATATGGGTACCTGTGCTCAATTAGTAGTGTAACGAGCACTTCAATCATGTGCCATAAGCGGTTCCGACACCTGCCGCTCGCCGGCGTAGTTCACGTCTAAAGGACTCTGCTGAGGGCAGACACAGCGCAGTGTAATGATGGAGCCACTAGTCTGTAGGTTTACGTGAGACTCCACTCTCGTTAGCTAATATACTCAGGGGGTATGGCAGCTCTAACGGTAGTCCTGTGCTGTAGTGCGCAATGCGAAACGGAGACAACGACTTAAAAGGGACGGGTAGAGCAAATGATCAGGTTGAGCAGAAGTATTCTCTGGTTCATCTTTTCAAAGAAGACGTATAGAGACGACTTTTCATCTCAAGTCTTTTTCTCAGCTACGCCTACCTTGAAATAGTCCACTGCACGTCCGTTACACTATGGCGGCTGAGGCAGAGGATGGTTCGGCACTAGCAACGCGGGAAGCTACAAAGGAGAGAACATCTAAAAGAAGCGTCACAGACGCGTATCCTGTCAGGTTTAATATCCCCGAGGCTGACAAGGAACCTGGCTCTCCCTTAAAGGAGAAAAGTGTACCACGGGGCCAGGCCACCGCCAGCTTGCTTCTAGAAGCGCCAGCAGGCCACAGCCAAGATGCTGCGAATGCTCCTGGAAGAAAGCCCACTGTGCACCTCGGTGCTGATGGGCGTCCCCTTCCCATACTGAAGGGAAACAGGGGTTTTGGCTATGCCCAGGCGCGGCGGCTCGTAGAACAACTGCGAGTTAAATTCGCCTTCGACAGGAATGAGACGCGCTTCTATTGCCCAGATACAAGCGAACACGCTGAGCCACCTCCCGCTCCTGCCGAATTAAGAGGAGCCGTCCTAGGATTTCTGAAATCGTCCAAGAGGGTAATTCAGGAAGCACAGGAAATTGCTGAAAGCGCCGACCACCAAGCCGAAGAAACCAAGAAAATTGAGGAAGAACTGACATCAATGACACAAGAATATGTGGAAAAGCTTGAGAAAAGAAAGGCCATCCAGAAAGCAAAGGCTAATCAAGCAATCGTCGTATCCTCCACGAGGCCCCAGCGGCGTTTCCTATGCTGTGGTGGCTCACCAGTAGTGCCGTGAAGCCACCAACGCATGAGCCCCTTCATCACTTTTGTGTCTCACGCACATTGAACAGGCACAAATCTATAGCTCCGATGCAGCGCACTGAAAAGAGCTGAACAGTTTTCGCTTGCTGCTGCCACGAACGTGCCATTAAGAAGATTGCTTTTGATACGAGTCTCAGCACACTCCTTTCCCGAGAGGATACAGTAGTTGGTGTTGTGGTTGAACAGCAGAAGCCATAAACTCTACATATGTATAACACTGTTGAGCTTGGAAGTAACGTACTAATACGCCAGAGTAACGCTATATCCCTCTGTCTGCCAACACTGTACCAGCACAATGCAACTACGCGAAAGAAATGAAAGGTGAACACCGTGGCTTTGCATTAGTACTACGCACTAAGCAGTTCCTATTAACCCAGCTGCCACCCACTTGGCCAAGCCAAACGGACTACTAATGATGCTCTGCATTACTATTCGTGCAAAAAGTATGGGCTTGCCCGCTGGCTATTCTTGTAGAATCTTTGATGCTAAGGCAATGCTGCGTGCAAGACAAAAACTACAGGCTGATGTGAAACGAAACAAAGGCGGCCTGTTCAGCTGAAGTCCTTAGAAAACACTACAGAAGTCCCTGCAGCGCCTTCTCTGCCTCTCGGCGAGTGCAGCTGGCACGGGCTACTGCTTATGTGTATCCCCGAAAGTTCACCAGCAGCAGGAATCATTAACTCAATCGGTCTTCTCCAGCGTTCCTTTCTCAGAAACGTAAATTCCATCCAAAAACTTCCGGATATCCTTGCGGCGCACCAGCGTCGCCTGGTGGATGAGTGCGGCTGCAAAAAAAAAAGCACAGGGGACGCGAAACTCGACATATGCAGTTTCACTAAAACACAATCGGATGCACGCCACTTTCCCAAGATGACCCTTTATAATAATCTACTACGGCTGCAATGCAGTTCAGCTGCAACTGTTCAGCAGTAAAGCCTGTAGGATCACCTGAACGGGATACCAACTCCAGGTCTGTTCCCTTTAGAGCTATCTCATCCTTGACATTCGTGCTCTTTTCACAGACAACGCCCGGGAGAAGCTTGACGATGCGGACACGTTTCTCTCCCAAGAAGTTCCGGATCTCCACAACTTTGCCGCCTTCAATGATATTCAGGTTGATGGGAAAGTGTGAGTATACGAAGCGCATCTTGTACTCAAACTGTTTCGTCACCCCCGTAAACATGTTGTTTAAGTGAGAGCAAACAGTGCGCAGGCACGCAATGTCTGACTTCTTCCCCTGCCACGTTGCCACCTTTACGCGTTTGGCATCCTTAGTGGTGTGCAGCACAAGAGGCAGGTGACGAAAGGTCCGCTTCAGCTCCCCGTGGGGCCCCTTCACCGTAACCTCCCTACTCCGGACTGAGACGGTAACTGCGAAATGTAAAGAACTCACAGCACTTGCAAAACAATGTCAAGCGACGAGCAGCCTTCCATCGCATGCGTTCACACTTTCGGTAACACCAGTAGCAAAGCGCTGACACAATTTACAGAAAAGCCCACGACTGCTGCACAGATATCAAAGTCAAGAGGAAAATATATCACTGGGGACAAATATATCACTAAAGTCCGCCCCAGCACGGGACTTTCATGAAAAGCACTCCACAGAACAAACTGCGGCCGCATTCCTTCCAAACAGCAGCAAGTGCGCGTTGCGTAACTATGATGTGACAAGGGGAGGAGCTACGGAAATGCACATGGCGAAAACCACAGGCCATGATGCCTTTCTGTTGGTACCCCCACACTGCCGCGAGCGGCAACTTGAGGGATCGCAGACCTTCGGCTTGATGATTAAAATCATGCATAGCATGAACTATGTGATTTTAGAAAATGCTGAGCAATTCAGTCGTCAACATTGCCAAGCTTTGAGTGACTTCCCCGTGGCCGCCGTCGCCACGCCAGAAAACCAAGAGCAAGCGCCCACCAACAAGCCACTGGGAAACAAGCCATTATATACTTGATGTATCATCAACACGAAACAGATACTGCTTCAATCAAGAAGGTAGCAACAGCGCATAACAGCCTCTGCAATGCGGAGTGGGGTGCACTGCCTACCCCCGTCGGGCACTCGGACGCTCTGCTCAGAGTACACCGTCTTCATTTTCAAAAGCAGCGTCAATAAAGAAAACACCGTCGAGGACCGCTTAACTCAGTGATTCCTCCCTCGTCGTCATTCGCCTGCAGCTTCTGTTGCTCCCCGCAACAGGAAGGCAAGCGCATGCGTGGGGCTTTGGGGCGGGCCCTTGTCGTAGAGCAGCTCGTTGATGAGCTGAGTATTGGCACGAGCTGTATGATGTGTGATACCAAAAACTGAAAGGAGCCACGATTTCATTCATAGGTAGACTATTGGAAGTGCGGTAACACATGGTGTTTGCCACATGCGTTTGCGTCACCGTCACGTAGCACTAGACAGATGAGGTTGCAGCGCCACAGTTCCTGGATCTGATTCAGTCCGAATTCTGTAAGATACGTTACGTTAGACCATGAATAGAGCATTGAGGCTCTTTTCTGGTAATATCAGGGCGCCACAGCTGCAGCGAAACGTGAGGGGCCTGTAAAAGAGAGCAGCGGATTGTAGGGGCTCGCGCTGTAGTAAATCCCGGCAATGACTGATATAAATCAAACTAAATGAATTTCACAGCATGATGTATATATACAGGACTCTGATAATGGTTTGATGCCGCGTACTCCACAAGGCATGGCTGTGGCGATCTCTACAGCGAATCCTAAGCCCAAAGCATGGGGCTGACAGTCCTCCTGTAGCTAACCAGAACCCTGTGCACGCCTAGAAGTCAGGCGTTTCGAGAAGAGAACATTTCTGTTTTTCCTACAGCCCCCTGCTCTCCTATACTGAACATTTAGTCTGTACGTTTATAGTGGCTGCGTGTGGACCGCATCTTAAACAACGTTTGTAAAACGCAGGAACTTTGGCTTTGTTTTGTCACTCCCACAAGGTGAAGCTCACACTGGAAGAGAGGAAAATTTAAAAAACTAGCCCTAGCCGACTACAAACAGCCACAATGCAACGTCGCATACCTCACGATTAGTAATATTTACTCGAAGCAAGAAATGCCTTTTTCTGCCTCATGTAGGCGGTGATGAAATATTCGTGGTATGTGAAGAGCATAATTGTGAAAAACTTACGAATCTGTGGTGTAGAAGCTCGCCAAGTGGTGTGGATACAGATTCGTAGACAAGGGAACGCCAAAGGACAAGAAGGCATTTACGAGATTTTGGTCGGAAATCGCTTGAGCTGCTGCTCGCTCATCGCTTTTCCGGACTACTGGACACCTCAAATAAGCTGGAAGCCAGCCTTGCGCGGAAAGGCGGTCTTCTTCGTCGGGTGTTAGGGCTGGAACTGCCGTCGTTGTGGGGTGGGTGCAAGGCAATGATTCTGCAGGCTCCTCCCGTCCCATGATCAAAACTCTACCGTTTCGCCCTCCGTGATTTACATGTCTAAACCGGGGGGAGTTCGTACGCCTCATGCTTTTCCACGGTTTTCCCCCACTTGAACAAAGCTGTAAACTGTGCAGTGTGCTCCTCGATTTCATCCTTCCACTTTACACTAGCCAGCTACTCTAGCAACTTAGTTCGTGAATGCATACATAAACCACCACTGAGCCGCGGTTTCACCGCTTCCCAGTCACTCACATGTATGATGCCCATGAGATATATTTATTGTAGCGCGAAGAGTCCATAGGGTACACCAGGAGCTCCTTGCTCTAAACATGGGGTCGCATCGTATATCGGTAAAACGCATTTCTACTAACTTCAAGAAGGCCCTCATGAACCTCCCGTCCTCGTGCTTCAGAAGTTTCTGATGCGTATCTTAATTATTATGAGTCAACATTCTTTGTATAAATCCAACTTCGGCGTCTGAGGTCAGAAGGTAGATAGCCTGCATCTAGTTAGCCGCAGAGCCACCAGCGAAGACCGAAGACGCCGTTAGCCACCTACCTACGCATCTTCGGAGGCTCCTTAGGCCACTAAGCAAAGCAACCTTCTGTTGCATTGCTTAGTGGCCTACGGGGCGAGGCTTACGCTGTGTGAGTGTGCTCGTTATGGGCTTGTTTGTTGCCTCAGTGACTCGCCCGTTATGGCGCATATCCCGCTACTAGGGAGGCATTCCCAAGAGGCCCCTGGATGAGCGATCTTATTGTAGAGTACGCGGCAGCATACATCCTTCAGAACAGCACGACTTGTGGTGCACTAATCCGGCTTAGTCCTTTAGTATTTTCCCAGTGATGGGTATCCTAGGTGCCCTTCTGTACCACGCATGAGTGATACGAGCATCTAACGAGGCCACGCAATTATATTAGGAAAAACAGAGACCCTCTGAAAAATAAGGTAAACGTGATTTGCGGCCGCAAAGCCTGACTGACTCCTTGGTCCGCACAGGCCCCTTGCTTGCTACAGATTCGTTGCCATCCGCACGCTTGCGACGCCGCTAGACGTTGCACGGTCTAGCCAGATTCTTTGTTCTCTCTTCTTTATCATATTTGTGGCTAGTTTATGTATATGTCAAATTTAGTATGGATGGCCTCCAAAGGCCATTTCTGGGGCCAAATGTAGTTCCCACCACCGCCGCAATAGACCTCTGAGAACTCTCGACCTCCAGGCAGTGGTACGTTTCAGGATGGCGACATTTCCATGGCTTGGTCCAAGAGTGTCTAATATTTATTAAAAACTTGCGTTAGCTTCGACTTTAATGTACACTTACGCTAGAGTGTCTAATATTTATTAAAAACTTGCGTTAGCTTCGACTTTAATGTGCACTTACGCTTACGCTCTGCCGTTTTCGCAAAGCTCTAACGTAAAGAAACACCCACACAAATCTCATTCACAGAGGTCTTAATAGCATTCACAGAGGTCTTAATAGCCATAGCGGCATAGGTCACCGCGTGTTTACGCCCTGTGTTACTTTTGTGTCGAATCCTACACACTCATCTGAAGCTAGGCATATCCAAACATTCTGCACTGGGTGCTCTGCAACTCGGTACGAGTCCCTACGTGCCGTTGTGGAGCATGTATGCTGAAATACTGCTTTTTGTAATATAACAAACAGGTGTGTCACTGTGTTACGCCTTTTTGCTGCGTGTTCTCCTTCATATCCTTCACTCAGCCCTGCAACACCACCACCAGGACAGGGCCCCCAGGGCCCCGAATGCGGTTGGAATTTTTCGCGCGATTTCTGTCGATCTTATGCAAATCATTTCACGTAATAAATGTTCCCCCTTTCAAACGTACCATGGTCTTTTTAGGTGGACTTCCTCTCTGTGGGGGCTGATGTGTCTGATCCAGCGTATGCCTGCGTCGTTATCGTTCGTGTCGTGACAGGCTCAGTCGTGTCCTGTAAAGAATTAGGTGGGCTAGTGCCACATGGACTGCTCTTACTGTCATTATTGCTTAAAATGCGTTTGGTTCTCCCGTAGGGCTGGCGTCATGAAGTTTGGACAGAATGTGTTGAGGGAGTTCCACGGCCCTTGAATATCAATTGAACTTCTAATTTCATCAAGTGCCGTGCCACTGAAATAAGAAGTGACCGTTGTAGTCTGAGCCAGCAGACGCCTTATACCTTCTGTGGCTTCACGCATTGACACCCACTTTGTGGCGGGAGAACGCTGCCAATGTACGCTGCCGCAAAAGTTGAGCACCTAACAATCATGCGGGATACAGTGGATTAGTTTGCCGTTTTCTGTGTACGGGAAGCTGAAGGAGTTGGAGTATTTTCTGTGCCCCAGAGCTCCAAGGGCGCTGCTTTAGCGCTGACTTCTGCAATACCGAAGGTGCCGCAGACCATGCGGGAGGTCTTGCGGCATGGACAGAGCGAGGAGGAGTCTGACACTACTTATGCATCCGCCGATGTTGCCAGGCTACATGCAGTGGCGAGACGCATTCAGCTGAGGGAGCATGCGAGTAGGCAACAGCAACTCCAGCTTCACAAGCAGCTGCAGCAGCAGCAGCAGCTGTTGCAGCAGCAGCAACAGCAGTTGCACCAGCAAGATGCGCTGCTACGCCACCAAGAACAGCTCCTTCGGCAGCAAGAACAGCAGCTCTCTAGCCGCGAGACTGAAGCGAGGTTGCTGTTGCGCCAGGTGAGTTTGCTGCAGCAGCAGCTGGAAGAGAGGGCGGACCGCCTTGCAGCAGCAGAAGGGAACTACCTCGATGTCACGGCATCTTTACAACAGCTGAAACAGCGCGTAGCCTTGGGAGATGAGGCGAAGCTGTTTGTTGAGGAGGTGCGGCAGCAACAACAGCAGGATACGCAGCATCTCTATGCAGAGGTTCGTCGCCTTAGGCGTCAACTTGCCCAGTGCATACGTTTGTCAGTTTCGTCCGACGATAAGGACAGAAGAGAACAAAACTTACGGGAGGAAGATGCAGACCTAGATAAGGAAAGTGTTCAGAGGTGCCACTTGAATGAATCATCTTTGGGGCAAATGGCGACTGGCGAAGGACAACTGCAGCAGCCAGTTGCAGAGCTTTCGCTGCCTTTGAAAGGGAGTGAAGGGGCAATTCTTAGCCCTTCTACATCCGTCGGCATTTGGTGCTGCGCTGAGGCAGCAGAGGCTGCTTCATGCACGGCTTGGGGCTGCAGTGCTGGCTGCAGCTGCCACAGTGACTCGCAGCACGAGGCGGTGGTGGGTGAGTTGCGTGAGGCACTGCATACCTGCCGCTGCGCTGTCGATCAGAGGATCACTGACGAGGCAACAGCCACGTCAACGGCGGCCGTCGGGGCTGCATCATTGGCTATGAGGGAAGTGCTCCAGCGCTGTCCGGCATCAGGGGCTGATCCAGAAATCGTGGACATGCTGCTTGAAAGGTTGAGGGCAGAGAGTATGCGGATAAGGGTGTATTCACAACAAAGGCACGCAGCTTCTTCTTCAGCGGCAGGGTCCAGCACTGAAGGTCAACTGCAGCTGCAGGGAAGCCTGGCAGCAATAGATGAGCCGATGGAGAGAGAGGCTTATGATGTTCTTGGGACTGCGCTTCCGGACGTGGTGTTGCTGCCTCTTCTCGGGGTGCAAAACATAGCGACTCTACTCCGTCTGAAGCAACAGGCTGTCTTGCTTGCCAACTCGCGCTGGCTGCAACTGCTCAGGGACACAGTAGGCAGCAAATTTCTTGAGGGCAGTAGCTGCGTTGCTAGCAGCTGCAGCAGCAACGGCATTCTGAAGGAAAAGGGACAAATGGAGATGTCACCACAAGCAGGAGCAAATAAGGAGAGTAGTACGGCTCCGCTTGTGCCTGCTGGGGAGACGAGAGGGGAATCTCGGCAGCATATGTTGTTGCAGCTGCTGCTGCGAGGATCTGGCGGAGTAGCTGCTGCAGCAGGACTCCTGCGAGAGGGCGCTTCCCCACTGGCGTTTCATGCGTCAACTTTGACTGATAGAGAGTCAGGGAACAACGTCTTCCATCTCGTCTGCATGAGGCAAGCTAGCTGCAACCACTATGGGGCACTGTCAATCAAAAGTTGACCCCAGTGGGCGCAGCCATACAGTAGGCCCACTGCACGTCTTAGTGTTGGTAGCAGTTGCTGAGACGCGATTGTTTGTGAGCTGGCAGCTCTGGATTTCTTTGAGGGAGTTTTGGCTGCCTCCGCGCCTACCATTTTGTGGGGCTAGTCGAGGGTGCTGCACTTTTGACTGTCTACCTGAACCGACAAAGAGGGTCAGACTATGAGAACGTGGTTTGTTCTCTCCCTTCAATAGCGCTAGCTTGTGGATTCTGGTTGGCCTTGTATTTCTCTTCAGGAATCTGCCACAGCTGTTTGGCACGCTCAGTCTCACGTCGCTCCCGTGCGAATTTTTCTACGCTCACAACAGAGAAGGCAAAACGCCTGCTGATCTGCTGCCTCTTCTGCTACCTCCTTACGTGGAGGAACTACGCGAGCTGCAGAAAACTGCAGCAGCAGAACTACAGCACCGAGCCGAATTCCAAGACCAGGTCACATTGGTTGCTTGTAACTTAAGGGCCTGGAGAAGCGTAGTGTTTGAATATGCGGCAAAGGCGAGTCCATTATTGTAGGACTGCAGTTTCTGTCATGTCCCTTTGTAAAGGATACTGATCTAAAGAGCAGCTCCGAGGCTGTGTCACCACGCAGCATGTACAGTCGCTGCTTGTCTTTCAACAGATCCTCATTGGCGCCTGACATTAAAGTTGCGCGGCGATTCCGTGCGGATATGCAGGCAAGCTCGCTGTACAGACAGCATCGGAACGAGGCGGCACTTGCTCTTTATACGGAGGCATTGAAGCTACAACAGCGGCTGTTAGAGAAGCAGCAGCAACTCGATGGGATTACCGGTGGTGTCAGTGCTTCTAATGTTTCGCTCTTAGAGAACACAGCGAAGCTTGCTTTCAACAAGGTGCGGAAGAGAGCCTCGTTGAGAAAATGATCGCTTTGCTCTGTCATTTGAACTGGCAGTGTGCAGATTCCTGTACTTGCTGGAGTCTATGATTGGGAATGGATGAGCTGCGGTGCAACACCACTGCTGCCCTCGGGCAATGCTTAGCATCCAGAGAATTTTGTGTTAGCTGCGCTTTGCCTTTTGCTGCTCTTTAGGGGCGAAGCGCCCTTCGTCTTGGTCGCTGGACTTGCAGCCTCCAGAGCTGCATGCTCTGCATCAGCATGACCCCAAACTACAAGGCCGCATATGAAACTGCTGCAGAGGTTGGCTATACAAAGGGAGCCACAGCTCAAGCAGGCCTGGCTTTGCGAAGTGCACAGATAGCAAAGGACACGTGAACTTCGACGGAGAGAACCTTATTCAGTTCATAAAAGAGAACAGTGGTGTATTTGCACTTTATACAGCAATGTTCGAGTGTGGACTAAATTGTGTGCTTCCCTGTTAATTTGTTTTGCTCTGCCATTTGTTCTACAGGCTTGCGAATGGCTGCTGGATTTTGAGGGAGCACTAAATTACATCCAGCTCATGCGACAGAACTGCCCAGACTCTTTCTCCGCCGAACATTACCAAAAGTACTTTGTTAGCATTTCCGGCAGGCTTGAGCCACAGGAGACCTCAGCTTCTAGTTGCTCAGTGTTGCCCTTTGCAGCTTATCTGAGTTGCCACCTCGACCAACGTCGGCGGTATATGCTGCTGTAAGAAAGTGAACCATTATTAGTGTCTACGAAACAGCATTATGCTCACGTGTGCCTGGTGCGGTGCTTTGCTGAGGCAGGCGACGACTGTACGAAGCTCAGCTGCAGGCGTCGAGCTTCCAAGTGTTGGGCATTGAGAAGGGTGCCCCCAAAGCAACAGTGAATCGAGTATGCTCCAACCTGCTCTGCCAGCACATCGCTTTTGTTATTTGATGTTTTCTCGCTGTGTTCACACCTTGCTCCCGTAACCTCCTGTCGGTTGGTTCTTCAGCCTAGAACATGCTCCCATATGAGTGCCGTTCCTGAGCGAGACTATGCACTCTTTCCTTTGTCTCATATTAACTTGCTAGCTTCCGACTGCGCTTGACGTGGCGTGCAGGCGTTCCGCCGCATGAGCATTTTGTGGCATCCGGACAAAGCCTCTGCACTGTCAGAAGACCTCCGGCTCAGACATGAAAATCACTTCAAAAGGTGGGTGTGCACAAGTCAGAGTGTTCATGAGGTTGGGCGCAGCGATATTTGTTGAAAAGAAGGAACGCATTTTTACCTTGAAAAAAAGAGTTGAGGTGTTGTGCAGTAGAAGCCAGGGAGCGGCATGAAACGATGGGTGCGCTGGAAGGCGCCCTTGTTTTCTGGCTTCTACTGTGTGGTCTCAGGCTTAACGAAGCACGCATTGCGTTGCTGGATGAAAAATCCTATGCAAGGCAGCTGCTCTTACCTATCCAACCACTGTATAGGCATCCTGAGCTGCTTGTCATTGCTAAGCCAGCGCAGCAGTCGACACCGTCTCCTCTCCTGGTTCAGCCAGCACAGCTCACAGCAGAGCAGCAGCAAGACAGTCAGCACCACAGTGAACAGGATCAAACGCTGCGGGATCCGCAGCAGGAGACAGATGAGGTGGAGCCCCGTCTTGAGAAGCTGCAGCAGCAAAGGCAGCAATTGCTGCGGTCCATCGGGAGCCTCCAAAGACAGCAGCATGAGCTGCAACGCGAGCTAGAGGAGCACCAAGGTACGGCTACAAGGGAGCAGGGCTGGGCCAGCACTAGCAATTCTTTGCGGTGGCATGAACTGCAGAAGCTGCAGCAGCAACAGCATAACAAGCAGAAGAGGCTCATACAGTGCGAGACGGAAATAGACCAGTGCTTGCACAGGAAGGAGATGCAACACCAAGCCTATGCGCATAAGCAGCATGAAAAGCAGCAGTCAGACACCCGACAGCAACAAAAATACGAGGAACGGGAGCAGCGAGACCCAGAAGCGGTAGACGTGGAGCAGGTAGAGGGGAATATAGAAGAACGGCAAACAGACAACTGCAGTCCCTGTAGTGATGACTGGCACCACCCGCTGCAGCAGCAGCCTCAGCAGCGGAACCTAGAGAGATACGACGTGGAAGCTCCCGGCGTTACGCCTCCAGGCGCGCCAGTAGGAGACAGTGAAGAGCAGCCTGCCACTCAGACTGCACAGACTGCGCACTTTGCTTCTTCCTCAGCAACAACAGCAGCGGCGGCGGTCAATGAAGCTGCAGCAACTGCCTTGTCGGAGGGAGCCCAAACAAATCCTGAGGGTGACACTCCATCTTGGGCCTCTGTTACTTCCAGTGACAGTGATGCAGACGATTCCAATGCAGGATTTGCCTTTTCGGACTATGCACAAAGTGCAGACAACTCGCAGTGTAGTTCGGGATTTCCAACCACATCGACTACCGTACCAACGCCGCCTCCACTTCCGAAAGAGTCCTGCGCTTCTACCCAGCAGTGCCGGAGCTCCCCTGAAACATCGGTTGCACCTGACTCGCCGACAAAACCGACCACTATGCTAAACGCGAAGCGCAACAGGGAGTCCTCCTGCGCGAGCTTTTGCCGAACAGTCGGTCGCGGCTGCTCCAGAGCGTTCTCTGCAGGGCCTCAGAAGAGAACAGGAGAAGCAGCCACAAAGACAACAGTTGGGACGCCAGCGGCCACTGCCCGCAGGAGCCTCACCACTTGTATTTATTCTACAGCGCCGCGGTGTCCTGCAGTTGCTACTGGCACAAGAGAAGCCAATCAGCCAAGAAAAAGCACAGCGTATTGGGAAGAAACAAACAGTAGCAGCAAAAACAGCTCCAGCAGCAGCAGTAGCAGCAGCTGCAGCAGCAGCAGTAGCGACGCAAGTGACAGTGAAGAAGCCGTTTCCGACAGAGGCCCAGATAGGGCTTGGATCGAAGGCAGCGTTTTCGGGAGGAACAATTTTGCTGCCGCGGCTACTGCTGCTGCAGTTGCCAAAATAGCAGCAAGTGCAGTTCCAGCAGCGAGTGGCGGTTCGGCAAAAGCTGCCATGCAAAAGCGGCAGCAGCAATTGCCGTCGCCACCCCCCCGACGGGTAACAGCAACGCAAGGTGCGCGGAAGGACGGCAGCAGGTGTAGCAGTGGTGGAAGCAGCGGGTGCAAAACAAGAGGGACCTCAGGACGCCGTCGTTTTGTCCGTACACGGGGTTATCTGCAACAACAACAAGTTAGTCCTCACCAGCAGCGACAGGACCAGCAGGAGCAGTGTCAGGACCAGCAACAGCAGCGGCAGCAGCTCTGGAGAGAAACAGCTGGCGGGAGCGAAACTACTGGTAACACCCCTTCAACAACTCCAACCAGTCAAGCTGCAGCAGCGGGCCCGTTATCTGATGCAACCCCACAAGCAGCAACAGGAGCAGCATGGCCTTTGCCCCCTGACTTTCCTGAGCCATTCAGCGTAGAAGGCCTACCGTCGCACGGGCAGCTGGCGGGCCAAAACACAGCCTCATGGCATCAAGAGCGAAACCATCGAGACGCGCCACAGCAGTTTGAATGCTCCGACTCGGAGATTCTTGCGCACCCATTAGGAAACAAGCAAAGTGACTACGGGCGAGAGCGTAATGTCGCAGAATCTCCGGTGGTGCTTACCCAATCCTTGGATTGCCATGGCATACGACATCAGGACTCGCAGCAGGACTCTTCCCACGAGCATATGCTGCATCGGAACCTGCAGCCGCAGAACGAGTTGCAAGGGGTAGCGGAGAGAGATGGTCGCCAATTGCTCTTCCCAGAGGAAGAGCAGCGCTCGTGCTCCGCGGGAGCAGAAGAACCGAAAGCAGAAAGGCTCGCAACGCCAATCCCTGCTACCCCTCTCGCAGGTCGACCTTTTCCTGTAGGACACGGAGATGCTGCTGTGCCCGCTGAGGCAAGATGGGCTGGTTTCGAGGACGAGCATGCGAGCGATAAGGATCCCCCGCAGAGAAACTTTCGGTGGCCAGTTCCCCCTCAGTGCAGAAACACGTCCGATTCCGGCATGGGCTTAATCAATTGTTCTAACCAATCTAGTTCAGCAACGGAGTCTGTGAATCCCATGGAACCTACAGTAGCACAGGTCTCTCGAAATGGCGGAGGTACAAGCACTTCTGGAGCGCATCACTCGAATAGTGCCAGTGGGGTTTCTAGTGCTGGAGAAAACTGCGGCAGCAGCACTGGTAACCAGAGTGATGGCCGGATCGACAAAAGAGAAAGCTTTAGCGGTCGCAGTGATAGCGACCCGGAAGACCGTCCGGGTACGCTTCGGGAATCAGGACGGTGGCGGCAGTCCCTTTATTCTCAGCAGCAGCAGCATTTCCGCCGGCAGCCAAAGCATCTGTACAACTCCGCTACGCATGAAGCTCCCAGCCAAGGGAGCCCTGCTGCAGCAGAAGCAGTCATTCTTCCGCAGTTGGGGATGACTGCACCGCAGCGAAGCTCGATGCCGCTGCCGGGTTGCAGCACCACGAGTGAGAACAGCAGCGCCACACTCAACGGAGGCGCAGTACCAGCAATGGCTACGCCAACAAGACTGTTTCCTCACTGCGGCCCGAATGAAGTGGAAATGCAACATAGAGCACACAACGCATACTTGGGCTGCTCTCAAGAAACTTCTTGTAGCGCTTCAAGGGGAGCTGCTGCTGCTACATCTGGAGATCACATAGCAACCGTCAGCGACGCGTTACGAGGGTTTCAGCCCAGTGAAGACGGATTCAGTACATTAGGGGGCAATGGTCTCCCACTTCGTGGCGATGGCCGTTCAGTAGGGGATATGCCAGCACCTTTGAGCATGTGGCAGCACGTCCGCATCAGAGGGTCTTTACCGCATACCGGAGAAAACGATTTGCAACGCTTGCCGAACAGGACCGACGAAATGTGACTTAGCGGAGGAAACGAGGGTCAGCAGGCCGAATATCCCAAATTGAACAATGTGTTTTGTGTCATCGTTGGACGCATTGATATGGGGTACGTGAGCTCACCGCGAGCTGGTAAAGCTCGTGAAGACTTTAGACTTTCGGCACCTCTACAAAAAGATTAACCGAGATCTGACGGAAATGGCTCGACAGAATAGATGCAGCCATATAAATGGAGCCTATCGTGACTGCGGTTGTGCTGCATCGTTTACCGATGACAATAGTAGCACACTGTTTTACAGTAACGACCAGCGCTGAGTATGGTGTGCGCGTCGCATTGCCTTCTAATTGAGTGCGGCGATTTCACACTAAGGGCATATGTTGCCGTCAGTGAGCTGCATGCATTTCTGCTCTTTTTGGTTCGTGAAGCTTGCAGCAATAACTGTTTTGCTGATTAAATCATTTTTCATCCGCCTACACGCTGGGCTGTTGAACTTAAGGTATTCTACAGGGAGGATGTTAGCAGATTGTATAGAATAGGCTTTAATTGCTGGCTCTTCATATTTACGAAGAATTTTTGGACACATTGGTAATTCTTGACCTTCCTTTTATCAAAGCCAAACGGCTCACAAGGGCTTTTGCTTTCAGCCTACTTTGTGAGCTGAAGCGGCTACACTCAGGTATTCAGAACGACAAAATCCACAGCAGAACTCTGCGCTTAGAGCGCATACATCATCTGACATGCTTAGTCTGCGCATTCTTCTCCATCTGCTTTCTCAATCAGTAGGCAGCCTGCATTGTGCAAATGCTGAAGCACAATGCTGCGAAGCCAATCAAAGAAGCCACCAGACTTCGGTGAAGTTCCCACATTGTCGCACTCAAAGGCCGGTATTAACGCAGTTGCCTGCCTATACAGCTGGGAATTCTGGTTGCGAAGAGTATGTTCCGTTCCCGCTAAGCGCTCGGCTGCATCAACAGATACTTTCTCGGCAGATGCATCTGGGGAGTTGGACGCCTGTGCGACGTCGCATTTCTTTGGCTGTTGCGAAGTTGCACAGGCATAGGCAGAAGAGATATTACACCTAGATTGTCGCACACATTTGCTCTGCGATTGAGACTCTATCAGAAGCCTCTGTATTTCGGGCGTTGCTTTCCCCTCTACGAGAGTAGCCCTCAGTCTTGTCATCGCTGCCTCGTTGGGCACTACATCCTCATTGCTTGCACTTTCGTCGTCGCTGGTGTTTTTGCTGCTACCTTCACTTCTGGTGTTTCTACCGGCAGGGTCCGGTGTCTTTACTGGACGCAGCTAAGAATATCAACGGCAGCAAACGCATCTACCGAAAATAGTGTTGCATCAGCAGCTGCCTTAACGCCACTAGGCAAACGTGGAACTTGAAGCTTTCACCTTTCGTAAACTTGCAGCGGCCATACAACTGCTCAGTCGGATGGCACTTTCACCTACGGCGTTGCCAGTGGTGGAGTCAGCATCAGATCTTCCGCTTTCAATAGCAGCCATACGACGTCTGGCTCTCTTTGCTGCTCCTCTCGCAGCAAATTCCCTTGCAGAGTCATCAGGCGAGAATGGGCCGACTCCAGGTTCCTGAAGGATGTGAGGGTTTTTCTCGGGACCCCATGACGCATATACAGGATTGGTAGTATGGTAATGAGCAAAGAAGACATGCTGAAGCTTGTAGTAGTGCATTGTTTGCCAAGTTGTCGGCTCTGCGCCAGACTGTTCAGAGCAAAGCAGAGGCGGCAGCGCACTAAAAGCCTATGAGGGTAGACCAGGAGGAAATAGAAAAAGTAGCTCCTGGCTTGGAAAGTTTCGGCAGGCGCTTTTTAAATACTTGATTTTCGTAGACACGCACCACGCATAGGTATGTGATTTTGAGCTGTAAACGTCGAGGCAGTAGAATTGACAGCAGCGCCGTTGCACCCGCCACGATGATGTATATTTGCAAAGACGCACGAGCACTGCCCTTTGTTGTAGGTCCCAGCAAAATGAATCCCGCCGTGAGGAGCAACACAGATGCCCGGAGAACCAAAACAGCCTGCCATAACGCGGTTCATGTATTTCTGTAAGTCTGGTCATGATTCCATCCTAGTAGAGGTGCACCGCTCCCTCTGAGCTGACTAGGATAAGAACTAAAGTGATATACTGCCTTCTCGTAACATACGTATGGCGCGTACTTGATTCACCACGGCTGTCATCTCGGGATTAGGTCTTTTAGCGAGACGTAATAGTGTAGCCTTGTATATCCAATACAGCAGAGCCCAAGTGCACAAGGCTTGTATGCTAAGAAATGGCGCAATGCCCACATACAGTGACAATGAACAGAACCCTTGAAGCATTGCCGCATACCTGCACAAAAATCGGCAGACGTGGATGCGAGCCGAACGCTCATGCCAGAGCGGTTGCGCAAGATGATATGCGCAGTTAAGGCCAAACGCTTCTAACTGAAAACTTACTTTGTTGGCGTACAAAAGTCAGGACCCTCATGAAGCCGATTAAACTCTGATTGAGATATGGGCTTCTTCGATAGTGGTAACAAGCAATCTCGCTTCATTATGCGCATCTGTCACCCGAGGAATTCACACAAGGGCACCGAAGTGTCAACACAAATTTCATGGGAGCAAATCGAGACTTGAATGAGTTCTAAAATGTCATGCACGGTAACGGCGTGAGTGTCAGTGGCAAACTGGGCCCACGATAGTTTACCAGCCAGGGCACTTGAAGAAGCGATAATGAGATTTCACTCAAAAGGAAAGAAAAGAGTTGCATCGCGACGCATTCAATGAGTCCTCCTCTTACGTACCTACACCAGAGCGCACCAACAAACAGTTTAAGGCAGTTTTTTCTTGAAGTGACAGCTTCATAGGCCTGAACTACGCTGCAAGCAATTGCATCCAGCCTTCTCTGAAGCGGCTCAGCAGCACTGATACTCTCCTTGCAAACGTGGCGTCCGGGGAAACGGGACGGCTGCTGGGACGTTTGCTTCTGATGCATTAAGCAGGCAGTACTGCAAACCTAAATTAAAACTCAGGAAGTGCTCACCACCATCTGGGGTCTTTGAGGACAATGATATAGGTCAGCCCAGTATTGATAGTATAAGTAATTGTCAACCGCACCATAAACGCCACCTGAAGAAACGAAATTCGGTAGAATTGTGCTCTGGTGAACAGGCCACACAAATAGCCAGAACTACCTGACTTATTTATCCATTTTGATCGACAGTTCTACGTTGTGCTATTCATTTTCATAGTACATTATTAAGTGAGCATTTGTGCTTTTTAAGGCCTTTACCGTAGTTTCAATTTGTGAGAGCTCTTAAAGCAAGGGAAACGACCGAAAGGTTTCCGCACTCTACTGTCAAGTGTTCAAGGCCCTACCTGCTCCCCCGTCCTGCTTATGTGGCGTTCTTTAAGTGACTTCAGCAGACAACACATGGACGCTCAGTAGCAATGCTGTGCGAACACGTGCTCCTGATAACTCAGCGGTAAGGGCAGAGAGGAAAGATGAGGCGTGCATTGATCTGGGATCAGACTCACTACGAAGGAAAAAGCAACCCTTAGGAGTGCGTTAATGCAATTGATAGCCACTGACGGTAGGAATGAAAGTAGTAAAGATGCCCACGACTCCTTGTTCAGCTGCATAACACCACATTAATGCCTTGTATTTGATGAGGCGCAAATTGCTTCTGGAGAGTGGCACTTTTCATCAGTATTGCTCAACAGCCCCTGCAGGAAGAGTTGATTTATCTTTTTGAATTTTTGTGAATCCGGCTAAGATTTCGCCTCCTTGTATGGACAAATGAAGATTCTCAAGTGTTATTGGGCTTCAGTGCAAGCTGGTTTTCAAACGGAAGCAAATAGTTTGCTAAAATGAATCCTACGGGATCGTTTAAAGCTTCTTGTATGGCGCTACCGTTTATTGACATTATCAAATCTTCTACTGGCTTAATCACGCCAATTCCAGTCTGCAAAAGGCATGCGCAACCTTCTTTGCTGAAACGCCGGCAAATTGTATCGAGCAGTCTACGAGAAAGCTAGAACTGTCGCGGAATAATTTTAGAAGTGCTTTCGTTAGCGCTTTTGGGAGCTAGAACTGTCGCGGAATAATTTTACAAGTGCTTTCGTTAGCGCTTTTGGGAAAGAGCTAGTTGCCTGACCCCCGTAAAGTCCTTATTTTTCAAGCTGATGTTCAGGATGATCAGCATAGCAGCAATGCAGAAGGAGGCGGTGCACAGTCCCAGGGCAACAACCCACAGGAGAGCCTGAAGCTCAAATAATCGATAATTAGTGTTTTTCTTTCTAGTGAAATTTCTTAGTACATAGCCGGTCATGACAAAAGGGATAATTTGCAGGTATCTGGAGTCATTTACGTTTCCACTTACCTGTACAAGGACTCTCTTGGCTCTCGAGAAGCTGAGATTTTCCCAGACAATATCTTCAGGATGAGGCGCAGGCTCCACCTCAGAAACACAACAGAGCAACACGATTTTGCGGCAAGTCCACGCCCGGATTTCGCTAGCAAGTGCCTAATAAGCCACAACTAGAAAGTTGCGGCGTACTGGCAGCATAAATGCATGGATAAAGCGTGCATGCTGTGAGTCCAGTGTGAGATCAAATTTCGTGGCATGCGTACACCTATTGGATATTTGCCTCTAAAACGAAATGCCAGTTTATTCCCGCACAAGCCACATGTCCACTTCCGTACAATAGATCTCCACGTGTGTAGCCTCGTTAGGCACTCATTGCGATCCTGCAAGAAAGAAAATCAATCAGACGGAGAGTATCACCCCCTAAAGAGGCATCATTGTTTAGTTTGATTCAGCATAGCTAAAAGTGGCGCAATGACTGTCTCTGAAAGCATTAGTGGAACGTTCCATCTGGATTGAAAACAAGGATGCGGCTTACTTGCGCATACTTGCAAACGACTACCGCATACCCGGTGCACCTGAAAACCACGAAGATACTATACCGTCACCCTTTAGCAAGGGAAAAGCGTAGACGATACAACCTGCGAGGATTTAGGGAAGGAACTGCTTGAGAAGTCCTGAGGCTGCAGCAAATCGATGTGAGCTGCTAGGACTTTGAACGTATGCTCCTTCTCAATTGCAAGCAGCAAACAGCATAGCGGAGGCGAGGCGAGACGGAGATTAGTTGGTACTGCGCCTCTGAATCACCTTAGGGTATCTTGCTCCACTCGACTTAATAACTTGCGTAGGTTACTTGCGGAGGCTTCTTCCGCGAGTTCGCCTTTCTGCTGCGCACTGCATAGTAAATGGTTGTATTTATTAGTAAGTGCATTATGCTTGAATTGACTGTCGGTTGCTTTGGCAAGCATGTGAGGCCCTCGAAAAAATTAGGCACTCAGAAAGGGCTGCTGGGTAACATGATGTTGCAAGCTACAGTTGTGGGCTCCTGCTTTAATCTCCCTTTCTTCAGCCTAACCAAGCTTACTAACAGGCAAGCAGCAGTGGAATACTGGCATTCTAGTAATTCTACGTTAAATACGTTCATGCGGGCCAACCTTAAGAGTATCGAGACGTTCTTTCAGGCTTTCGGAAAGTTTCACATGCTCGTCGTAGTGCTTGGTGTCAAAGCCGATGACAACCTTAACGACGGACTCCGGGGGCTGGTTAACCAGAAGCGAAGTACACACAAAGCTGGCTATTTCTTGTTCGTCCACTGCATCAGGAGGGAAGCCGTCTAAGAGAAGTGCGAAATCCCGGAGCTGGTACACCTGCTCCCCTGCAGTCTTCCTAAGATGCTCCTAAAAATGTACAGCCAAAAAGGAAGCGCTCAGCTTGCCAACACCTATACTGCGATTCGAAAACAGCTTTAAAGCGCCACCAATAATTCTGTAGCGGCTGTTGAAAGTGTTCACAGTGTATTGGGTACCTGCCGACGGAATAAAACTGCCAGAAGAATTGCTGTGCCCAGCACCATAACAAGATGAGTAGCAGCGGGAACGTGCGACTCAGAAACACTGTCATCCACGCATCCTGCCGTAAAGAGTACTGTAGTAAGACAGAGAACAGGGACTTGCACAGAGAAACCATCGTTATTAACTGGATATAAAAACAGACGTTGCATTCGGCACGAGTAATGGAAATATCAACCACAGTACACAATCATACCGTATACGCGTATTAAAATAGGTTCTAGCTACCCCAGAAAGCTACATCTTGATGCTACGTGCGTACCATTGTTAAATGTAGAGCAGCTTGTTAGTGCGTCCGCTGCTCTGTTCGAATAAACGGCAATAACTACTCCGAGTGACAAGAGGCCATTTAAAGCAGAAACAACCATCAGAAATTTTATGAATTGGAAGAGAAGGGGGATTCCTGAACAAACAGCCTCGCTAATTGTGAATTGATGGGAATGCACAGTGGCTTCCGTGAGCATGTGCGGCGCAAGTAATGCCGTAGCTACACAAGTTTTGCCTGGAAAAAATTGGGCAAAAAAGCGCAGAGAATTTCCAGTGTAAAAGGCAGAGTTACCAGGCCCAAGCTCTCCAAGATCGGAAAGTCTGCAACATAGGGGATAGGGCGGGCACCGTGGTAGCCCAGATGGTGTGAAAACGTTTCGAGGATCTTCTCCATTTTGCAACCTCAACAACACCGATGTTCCGGTCTGCCGAACACGACAGTATATTTTGTGTTCATAGGCCTCTAACAAGTCAAGTGTATTCCATGGAACTTCCGTCATCGTCGGCGATCGTGTGCCGTGTTTGAGTACTCGAGCATTGCAAAAAGTTTTGTGTAGATGCAACACTGACGCTGATTCATCAGAGCAGAACTGCCCCTCAAACTGGGACAATTGTCATGAATTTTCATTTGCATCACCATGAACACAGGGAGATTTTATATACCCTCAGCCTATCGGTTCGGCACCGGCGATTGCAGCTCATGCGCAGTTGACCTGCTGGGCACACAGGTCACCTGTTCCCTATGCCAATCAGATTCGATCAACTTGTCCTGATATCCTCTCATACTTCAGCCTTCAGTATGAGTAGTTGTACATGGAGAGGTAGGTGTCTTAAAAATCCCCACAGTCTCGTGCCAAGGCTACGGAGCCAACCGGGCAGGGGTCACTTCTGCATGCAAGGGTCCCTGTCAGGGAACGCTGCAAAACGTTCTGAAACTGGAGATATAGAGGTTCTCGGAATAATACAGGCAAGCTTATACATTTTCATGTAGATATGTTTTCGTCACACGGTTCTTCACTGCGTATCATTTCCAGTGTAACCTGCAAGCTACTAAATCCTATCTCAAAGCGTTTCACTCTGATCTGAATGCAACTGGATGCAACTGAAAATAGATATTCTGAAAAGACAGAATTCTGGTGAAAAACAGCAGTTTGTCACGTTCGTCCGGCCAAAACTTGTAACGCTGTTAGCGGTTGCGAGGGAACGAGATTCCATCGCCGCTTGGTCCACCAACGGGTATCGGCCAGAGAAGAGGTTGATCACCCTATGAAAAGATTTCAATCCCTTTCACTTGCACTTTTGTAAATCATTCTTACGAGAGCTTGCTTCAGGTTTTCAGCGACGCCGACATCATAAGGGTTTGGTCTACCAGTGCGACGTTTCTCGCAGAACTCGATCGTCGTGCAGTTTGAGGTGATCAACACAAGGTGGAATATGCAGAATGGTACGACAATGCTGAAGATTGTTCATTACGCTCTCTTGATTTCGTAATTGATTGTTGGATGGCACATACGCAAGCAGAAAGAAGCTCAGTGCAGTTCCCAGGAAGGTAAAGAAAACTTGTTCAAAGGAGATGTTGGAGTCGTCAATGGATGTTCTGACTGAAGCGATACAGTAGAGCGATGTTTCCTTATAGTTTGCAGGGATATAACTTACCGGTAGCAGCCATGGTGGAGCATACGAATATCAAAGTTGCACCACTGTAGAGCAGAGTCAGGAAGAAGAACTTGTAATTGAAAAAGCCGACGTCATTGGCAACCCATGGGCAGTAATGGTCCATCTTGAGTACACAACGACCGCTGTTGCTGCTGTGGTGACACCGATCGGGTTTGAACTTGGAACATTTGTGGCAGTATCTTGCTCCCCCTGAACATCGGAATGTTGCTCCCTAAAGATTTGCAGTAGATAAAAAGAGAACGTACCATCGCGTTTCCTTTCTGTGATGAGACTAGGAGGAGGTTGTCTTTGCCACTCATCAGTGTCTAAGGCCAAAACGGTGACAAGAAGAATCTAACAGTGCTCTTTCAGTAATAGCTACCTGGAACACGCCCTGGATCGGTAGAATAAGTCTTGTAGAAGGACCACAAAACCATAGCCATTCCAGCATGGGCTGCAGATCGACATTACTTAAGTTCTTCTCCTTCTCTTATCAACAGGCACCTCACCGACAAAGAAATGGAGTGCGCCAATTGCTATGGCCCCGCGGTCACGGTACTCAGGAGGCACCTCAAATTGAAACATGGGCAGACAGTGGTACTGCAGGCAATCCGTGATACTTGGCTCTTGTTCTTGAACAATAATATTCTCTCTTACCAGCAAGTATACTGTGTATAGGATGGCCATGACGCTGCATATCACCTGAAAATTGATGAGTGGTCGGCGATAAGCGGAGCTGTGGAATGTAAACAGCCTACAATCATGGGGAGAAAGCGGGCAAGCCGCTTTCCCGCTTCTTCCCGTCTCTCCATCATGGTCAGACTGCTTTAGGAATTCCCTAAAACGAACAAAGACCTCTGTGCAAGATCGCTTGCACTAGCGGAAAGAAATTATGGTTTGGGGCTCAACTGAAGCACGGCACTGTGAGACTGTGCAGGTGTATGTACGAACACCTGAGCAGCTTCCATGCAGTTCAAGTAGACTGTGAGAAACGCCCCTCGTGAGATCACCGCGAATTCGAAGGAAAATTGCATAAAATTTTCATAGAAAAAGGCTAATCATGCCTGAATAATCGATTAAATATGAGAATTCAAATTATGAGCACATCCGTGGGACCTAATAAAAGCAAGATAACTTGAAGTTAGTAGCGCAGCGCGGGAAGCACTAAAAAGGTGCATTCGTTCTTTACAGATCAGCACACTGCAATTTTCAGAAGCTTCTTTTATTGTGCATGAGTTGTAGATTTCCCCAAACGGCGTACTGGTTTTGTTGGTCCCCATGGTGTGCTAGTTTTGATAGCCCGTGCAAAAACGTGACTCGCTACTGCGTGTCTCAGCGTGAAGAAGTAACTATCCGCCAGTAAAGAAGGTTTCTCCACGCATATGAGCATCTGTCGTTTTATTTGGATATATCTGCAAGAAAAAGAGCGACCCTTTCCACCTCATTAATTTCTGCAATGGCGCCGCCCGCGCTTACCTTCAATGCACGGAATATTCAAATATCCGGCATTGCAGGGAAGAATAGAGTCAGGCTCATGGCGCATGGCTAACAACTTTAGACGGGTACTTTTGGCAAAAGTTGTCAGACCAAATTGGGAGGACGTAGCAACTTTCATATACTGTGAGGGAGCGACGCCGGTGACGGTGTCAGAAAGCGGTACCTGTCCTTGACAATGTTCCAAGAAAAATGCCATATTTTTACCTTTCAATGACTTAAAGGACCGGCGGAAGTCTTCATTCAACGCCCTCCATACACAAATTATCGCTGGGTCTTCCGTGCCTGCGGCTGGTTGGATGGACCGGGCATGCAAGATATATGTGCGGCTGGAAGTAAGGATAGAACATCATCCAGAATATCTCAGTAAGTCATCTATTCTTCAATCGCTTAATTTTCAACTGCTTGGTTCCACAATACGTGCCTTGCCTGAGGATACGGGACTTCTTGGAGTGGCGACCTCGATGTTGCGTGTGGTGGTGAGCTGGTCGATTGCCCCAGTATCTAAGTCTTTGGTAGCAATGTGAGCGTATCCGGAGGACGTTACAGAAAATTTAGTCTTCATCATTGACTAATAGACGAAGCCTTGGTGGGAAATGGCCGCAAGCTCCAAGGTGCAGTCTCGGGACAGAGCATATGAACGGCTTGAGCGTAAGCTAAAGAGCAGCAGCAAGCTCGAATCCACAACTCTCTCTCCAAGACTAGCAAAGGAAGACGGTAAACGGAGCTTCTGTCGGCACCGTCAGCAGGAATCATCTACAGAACCGCACACTTGGGGTCTGCATTGCGCGCGCCTGAAAAATGTAAGCTTTACCCGTGTATTGAACGGGAACAAACGCGTGAGGGGATGCGCTACAACTCAACTACCGCCATATCGGTGTCAGTATGTCGATCACGGAGAGGGTTCCCATGCCTGCTGCCGCCAATTTCCCTGCATCCTGCAGCTGCACACAATGCTCTTTCTTAGGGGTTGGTGGAGGACTTTTCTTTGGAGGCACGCACTGAACTATGCATATCTCATAGTAATAGCTGCTGCTGTTACTTCTTTTGCGTGGCTCCCCACTGTAAGCAGTGCAGGTGCAGAAGCCACCTCAGAAGTGCAGCAATCTGCGAGCAACGCACCGCTTTTCGCAGAGCTTCTTTGCCATGATGACGGCGCCACTTTTGTGGCGACTCGAGTAAAAGCCGAGTTGGAAGCTGGAACGGCGGTTTCAGATATTCTTCCTGTCGCCGTTGAGGCGGCCGAACAAATGTCATGGGGCGAATGTTCTCGTCTGTGCAACGGGGGAGTTCAAACAGCCGACGCAGATCTGGCACGAAAGTTTGCTGTTGATGGGTTGCGAAGTGCTTTGTCTGAAAGAAATGAATGGTCTGACTCCTACGTTGACATGGTGGGGGAACGGATTGCCAACGCTGCACTTGCTGGTGATTCGTCGAAGGGGCAGATGAAGACTCGCTCCTGCAACACCTTCCCGTGCCCTTTTGAAGTGCCAACGGAATTAAAAGCTGCTAATTTGCAAATTGCGCGGGAGCCTGAGGTGGTGGCTGCCTTTGGAGTTATTCCCCAAGTAGATTTTACTGAAGAGTGCAAGGGTCGGCTCAAACTGGATGAGATTGACCAGCGTGTTTGGGCTGAGAGGCGCACAGAACAGTTACAGTATCAAGAGATACAAGAGCGAGCTGGGGCGCTCCCAGGCTGGGAAGCCACTGTCCTGTCTCCGGAGCATCTTAGTCTGTACAGTTGCATTAGTTTATGTCGGCTCCACCATCGTTGCAGTGCAGTGATTTATTCTGAAGATATTGGCGCCCTGACAGCAGGAGAAAATGAAAGTTCCGCCAGCTGCTCTGACACTGATGCAGTGGCTACTCTTCAGTGCGCATTAGCAAACGGCCGTTCTCTCTTGAACCGTCTTGAAGAGAGCATTTGGGGAATTTCCAAACCTCGTGCAGGCTCAGACCCATTGCCTCCGCAGAATCGAAATCCGGTGTGCAGTTTATATGCTCGTGTAAAAGTATCACGTGTGGCTGAATGTGCAACTCAGCCGACGACAAAGGAAGGGATGGGCAAGTTGACGCTTTTGGTGGTTGATCTCGGCATGGACTTCGCGAATGCTGCTCGTGGCATGCGCTCCACCATGGCCCTGCAGGTAGTCAGGTACAGGGATGCTATACGCACTGCTAGTTCCATTCTAGAAAGGGCTCTCAGTGGCTCCGTAGTGGTTTCCAACATCCAGCAGAGGGCCAAGGAGTCACTATCGCGGGTGCAGAAGGCTCGGAAACGCGCATCTGTGGCCATTCACGTCCTCTCTGAGGCCGTCAGGGTGGTAGAGGAAGCTGCTTTGCATGCTTCCGGAGTCTTGAAGTCCTTGCAGCCTGATGAGCATGCTGCAGCACAGATGTCTGGAGCCGGTGCCGAGGGTTCAGGATCTTCAGTGCGTATGACCGGTAGTCTCCAAGGAACACTTCACTCAGCAGCTCCTCTCAGCACGTCTTGCCCAATGTTTCCAGGCGTTGAGTTGCTTAACCGTGGCTGCGTGCAGCTCCCCGCGTTGCAGACACGCACTTCAACCAAAGACCAGTTTTCTTCAGACTCAGTGCCAGCCACGACACACCAGATATCAGAGGAGGTTATTCCCATGAATTGGCAGATGTGCCAGGTTTTACTAAATGACGTGAATCGGCTCCTGAAGCAGTACCGTGATGTCATTTCCCAACTGAAAAAAACAGATGCAGATGCGGCAGGTGCCGAAAAGCAAGCAAAGAAACTGTTGTCCCGCATCTTGGGACTGAATAATGAAGAAACAGCGAGGCTTTCTTCAGCTGATGTCTCCGATCCAGTGGGGGAAGGCGCTGGTGCCATGAGCAGGGAAGATGCTGCATTTTTAGAACAGACCTACACCCGTAAATCTCGGGAAGAGATTGTCGAACGTCTGGGTGAAGGGGAGGGCTCTATTTTTGCTGTGTTCAACACAGCCAAGCAAATTTGCGAAATAAGAGCTGTGAGCAGATCTGTGTGCATTTCTGATATTGACTCTGTTTGCATGCCCACAGATGGAGCTTTTCGCTCTGTGGGTTTGTTCGCGTCTCAGAGTTTGACCTAGGCAGCACTAGTCCGCATTCAAGTCCGTGTTATCAGACGCTTCATTCCTGTACATAGTAGTCTGCGTTCCTCTATGTAGTAATATCGACCGGCACACCAGCGCATGGTGATTTTCACCACATTTTGTGCTTTGCTGTGTCTCCTTAGGTTTTCGAGCCACGTTTCACTCAAAACGGTGAAACGCTTGGTGCGCAGTTTCCGTCTGCGTGTGCTTCTTTCAGTCCCTTTTCATTGATGTTCTTGCCCTATGATGGAGACAGTTCGGCAGTGAATAATATCAATAGGCAAGATGCAGAGAAGGCCAGTAGCGACACAGGCAGGTGCCCTGATATATCGTGCACATACTCTTCCTGGACTTCGTGGTCACCGTGCGATGATGCGCATTATGCTGGAGCTGAAACTATTGGTGGGAGCGGGGAACCAGGTGAGCCTGAGTCCCAGAGCTCTGTGCTTGTCCGACAAGCAACCTGGCAAGTCCGTGTCAAAGAGGCTCTGTTGCGCCCAAAGGCAACTCTTCGGTGTGCGAATTTTCTGGAAACACGTCTCTGCAGAGGCAAAGCCATTGCAGAGACGGGATCAACTGGACTGATGGGGGACTTTGCCAATGCTGTTTCTAAGTCAATTTCAAATTGGTGTGAGTACAGCCCGTATTCGCTTTGGAGTGACTGCACGCCGCATTGCATCCCTCGCGATAACCCAGAGGCGGTGGCGTACCAGATTAGCTCGCGCACTGTCCATCAGTACACAGTGCCGGGCCTGGCTGCTCGCTGTGACTTAGGGTCACTAGAGGCTCGGAAAGTATGTTCGAAGGTTCCCGTATGTCCACATGACGAAGGTGACGCAGAAGGAGCCGATGGTGCGAATGGCGGCTCTGAAGCAGAATTAGACACAATGACGAGCTCTGCTGCAGCTATTCGCGCGCATTCCTTTGCGCGCGCACCGGTTAATGGAGAGCCACCGGAATCGTGGATGTTTTCCAGGATACGCACCGTAGGGCCACAAAATGTGAAGGCACCGGAAATATCACGTGGCACTTCATCAGAGAAGCAGGCTCAGGAATCCAGTCAAAGTTTTATGGAGAGCGTGGACTCTACTCACGAATATTCAGTGGGAGCAGTGGCGGAGGAGCAATTGCCGGAAGAGTCAGATTCGCCTTTGTCAGAGCAACGAATGCAAGATTCTACTGCTGGTGAAGAGGCTGATACCAGTGCTTCGATTCATCCTGAACTTCTTAAACCAGAAGATAAGGTTACAGCCGACCAAAGCGTTCCGCATAACAATTCTTTCATTCCTCCAGCCGATAGCTCCCCTCCTTTCGAGCATTCAGATGGTGCACAACCAACTATACCGTACGACTCACCTTTTGCCGAGAGCACAGAAATTCTTCCTGAAAACAGTGGTGGCTCTGATTTGGCCACACGAGCCGAAGCAGCTGTAGGGAACACTACTGAGCCTGGTCAGCAAGCTTCTCAGAGTGACGAAGAAGAACCAGAAGAAGAGCCAAGGCGTTGCTTTCTTGGTCTGTCTTGCTTGAGCTTTGTGTTGTGTTGCCTACTCGGTGCATTGTCTTGTACAACGATAGTGCTGCTAACGGTTGTTTGCAGCTCTAAAGTTCGGTCGTGGCTAGGATATCACTGGTCTGGAGCGACTGACGAAGAGCGTAAGGCACTTTTGCAGAAAGCCGCTGACTCCCAGGGTGTATCAGTCATTGCTCCCCTCATCAACCCCGATGGGGTCAAAGTGTTGACTCCTGAGGGGTCCCCTCTACTTGTGTTTCCGTGTAAGGAAGATTCGGGGGCACAGTATCTAACTGCAGATGGGTCAAAAGTTTTTGTGACCATGAATGGAGACTTCGTCAATGACTGGGGTGTGATTCTAAAGGTCAATGAACTACCAAAAGGCCTGCGCGAAAAGGTAGGTGCTAGGCGTGCCACTTATCTTTGCTGTGGGCGATTTCACTTAGTCTGCTCCGCGTTGAGTGGAAGGATTAGTTGATACATAAAAGGCCAAGTTTTATGACGTGTTGTGGCTTTTGTTGCGTTTTGGGGTTCTTGCTGTTACAGGCAAGCGTTGCCATCTCCAAGGATTACCATCCATCTGTACCAGCAGCAGTATCGGTAAAAGCCCGAGAATCCGCACCTTCTGGATTGGCGAAAAGTGCTCCAAAAAGTTCACTGGCTGTGCCACTGACACAAGCAAAGTCGAAGGCCCAAGAGCTGCCCAAGGTTTCCAGCGTCTCCCCAAAGGACCTTCAGCCCTTGCCCTTGCCTAAGCAGGCCCCAGCAGGACCTGACATCACGTTAGCGCCAATCACAGACCCTAGAAAGCCAGGCATGCCGTCCAGAAAGCCTTCATCCATTTTGTAGGAAGCTCTATCTCGTCTGGATCCTGCCGCGGAAGGAGTATTTTGTCGTATGTGATGTTCGAAATTCCCCCGACACTACGTAGTGCACGGCAATGAATGGGTACAGCTGAGGAAGGGAGATGGACTCTTAGCGTAACGGCATGCGGAATTTGTAGGCGTCATTTGTTACTTAGTCGGACACTTTATTTGGCAAGCATCTGTCTCCAGCGAGCCATCTGTTTGATAACGGGGGATGGTGTTTCGTATTTCGCATGTTTTAGGTCTTTCATTACTTCATGTTCCGTATACCAAACTTCTTGTCAAATTCCTGCAGTTAACTGCTTCTGTAGGTACTCACGGATTACGGGCTCCCAAATGAGTGGCTATTTGAATTTGTTTGCGGTGTATCAGCTCTTTTGCAGCAGAATGTATGATTTTTTAGCGGCAAACAAGAAATCAGATGAGGCCGGAACTTTGTTAGACACTGAATTCAGTAGACGTATGCTCGATTCCTGAGTTCCCTGTGAAATATATGGGCAAAGGCGTTGTGCTTATGTCGCAGGCGGCACTAAGAAAGCAGGCATGCACCGGTGCTAAGCTCAGATGTGTTCTTAAGGGAAAGACTATCGCGAGCAGTCATCTCAACACTAGCTAGTGGTTTTGCTAGCCGTTATTTACTGCAGATCTCCATGACTATCTGTGTAGGAGCTCACATATGCAGTGGAACACATAATCAAGGGAGATGGCAAGGGAGCCAGCTTTCTCTAAGGAAACACTGCACGGTTCGACTGTCGTCGATGCTGCGTCGTTCACACTTTGCACCACGAGCATTCGACAGATATGGTCTCCTCAGGGGCGCTGGAAAGTGTGGTGTAGCCCATATCTTTTGTGGCAGGCATCGTTTGATGGCTCAATGGCACCCTCTATATTCTAGCCAGAGCGCCGGCCATATGTCATGAACTAGAAAGTGCATATGAGGGAAAAGCTTGGGGTGTTTGTTTCATGTTGGAAAAGCTTGAAAGCTACACCGTGCTTTCAATGCAGCAGCGCAACATGCCTGCCGTGAGGAGCTGTCAGGAATCGTAAGGTTCTAGAGCAGTAGTAGGGCTCTGAGGCAGTCAGCTGGAGAGCGGAAGCAGTGCCTAGTGTAGCAGCAACTAGCAAGATATTATGTTCTGTACAGTGGTTCGCAGCTGTCGTGGATATGTTTCCCACTTAACTCTCAAAATGTTGTGCCTAGTGCATGCAGTAGTTTAGTGTTAGGTCTCTGACGTGAGCGCTGGTGTCTGCAGGGTTTAAGCAGACCGAAGGCACTGGAAAACTCACATTGAGCTGAAACTGCGAAACTGTAGGTGTGTAGCTAGGTCTGTTTCACGCGCGCACGAAGGTTGTGGTAAGCACTCGCCTAAGTTAGCAGCGCGCTGGCAACTCATCCACTTCGGAGTCATTATAAGTAGTGTGTCTAAAAACTGTTTGAAGATGCAATTAATGGCGAAGGCTTTGGCGTCTAAAGAGAGAGAACAAACTGCAAAATTGGGGTCCATGGATCGCTATGTCATGAGCGACCCAACTGTATTCCAGATCTAACTGATCAACTAAGCCAGTTTGTCCTCTCCCCAACAAAATAGTAGAACAGCATTTACAATTAAAGTCTGTCTTTCGCTCATTTTTGCGCGTTTTGGAATTTCAGTACTCCGTTTCATCGAGGCTCATAAAATGTACAGCATTAAGCGGAGGCAACAAACTTATGTATGAAGGACGTTAGCGCCCTTACGAATATGATTCTGAGCTAGTTATATAACAGATTTACATGGAATGAAAGTTTACCCAGCAAATGTTAATTGCTTAGTTCGCTTGCAGCCCGATCGCGTAGTTTTGTGCGAATCATCGACAGCAAATCCCCAATAACGTTTCGGGGCCTCCTCCTCATCTTTCCGCTGGGAGAGGCCCTACTAGCACTGGGTTACTTGTGAAGTTCTTTCGTAGAAACAATTTGTTTTTTTCACACAGAGGAGACAGGCTGAGCCAGAGTTGAATTTGTGTTGTTGTTCTCTGGCATACTGAAACCACGAGCAGAGCTTGGGCTTCTGGAGCCCTGTCTGCTCGTACGGAAATTCATACAAGATATTCAATATACAGCAACGTATTTTCAGTAGTGTGCACTTTGTCAGGCTCAGCATCAGCCTTCGGCCATTTCGGCCCTGTGTTGCAATGGGCGGACCAGACCCTCAGCCACCTGGCATGACGGAGGCTGAGGCTGCGGTTCCCAGTAGCGACAGTAGCACTACCAGGCGCACTAGGGGTAACAGCGCTGCTATTTTTGGCGGCGGTAGTCGAGGAGAGACGTCGTCAGCCCGAATGGGCCTCTATGGGGCAATCTCAAGCTGTGCAGCAGGTGTTTTCCTCCAGCCACTGGACATTATTAAGACCCGCCAGGTACTTCCTGTCCCCGTTCATCTGACCGTGACTTCGTTGCCATCTGGTTTGCAGCGAATGACCATGCTGGTGGAATGCGCTCAATGCCACTTCCGCTGCCGCCATATTCTCTAGAGCTGTCTGTGACAATGGAGTTACGCCTCTTTACGTATGACTGCAGCAACAACAGTGCGCTCCAGGCTTTAGGCCTTCAATCAGGACTGCAGCATCCTCGATATTCAAGGAATATGGGGCCTTGGGCTTTTGGCGGGGCTCGCTCGCAACCGTCCTCAGGATAGCCCCAGGCACTGGTACGTCTAAAGACAAGTAGCGCGCCACGTGTGCGCTATGATTTTGCCTACGTGCCGTTTAAAATATGGCATGGCGCTCTTCTTAGGGGCTAGCTTCCAAGTGGAATTCAACTCTGCGAGCTCGTGCGTCCATGCCCTAGTGTTACTTTTCGTAGGCTGTAAACTGCGTAATGTATGATTTGTTTGAGGTGCAGGTATTTACTTTGCAGCACTAGGGCCGATGATGGGAACGTGGGGCACTGTAGCTCCCCTCTTGAAGTCTTTGCCACTGGAGAAGCTGACTGGCACACCACCGGAGGTATTTTGACCGTTGTCATAGATGCAGACTCTACTGCTGGTGCTTTGGCTCATTCGAAGTAGACCACACCAATATTGTCTCGAACCTTCTTCCAATTAATCTGATGAGCCGCTTAGTTGCAAGGCCACTTGGAGCCTTCGGCGCGTTGCGTTATTTTGGGTTGCTTAAGCCTCTGGAGGCGTCTAAGAACTGTTGGCGCGGCAACACCCATTGTGAATCTCCTTGTTGATATTTTACCCTATTGCAGCTGGACCCGAATATTGTTCCTGCGTGGTACTTGGGGATCATCTCTGGTATAGCCCGAGGGGCAGCTGTCGCCGTTTTCAACCCCATCTCTATTGTGAAAACCAGACTGGAGTCATCGCTGGTAAGTGATCATCTCACATTAGCCACTGGCAGCACAGTGTTGTCCTGTACAGTGTCAAGTAAAACAGGAAGATCTCTACAAGAGTTTATGGCCATGCATTGTACTGAGTCACATTTTTCCAGGCCTGTGTGGGGTTTGGCCTTTCCTATACTACGTTTTTAGGGATCCGAAGGCATGCTAAAGGCGTTTGGACGGCTGTTGCGGAACGAGCGCCCTCTGGATTGGTTCCGAGGCACTCTAGCTACGATTTGCCGCGACTTCCCCTTTTCCGGTCTATTTTTTATTGTGTATGTTAACTTGAAGGCTCAGGCAGGCGTCGAAGCAGACTCTAGAGATCGCGTCAGCTTCTATGCGCTGCAGAATTTCGGCTGTGGAGCAGTTGCTGCAGCGACGGCTTCCGCTATCACGCATCCTTTTGATGTACTACGGACACGCCTGCAGCTAGACGGCGTTGCTGCACCAACAGGGGTAGCCTCCGTGTCACAAGTGAACTCCCGTGTCCAAGCAAATGCCCAGCTTGCAAATGCGCAGAGGGGGCTCCTTAAGCGTGTTGCACAGTTGGTGAGGACCGAAGGCGCAGGGGTCTTGTGGCGGGGCCTGGGAGTGCGCCTTTTGAAGCGCAGCCTTATGGCAGCATTGACGTGGACATCTTTTGAAGAAATAAAAACAGCGGTTTCCGGACGACCTTCACTTGTACTTGCCTCCGGGAGACAAAATTGACAGAGGCTCCATGTGCAGACTGCATCTGCCGTCACATCACTCCTGTGTGCACCGTCTTCAAATACTCACAGCGTGGGCCTCTCTTGCGTCGGCAGGTTCGTGTATAAAAACATCAGCATGGTGCGACTCTATCAGCAGGGAATAGGTTTCACTCAGCGCCAGTGCATTTGAACGGAAGGTAGGGACCTTCTCCGTTCATTGCAAAGTGTTGAAGGCTCTCAGCGGGTGCGTTGCAGTGGGGAGTTTACTTTCTCTACAGTGGAATCTGGCCTCTAATGCCTTGCTGAAAGGAAGTAATTCAACATATATATCAATATATACATATATGTATGTCTGTGCTTGCATATATGTGCCCACACTTGCCTCATCTGCTTGGTTTATTCGAGCCTTCTTTGACAAAGTTGAACTGCCGTTACATGATTCACAGCGGCTATATTCGTGCACACGGAATTCTTTAAATCACTTTTACTGTGTTTTCGCCGAATCAGCGAACTGCACACAATGTCCCTAGTCAATCTGCCATAGCTGAAGGACATGCATGCCATGCCGAGAAGCAATGTTCGTACTGAAATGCCTATGTTGCACTTTAAAGTGGGCTTTCCATTATTAGGGCGCAACGCGCTCACCTCAACACAAAAGGAAGCGCTCAACATCGGCACTTGCGCAGATTGCTCTAGCGTCGATGGCGCAGAAGTGCTGCTGCGGTTGGTGCAGCTACTGGAGCATAGCGACACAGCTAATGCTGGTGTAAACTTTGTACTCTCCCAAATTGGTAGGTCTGTTGCTCACCAAAGTATTGTGAAGTGTGGGGCATTCACAGCAGCAGCGATTCGCACTTTTCCTTGCTGTTTATTTTGGAGCATAGATGAGGGCCAGCGATATATACTGTCACTAGTTTTAGGTGCCAAGCATGTGGAATGCTGTCCGCATGACTTGGTCAGTCAGAGCTTGTTGAAGAGCAGCCATACATGTACCAAAGCACAAAGCAAAACCGAAAAGAGCCAGGCGCGTGACCGCCGCCCGATTGAACGATTAAGAGTGTATAGGCTGTTGCAGCTGGCGCGCGCTCACAGGGGACAAGTGATTCTTGTTCGTGTTTATTTGAGTTAATTTCAAGAGGAATCTGTCGAACGTGCAAACAGATAGACTGAGGAGGCGGAGAGCACCCCAACGGGTGCAGTCTTTACGAAGATAACCTACAAGTTGCTGCGAAGTCTTGTAGAGGAAGGCTTCGTGGACACACTGAAAATGAAATGCAGAGGGAGCAAGCCTATGCGTTGCAGGGTTTTAATTGAGGCGTTGCAAAGCTTCACAAGTGTAATCTATGGCCACTCTACAATCAGGCAGTGGAAGCAACAATGACGGGACAAGGCCTGTTGACAAAAAGGAGTCGTTCACTTCCCGCAAAACGAATTGTTCGACAAGAAGGAGCCGATCACTTCCCGGAATAAGGAATTGTTCGATGTAGCTTACGCAAGAGCACGAGGTCAGCGACGCCATTCTGGTTGAATATAACTGAGTTGCAGCATCTGGGTGAGGTCACCAAGTTACGAAGAGCGACGGAGCCGAAGTTGAAGACGTCTTCTTACTGGGCAGGCTTCCTGAGATCACCATTTCCATTTTTGCGGTACACGCTGCGCCTTGTGCTCAAGTTCTACACCTCAAGTTTCCTGAGACTTTTAAATACTCAATTTCATCTCAAACAATCCCCCATCGCTGCGTGCGTCACTATTCGTCGCCACCGTATCCCCAGGGCAAGCTCGCCAGAGAGCATCGAGCACACGGGTATTTTGCGGAACATGCGCGACGAATTTGAAATACGGGTTGCAAGTCTTGAATACAGTTTCTGACTCCTCCTCTGAAAAGTTCACATTCGCAGTTCTTCGTGGACTTGCTGACATTATGTGCCGATATTACGCTTCACACTGGTGCGTTTGTCGATCAGCTGACCGTTTTATGTTCCACCAGCCCAACAAGATTCCACCAGTTCACAAGGTAAAGGTACATACGGGTCTCTGTGGATGGGTGTGGATGGCTCACGGAAAAATACGGTCAGGTGACTCATATCTCCGTAGCTCTGTAGAGCAGTGTTGGCATCACTGACATGCCATTGCCATCCCACTTACCACCAGCCTACTCGCTCCATAAAACCCTCAATTACACACACTGCTGTATTCTTCTGAAGCCTAACTCAAAAGCAAGCACAGCAACAAGTTCAACGTGAAGAAAATTTGACCTTTTGCAGCAAAAGCCATCGCTTTGGAGCTTCAAAGCAAAGGGTCTATAACAGCACCAGGCCAGACACATAAGCCGCGAGCTTGTTCCCCTTCATTCGACCGTTGGCCGGAATGAATGCGAAAGGCTCTTCAAATATTAGCATGCATCGTTTGCTAAAGTCCACTCATGACGTTAGGGAGGATCTGAACTGGCAGCAGGCTGATTGTGGCCGTTTGTAGCAGGTAAGTGAATATAGTACTTCGGTTCATTTCAACGGGTGAAGAAGGGATCGTTTCAACCCAACCATGGCCAATGCTGTACTTTTTCCCAGTTGATACCCTGGCATTAGCTGGAACAGGGTACCTTTTCCCCGCATACAGGAAGACGCCAGTTCAACAAGCAGTTCAGTTTGCAAGGTTACCCACACGTCAGCATGGAAAGCATGGCTGCTCCTCTTTCGTGGCGAGGTTTCGAGGCAAATTGGTTCTTTCACTGCTTGGAACAGATTAAATTATGTTTTATTCCGGCAGTTGCTAAATTGGAATGATTCAGACGGGCCGTCTAATAAACTGGGCAGTCGTGCAACCTGGTATTCACTGTCCATCGAGCAGTGGTTTTGCTTACGCTGCCAGCCTGTTATAAAGCCATTGCTTGAGGCAGTGTCATTGAACATATGGCAGCAACACACCGCGCTCGCTAATACGAGCCAATTGGCCGTATGAATCTTGAATTCGAAAGGCGCCCAGAGATGGAAGTGACGCGGGGAGAATGCAGCGGCTCGCCCCTTGTAAAGCCCTCTGAGACTTTTTGTCAAACTTGAATGACACGGCACCTCGAGGTTTCTAGAATTTCGCAGCAAAGCCAGAGCCTTCGGCTGGCTGATGGGATTCTGCAATAGCGATTGAAAAGTGATTCAAACGCCGCTGGGACCCCAAGTAAATTTTTACATTATTCTTTAGTGTAGACTAACCTGCATTTCCGTGAGATATGGCCTCTGCAGGTTGAGTCCTGGAGTCACGTGCTAAACAGTAAATCCCTTGGGACTGTAAACTGAACGTGTCTTCCCTTCGTTAGTACAGACAGCGTACGCTCATTGGAACTCTGCCTGGCTACACTTCTTGGTCTTTCAACAGAAAAGCAGCTTTTCCACTGCCAATATGTACTCCTGTAGGTTTACCAACGGTAAGAATTGCCTTCTCCACTTTCCATCTGAACTTTCTTAACATAGTCAATGCGGGGTAGGCCACTCAGCCTCTCGACAGCACACAATTATGGGGTTTGATAAATTGCTTTGTAAGTGGAGCAGGACGAAACTCGCTATAGCGTCCTTGCAGCAAAGGTCCCGTCACAGTTGCCATGTGGCAACTTCTGAAGCATTCAAGAGCAAATGCTGAGGGCCTGACTAATGCCACAGGGACGCAACGTCGGCTTTATCAGCCCGTCCGTGGCAGCGGCAAATGTGGCGTCTGCACATCGGCAATACCTTCCCAGTCACATGACTTGAGAAAATGTGCTCAGTGGTGTATGCAGCTTCGAGGCAGATATTTGCTGATAAGCAGGTGCAAGTGAAGCGGTATGCTGCTTCACGTAATCTCAAACAGGCCCTCTTCAAAGATTTTTGTCTCCTTATCTTAGTGCACTTGAAGTTGGCTGGAGATTCAACGATATCTTGAACAACTGCAGATGGCATTATTTCCAGATCGCATTGCCACATCCTTGCCCTTGCAGCTTCGTTTCTTCACACTCGAGGCAAACGGGCAGCACTCAACAGAGAAAGCGCGTCCAATGGCAGCCGTGAAGGCCCACTCTATGTCCTGCATTTTTATACTACACTCCTGAACCCCACAGGTCCTATGCGCTGACCTGAGTTTTTACCTGTTTTTGCAAAACCTCCCTAAACAGCAAATCAGAGTGAGCTAGTCCACGACTGCAACGTCTCACCATCTGCCCGTATTGTCAACATCCTGCTCTAAGCGCTGTTTTTCTGCCTAGTTTTCTGCGCATTAACACAATACTTGGACTAATGCGAACAAATATGAAGATGCGACTGTTTGCAGCAAAACTGTGGCGTAAGTTCACGAGTACAAAACACCATCAGCCGCTGCTGTCGATTTTCATGAAACACAAAGCAACAACACAAAGTGCTGTGTGCAAATACCTGGGTGCACAATATTTTACAAAGGTGCAAGAGGGCTCCTCGGCGACGCAGCAGCCGAGGAAGCATCGAGTGTGCGACACGTCCAAAGCAAGCATATCTGAGTGTGACGGTTCTCTGACGGTGATAGAGCTGTTCCTCAAGGAACGAAGCAAACAAGACACAACAGGAATTCCTCAAAAATGTGACCTTTACTCGCAGTGCACAACGCTGCTCCTGTAATTTTGAAGACAGGCAGACATTCCCTGCTCTGTGTGATCTAGGCAGCCGACAGATAGCAAGCACAGCTCATGTAGCCCTATGTTGGGTAGCCGCAATGGAAAGACGCACGGGAGACGTCCACACTGTGCAAGACTAACATGTACAGAGAGCGCGCTTGCAGTCCAGTAATATAAGAGGGCTTGTGACTCATCGTCAGATATACAAGTATCAAGGAGCACAGTCCATACAGCTCCAGCTTGTGGATGCTACGAGAAGCCCGACCAGTACTTGACGCAACCTACCCTAAGTAGTGGACTGCCCGTTACGGCTTTCCACCATATCGTGATTAACCATTGGAGGCACACACCTGTTGAGTAGCCTTGAGCCGTAGCTTTGCCCCTTTCCGGCTGTTCCCAGGCTCCACGCGGCCGGAAGATGATGCCGCATTGCGTCGCCTTCGTTGGCTGTTCGGTAGCTGGCCTTTTTGCGGCGGCTGCTGCTGCCCCTGTGAAGACTGCTTTGGAGGTAAAAGCTCGTGTGACGGCTGCAGCAACAACGCAATAGCATAGAAGCTGTAAGAGCTTTCACTGCTTAACCCAAACAATGCATACTAAGGTAAGCCTGCGGCCAATCTGCCAGTGGGCCCAGTCACAAATATTCCTTATCAAGACTGCAACGAGGCACTTTGCAACCCTCGATGAGTGGGCGCAGGAGATATGCGGTTTGTTTCCTAGAAAGACACACTTTTGTAGGTTCAAAAGTAAGCGCTGCTGGCTCCTGTGTTGTAGTTGTCATCTTCGGGATATCCGCTGCAGCACCTTCCGCTGGAGTAGCTTTGGCCGTCTGCGTAAAAGCAGTCAGCTGTGCGCCGCTGCATTGGGCAATTGGGGCCTCGCATCCTGTAGAGGGGCTCATGATTTTGAGAAGCTCCTCTAAGAGTTTGCGCACAGCAAGCGGGTCGCATCTTCTTTCCTCAGTCTGGGCGAACGGCAAGGCCACAGGCTGAAGGGAACCCTGTGCTGCAGCTGACTGATTCAGCGCAGAGGCGGCGACTGGTGGCTGGTCAACAGAAAGGGTGCCGTTAAAATGTTGATGTACGTCTGCGATCAGGGATGCAGATGGTTGCTGGGGTAGCTGTAGGGAAAGGTCAGGCGAGGTGGCAGAGGGACTACACTGAGACGACCCTATGGGCAACCTCCAGTCATTTTGCTGCTGAGATTGATGTGCCTGCTGCTGCTGCGAAATCTGCGCCCAGTAAGGTGGCGGCACTGGAGAAAGCAGTTCGAGTGGATCTTCATTAGATTGATGCTGCGGCAGTTCGGTTCCACACCGCTTCGGCTTGCCAGCATCACCAGGCGCTCGGCCAACCAAAGTCACATCATGCAACTGCCTCAGCTCCTGCAACCGTTCACGCCTTGACTCAGACCAATCTAGTGGATGATGCTGGTCGTGCAACGGCGTCGCATGTACCTGCGGCTGTGCCTGCAACTGAATGGATAGCACATCCCCGTGATCAGGAGCGCTGTAAAGTTGACCTGACTGGAGACTTTGGGTTTGCTGCGGGTTCTGCTGAAGCTGCTGCTGCAAGTATTGCTGCAGCCGCTGAAGATGCTGCGGTAACAGCACCGGCTTTTTCTGTTCGTCAGTTCGTTCACTTGTCGCACGCAATGCAGCGCTATCGACAAGCCCATTTTCTCTGAGGTGCACGCCCCCGTTCTGTTGCAGCTGCAACATTTGTAGCTGCAACTGCAGCTGACTCTGCAGCTGCTGCAAGCTCAGCTGAGACGATGGGGGTGCAAACGAACGCAATGCGCTGAGGTCTTCAGCGTGGCTGGAAGAAAGCTGATGTGGATGCTGGTGTGGCGCCTGTGGCATCTGCTGCTGCAGTCGGGACTGCTGTAGCTCATCAAGCTGCTGGAGCAGCCCCGGTTGCCCATTCTGCAAAGGAGTGATCTGTTGTTGCTGCTCCCTTGAGGTAAGAGCTTGACGCGGATAAGTCGCACACAACTGACTGAGAAGCTGCAAGTCTTGGCAGTCGCCGGTTACCAGATGTTGCTGTGGTTCATGGAATTGCTGCTGCTGGCTCCACACCGCCGACTGGGAATCCGGACTGACAAAGCATGGTTGGGACTGTGCAGCTGTCGCATTAGCTGCTGCAGCGGCCACCACAGCCGCCCCTAGCCGTTGCTTAAGCTCCGCTACAAGCCCATCATCCGTTAGGGATGGTGAGCTGTGTGCGGCCTTTTCGTTATTGTGTCGCCCTCCCTGATAATCCATAGTGGCTGAGCTCGACAGCGCATACGGTGCCGGGTCCTGGCCCTGAAATCCTTGCATCTGCGGTCCCATGAGCCGTTCAGTTTGTGACGGAGCCACTACCGAGTTGTCCGTACTGCTCAACGTAGAAGGCATGCAGAGCATGGATGTCTGGGAGCTTCCAGACGCCCTCAACGCGTGGAGGAGAGGCGCCGCCGCCTGAGGTGTAGCGCTCCAGCCGTTCGAATGTACAAATTGTTGCTGGCACCCGCTGGCCAAATGCAGCAGCCCTGCGGGATGTGCAAAGTAGGGAGGCATGCGGTTGCCACAGGCGCTGCTGAGAGCTGGGGATGGCGGAGGAGTGGGAGGGGGAGGAGGAGCTGCAACAAAATGAGCGTGGGAGTAATTGAGGTGGAGAGATGAAGGCAAAGAAGGGTCTCCTTGATACAGTAACGACAAGTCCACTACGGCCCTTGGCACCAAGTCCGCGTTGCCAATTACTTGCAGGACGGTTTCCTGGGAAAAGCCGTAATCGCACATCAAATTGCATGGATCGAAACGGAAATGCAATGGACAGGCATGACAACTGATACCTCAGTCGCAAGCGAATGCTAATAGGAGACCGTTGCCGCATGCTCTGTAGACAAGCTGTAATATTCACAACTGAAGGCAGACGCTGCGCAGGGTAAAGCTTAGCACCTTCATCCCTAAGTGGTGCATCTTGTTGTGTAAATGACCACCCTCTGCCGAAGATAGGATCTCTACCCCGTGTTTCTTCGCTGTGACCACAACGCACACAGACACAAGAGTCGAGCCACAACTCACTAGTTGTCTTGAGGCAGCAAGTACCTTAGGCGCTATTCACAATTTGAGCGCGCATTACACCACCAGCGGCCGGCCCTGTCGAAATTTTTTGGGTGCAATCAAACTCTGAAGGAAACGCCTACCGACTTCCACCACCGGCACACGCCCCTCAGAGTCCGGCGTGAAGATGTGGGTCAACGCGGAATCGGGCACCACCAGTTTAAAGCACCCCTGCAAATGCAAAGGTCGCCACGCATGTTGCCCTTTTGGAGATAACTGCAGAAGCTGACTTGACATGAATATTTGTATTTAAATGGAGAAATTGAAGAAAGCTGGGGTGGTGGCGGAAAGGTGGCTGGGAGATCCCCGTTCATTCACCTTGGGCTTGCATATTTTCTTGCCATTGTCTATGCGTCTTTCTTCCTCCTTATGCATTGCTCTGTCGAGTGCCACCTTGGAAACTTCCAAAAGAGCACGCTCCACACCGTCGCCGACACCCACAGCAGTCGCCGTGCGTTCTAGCAAGCAAGGGAATAGTTCGCCTCTCTTCGACACACTAACCTTCAGCCCTGGGCCATTTCGGGTTTGGAATTCCTCAATGCCTATAGCGAACCCATAAAAAATCAACTGCCTTTACATTTGTGCCTGGCACTATGCGCACTTGCACCCCCACATGTACGCATATACGCATCTCCAAATGCGCATGAACACTGGAATGCTCAAATACAGGTTAGACGCATGCACCCACAACCAGTCTCACATCCACAGGTGCTGGCCCACTCAGCGCCATCAAAAAGCCCATCGTAACACGACTGACACAGCTACCTGCAGCACATCTGGTAGATGCCTCAAACTTCAAGTCCTTAAGTTCTTTAAACAGCAAACCGCAGAGAGCCTGCCCTGGGAAACCTGCGCGTCTGCTTACCAACTCCCTTTCGCCCAACAAGAAAACCTGCCACGTCTTCGCCTATAAGAAACTTGCAGAACTTGAGTGGAACACTGGTCGATGGTGGATGTGAATTTGGCTTAACTATCTTCCGACTGTTGCTGACAGTGTCTGGTTGCGCCTGAATTGCGCCTGCAGCACTAACTGCTGCGGGGTCTGCTTGCCGAAGTGCTCGGGTCTCAGTTGGAGCTGAAGAGGCTTTATTAACGGGAGCAGAACCAGCATCACACAGCTGCAAACTGTCCTGATGCTGTCGGGAAACGGAAGGAGGACTGGTTCCCGATTCAGAGGTGGCTATTACAGCGTCTGGCTCTGCAGTGGCTCCCGCCCTGAGTGTCTCCTTTGCTGCTGTGGACTGCGGCGTGTATGGCGGTGCGTTGGCTGACAGACAAAACGAAGAGGCAGCAGGTTTGGTTGAAACTTCAGACTCCAGTTCCTCCTTCGACTTAGCCTGTTGCTGCACCTTTGGCTGCAGCTGAGCTTTTGTGCCTTTGGGGGTGATGCGGATGCTGCTATCGGTCTCTGGGCTCCCCTCCTTCGAAGGCGATACTGGGGTTTGCGGGCAGTCAGAATCTTGAAGTGCCCCCATTGTTCCTCCCTGGCTGTCCATCGACATAGAAACCAGGGCTAGCTCCTGAGACGTTGAGGGGGAGAGTGGCGCTTCCGTCGCCGACGAGTCCATCGCATGATGAGGGGGCACAGAGCACTGCAGGGCGCTTTGAAATACGGGAACTTTCTTCAACGAGGGAGAGAAGTCGCTAGTTGGCAAGCATGGCTGTTGTAAATCTAAACCACATACATTCGGAGTCAGGTTTAAGGACTTATTTACAATAGAGGCGAGAGAGCCGGTGAGGGACTGCCGATACGGCAGGCTGTGCAGGAAACAAATGCGTTCGGGGGCGGGTCGGTCACTTCTATTCAAAAACATGGTTTCTACGAGACCCACCTGGAGATGCTTCGGCATCCATCATACTACTGCAGCCTCTGGTCTGTCCTTTTGAGCCACTCTTGTTTTCTTGCGAAGCGGAAGGCCCCAGCTGTTTTGCAGGTGTGGAGAACTGATGCAGCAGCAGCACGTCAGTCGTTCTCAGTTCCCCGCTAACTTCCATAGCACAACGAGCTGTTCCGAGGTGAGGAAGAGATAAACATTGACTTACAGCTGTTTCTGTTGATGTCAATGTTACCGTTCCTGCTTGTATTGCAGTCGCTGCTGCTTCAGTTGCTCCTACTTACAATGAGGCTGCTCCCGATGTAGCGACAAGAAGGCAGTAAATGAGATACTGCGATGTTACCGGACTGAACGTGTCAGGTGGCGCCGTGGCAATACCCCCTCAGCGCTGAGGCGCTTGATTAGTTGCAGCCGCAGGAATCACAGCAGCGTGCCGAACGCAGGTATACTCAGGCATGTATTCTGTATTTTTTGTAAATGGTTCATCTGTGCTATATAACGTGCGCAAAAAATAGCTTCGCACGGTGGTATACTATTGTGTCCAAGGAATAAATGCAAAATATACTAACTCCGACGGGAATCAGATGCTGTTCGCGATGTGGCCAAGAGCCGCCAGTCGCTACGGCCGCCGACAGGACACCTGTGGCCTTCACTGGCTAATGAAACTGCTGAGAAAGACCAAAAATATCTTGAGTGGAAACAGACCAGTGGTCCTTTTGGTTTGGAGCAGACGATACCTGCGCACAAAACATCTCACACGCACTGCTGCGCCCGTTCGGCCCACCGCTCCACAAGAAGCAAAATGTGGGAAACAAAAGGACAAAAAACCCACAACATCATTGTTAACGATACCATTTATAATGTCTGGCGCTGCAGCAATCTATTGCTGGCGCCTACTGCTGACGCTGACGGGCAACAGGTCACCTGCGCGGCGCAGCGGTCTTGAAGGGTTTGAGCTGTTAGTTGTGGAGATCTGTGCTCGTGAATTCAACTAATGTCTAGGGGCGTGTCAATTGATTATAAATACAATAAATGATTGATAAACCACTCGAAGAAACCAGCAAGCAGCATGAACATCAAAACACGAAGACTGACGCCCATGGTAATAGGCTGTGGGACCCCTCAGCGTCAGCGGCCACGGGCGGTAAGAGCCACAGCCCTCTTTCTCAAGTGCCGCCCCAATCGGTTTTGAATCACCTTATTTGCATTACACATAAAATTAAATAACTCTTCCGTCAGTAACTCCGTTGAGATAAAGAAAGTACGAGAGCAGAACGCAACACACCCAGCACACCCTGGCAGCCTCACCAATCCAGGGAAACAGCTCAGATAAGACCACTACAGACGACGAGTCACGAATCTGCTTCCTCTAACCGCTAGTCTCCATCAAATAGAATATCTCATATCTGGCAAATTCCCACAGCTAGTTTCTAAACGCGGTCGTCTGCCACCCTCACCGTAGTCGTTCTCCAACCTCTACCAGTGACCATGCACTGCCGGCCAACCATCAACAGCGCACACAATATCCGAAGACGTAAATCGCGTCTTCTACTGCTCACGTAGTTCGAACGTAACCATAGATATCCTTCGTGCTCTTTACATACAGAATCTCTTACGAGGCATTTCGCCTCGCTGCTTCTATCCTCAAAAGCAGAGACCTCCGTCCCGTCGCCGTTGTTGGCAATGGCGTAGCTCAACTCATCCTTCCTCCCCAGACCTCGAGTGTCTCATAGCTTACTGTACAGCTTGCAATACGAGCGAAATACGGGTGGCACGAGTGCACATTACGTCGCCAACAGTTCCAGACTCCGTCTGTTAGTCTGGAACTTGTTACTTCACACTTAGCAGTACTAGACACCACTGATTAGCCCACTAACACAACCTCCTGAGATGTACATTCTTGAACACCCAATCCTACAGTGCGCCACACGTTCGATTCAACGGACAACAACCCAACCTATCAGCTGCAACGAAGTACGATCCATACCTAGCCGTAAGACCCATCACCTAGAGTGATGTAAAGTAACAGTGTCGGTGATCATCCCTACGGCCACTAACAGAGGCTTGACACATCCCACTACAGTCATTACTGGCCAAAAAGCTGACTGCCAACTGCCCACTGATGTACCGCCAAGACAGCTTCGTATGAATGAACTGTACGACTCCCTCTAGAGAAACGCTACATACAGCCATATTCTCCTGGCTGCGACACCGTTCCTCGACAAGAAGCCAATTAGTATACCCCCAAATATAAAGCAGACGAAGTTTGCCTTTCCAGGAACATATCTCGTCTGCGCGGAATCAAAATTTGCGGGAATTTAAGAAGGCGTGGGCTGCTTAATTTGCGAGCCGATATTACAAACAGACAAAAAATGAATACATTGGAAAAGCAGACAGTCACTAAATACATACCAGCAAAACGAATATGACTACATACAATGCCCAGAACAATGAGAACTACTGATAAGAGAAAGCCACATGATGTCATCTCTTGAAACTTTGCAGAAAAACATTTGTGGCAGCCTCACTGCATGACGGGTTCACCTCATGCTGGAAACGAATCCACAAAACTTATATGCATATTTCAACATAAAGAACTACGCACAAGGTCCATCAGCTACGCAAAAGATCACAGTAATTCCCAGCCTTCGTTGGAAGCAGAAGCAAGAACAATATCCAGCAAACTGCTGGAAAATTTGGAAAGCAAATTCAGCTGTACATCAGAGGACAGCAATAAGTAAAGCCATCTGAGGAAGGCTAAAACCGCTGCCCGTGTCCCCGATTTCATTATTTTGTCCCTCTACCCAAGAACACCTGAGGTGAACAAACAGCCCCAGCGTTCAAAACAGAGGGTCATTCACACGCCACAAATCTCCGAGCTCTTTACAAAATATACGCTGAGTTGCGGCTCACAAGGAGCAAGCAAACTGGGAATCCGCAAGCAAAAAAAACAAGAAAACGACTGCGATACAACTCACTGCCGATGCATACAATGGAGTGTGCAAAACTGAAGGACAAAATGTTGATTTTCAACTCAGCATGCAACGGTCAGTACATGGCAGCAGTTTGTGTGCCTGCACACGCAAACTAACAAACAAAACACAGCATTCATCATGCTTCTCTCCTCAGGCTTGCTGTTGACGCTGACCCCGTACACTTCCTGCGGAAGGTACCACCACCGAAGGTGGAAGCAACACAGCTGTGTCTACGTGTCCTCATCTGTTTGAGTATGGCTTTGAACAAACAAAAAAAATGACAGAATCCTCCTCATATCTGCAAATGGTCATCATTTATTGCAAGGAAAAACCCGGAGAGCATTTGTTTGGTTGCTTCAGCTGTCCGGCCTCCCCAACGTGAGCTTGGCTCGCCAACCCGAAATTCGATACAGCTTGATTCAACTTCTTTGTTTTCACATTCACTACACAATTTGCTCAAACTTCAAGCGTCTGAATCGCTGGTGTAATAATGGTGACCGACAGCATGCTGAGTTGGCGCACTCTGTGCCCCACAGCCCCGGTGCAGCCCACGAGGGGTCAAGCCACATTGCTTGGTTGTTCTACTTCTTGTTAGTCTGTCGCTCAGCCCGTGACGAACGTCTGCACCAGGATTAAAAGGTGATGGTATTAAACATGGGTAAGCTCCTAGGAAAAGCTGTCGCGGTCCACTGAAAAGCGTGAGGCACTAATGTTGAGCAGACCCCCACTGTTGCTGTGACACCTGCCATCGCCCGTTGTGCGACACGTGGAGCTACCACAGGGGCAGTCCATAATGCTGCTAGAGATGAAAGCTTTGTGGTTGTGCTGCTGCTAACGTTGCTGCCGAGTGTTCCACCCTCGACGCTCTGAGGGCCATTGCGCGGCTGATTAGCATAGAACCCACTGCACGGCACCCCCGATTAAAGCATGATACGGCATCCAGGAGTTGTGTATAGATTCTAAACTAAATTGTAAATACAGGACACAAATCAGGACAGTAGGGGGCACTAAGCAGTCCTAAGCATCTCTAGAGACCTCAGAATGCAGCTGACAACCGAAAGTCCAGCACATACGGAGAGTCGGGGCCCCGGAGATCTTCCTGAACTCATTTGAGGACCTGAGATGACTCTTCAAGCCTCCTGGGCCTCTCAAGTGGGCTTTATGAGATGCAAGAAGCTGCATTGCTGGTAACCTGTGCTGACGCATCCGTACAATTCGTAGTGATTCAGGCTCCTCGACTGAATCGCTCTTTTCAAGACGTTGAATCCTCTCCAAGAGCTGAGCCGTTCGGTGGAGACCACAATAATGGTGAAGCGATGCACTTTCCTAAAAAGCTGAGCGATACGGTCCACAGCCGCTACATCTCATGGGCATCTTTGTGCAGCCTGATGCAAAATATTTTACCGATGCCATAGCCTTGCGTAGTGTAAACACTATACTCAGGTCTCAAGGAGTTTCACGACACTACACGGCATAAACCGCAGATGGGGGATTAAAGCTCTTGTCATTGGCTCTTTACTATTATGACGCCCCTCCTCTTTGTCTAGGAGGAAACGGCCCACGGGAACGATCCATCAAGTTTGAATACCTCTAGCAGTCAGAAATACTCGGGTGCGTGGCTTTCCTGAAAGGTCACACTGCCCTATATTTGACTCCTTGTGTGTCACGTTGCTGATACGTGTTCCCCTTTCTTATTATCCACGTGTGTTAACGACGGCGACGAGCGACGAAGGCACACGGAGCCCTTTGAGGCAGCTCTCTGATAAGGCTGCGCTCCTTTACCGGCTTTCCACAGAAAAACGGAAAAATATTTTGCGTATTCTTACTAATGTAAGGCTCACAGTAAGCGTTTCATGCGGAAGTTCCGGGTCTCATTCTCGGTGGCGAATTCCTCATGCGCCATCAGCGCAGTGTGATAATGTTTTACAATTATAGGAACGCTGTACAGCAGCCTTCCAAAATTTCCAAGTCGATGTTTGATTTTTGACAGAAAGGGCGAAGCAACCTTCAAGCGATGGCGCAGTACTCTGGTGAGCTGCATTCTCCTGATATCACGGTCGTCGTGCTATGTAGAGGTACCGTGCGATCAAGTCTCATTCGTCAATACTATCTCGGCATTCCACTGCAATTGCACAAAATAAAGGTCATAAAACACTGACGTTATTCGCTTTAACATTCAGACGGGTGTGTAAACTGTATTTCTTACGCAGCATGCAGCCCCATGGAGATGCTTGAAGCCGCCTAACCTGTGGTAATGCCTGCCTGTTTCTTTTCTTCTTCGAAAAGAATTGAAATAAACGCTTAATGGCTCTCAGCTTTGTTTGCCAAATATGTCCCGCCTCCAGTAGAGGGGCCCGCTGCCACGTCTCTGCTCACACCGCGATCAAAATTCCTCAGCTTCAGCACATAATATACGCTTGATTCGCTGACCAGCCCATCGAGCTCTACGATATCTTCGTGACTGCCCGCTTTTGACGACTGCTCATCAATCCACTGCCCCACCACAGCAACAAGTGTGCAACTGCTAGCACCAAAAGAGTCGGAGTCGTCGCAGCCAGCATCCGCATTGGCGTCGTCGGCATCACGAGATGGAGGGATAAGAGTTTCAGGAACATTACAAGTAACGGGCGAGTGCCAGAAGAAGCAGCAAAACCTGCGATAGAGCCACGAACTACGACACTCGCGCCATCAACGGCCCCAGCGCGAACAGCAACGGCAGCATCAACAACATCTGCAGGAATAACAGAGGCGGCACCTGAAACGAAAGTAACGGGAGAGGTGTACGTGATAGGTTGATGGTGCTGGCCGAAGATGGATGCTTCAGTGCCCGAGTCCCTCGCTGGCGATTTGGGTCCAGGTGATAACAAATAGTAGTGGTGACGCCAATTAAAATAATAAGGATGATTGAAGTTCTGCAGTAGTATACAGGGTGAACAATTTGCTCTTAACTTGCTGTCAAGCAACTCTCTGCATGATGTGAAATAGCGTATAAACTTTCAGTATTCCAACAATGCAGATGATACTGATTGCTTCTTTTCAGAAGGATTCTGGCACTTTTTTGGGACTTTACCTTTGATGGTTCGGGGCGTTTTTGCGTGCGTGTAGAATTTAAAAACGCCAAATGTTTGAATCTTTGTGAGCTTCAACTTATTCTGGGCGATCAGCTTCGCCTCTCCGTCGCAAGACCCGCAGAAGCCCACAAGTGAGTAAATTTTTCCGCAACTGCAACTACAGTGGTGGCAGTGACGCAGATGGTGGCAAGGGCGGCGCCAGCAGTTTCCGTTGTTGCCTTCGAGCCTAATAATGTTTCTGTAGCTGCACATCAACCCCGCAGTTGCTCCCGCAGCAGCAACACTTGCGGGAACACCTGCAGCAACAGCAGCAGCGTTTGTGTGCTGCGACTATGTGTGTCTTCCATATAGCTGCACATCAACCCCGCAGTTGCTCCCGCAGCAGCAACACTTGCGGGAACACCTGCAGCAACAGCAGCAGCGTTTGTGTGCTGCGACTATGTGTGTCTTCCATACAGCCTGATTAAAGCCTCTTATGAATATGCTTCCCGCTTTGGGAAAATGACTGTCAGAACGGCAGTTGTCGAAATCCGCAAGTAAAATCGAAGCCACTTTGGTGTTGCTGCTGCACGTGGTCGGGTTGTTTGTACTGTTGCTAATTTTGCTGTTGATACGGGTGATGTTGATGGTGGTAATACTGCTGTGTGTACTGATGCTATACTGCCGCTGCTTTTGCTGGTGGTTTGTGTGACAGTGCGCGTGGCTTCATTGGACAGTTCATTGCTAGCTGACTCCTACCGTTATTGCTGCCGTTGACGCTGCCGCAGGCATTTAGAGCGCGAGGGCGACTTGCAGCAGTTCGAGCTGGCGTTGTTGGTTAACCTTCTGCCTCGAACGCCTGATGAGGCCAAGGCTCATATCCCTTCTCTTATTCGGTTGTCTGCGGCTCGCCTCTCGCGAATCATAGACACGCTTGAAGTATTTAGGGTCCATGCATCCTGAAACTGCGGCGCGTGCTGCAATATCTCATACTGTTGTTGCAGCTCCCGGCGCTGCCGTTGCGGTTGTTGCAGCAGCCAGACCTAGAACTGCAGGTTCCTCCCTTGCTCCAGCAGCTGCTGCTCGAAATGGAGACCTGTTCTCATGTGGGATGTGAAATGGGAAATGGGCAGCGGCAGCAGAAGCAGCAGTAGCTGCGCTCCAGGAACTCCTTTAATGCTTATTCACACGCTGTCGTAAAAGTATCCTGTTGTTTTCTGGTTGTGTAATCAGCGATTGCGAATTTCTGGTTGTGTAATCAGCGATTGCGAATTTCTTAACACAAATTCACATTTTACGAGTCATCATTGTTATTTGATGCTAGCACTTCGGCTAAATGCCGACACGTTTTTGTCGATTGATGGAGTGCTAATTCACTACCCTGTGGACAAGTGCGTATGTATATGGAGCAAAAGCAAACACCATGAAATGTATGGAACAGTATAGGTAAGTTTCAAATGTTTTTGAGTAGTGACAGAAAAGAGCCCCCGAAGGGTACAAGGGAGTACCTGTGTACACCTTCAAGAATATTTGCAATGACGGATGTAGGTACGTTTACCGTCTCCTGGTGTATTCGCCAGTGCACATGCATTATGCAGTGAAGAGCGTTCTTCCCACAAAGAGTCACTCCAAGCATTTTAAGCGAACGAAAATATTCACCTTTGCTTGTCAAACAGTTGTTTGAACAACTTATTCCACCGGGGAAAAAATCTGCTACTATAGCCATTTGACAATGCGTGCGTACAAAACACCTCGCGAACGTGCTCCAACTCCAACTGTACGCCAAGCAGTTCCCAATCTTAGCTACAATGCAGTTGTCACCTTTGTGACATGTGAAAATTGGCACTCTCTTGTTCTTCAACCTGCCGTATTTAGTGCAGCAGTTGGCTACGGCACCGCCCCATTTTTGTCTGCGAGTAAGAGGGCGAATGCGTAGCACAGCTCAGAAGCGGCACAGGGGTTCGGACAATGTGGTACTTCTTCAAGAAAGGGGAAGTCATCGCTACTCCATGAAGCAGTAGAGCTCCCTCTAGGTAAGTAGTTTAGCTGGAATCAGACGAGGAAGATGGCAAGCAGCCTCCAGCCCCCTCAAGAAGATGTTCGTGAGTGCCGCTCTTGCGGCTGACAAATATCCCAACTGTTGGATGCAGCACGCCTGTACTTGCACGTGGACAGGGAATTTATCTTTCGGTGAATTCGTCAGTCTTAGGATCGGCGGTATTTTTGCCTGCGCTATTGCTTAGCCTCGAAAAGCGGGAAGAAAGAGCACAGAACGCACATGCAACGCAATTGTTCTCAGTCCCGTAGATGCCACTATTGGTGTTTCCGCCGCGAGAAGGCAGAGGCGATCCTGTCTCAGAGTTTAAGTGATGCGCGGGAGCAATTGCTGTTTAGGGCTGTTTTCTCCGGCCCAGGTACGGGGGAAACTGAATGGGCAAAGACCGGTCGTCAAAATGGAACAACCGCAGCAGGCGATGTTCCACATCGGAATGCTGCGCCGCAGCTACAGCTAGCTAATCGGGGGAATCGGGGAGATGCTTCCATGAAAGCTTGCTACATGCTGCAAAATTTCACTATTTTGGAGTAGATCAGCACTGTATGCATGTGTGCAAACATGTTGCTTTCTACGAAATGACAACTCGCGCACTACTGTTGACACTGCAGTATGGTATCCTTAGCCTTCCCTGGAGTGCTGCAAAATGCTTAAAAGAGGGATCTGTTCCTACAGCTGAAACGCTTCACTTTTGGTGGAATCTAGGGGCCTCCTCAATTTATTTTATATCAAATGGGGAATGCTTGTTACTTGTTTAAGTCGGCCTTTGGCACGCTCATTGTGCAAAGAAGTTTTCATCTGCTTCATGATCACAAAGAGTATACGGTATGAAGGGACGCGCACATATTTTTTTTGGTACATTCATGTGTAAGTGCTTAATCCATCCAGCCATACAGTAACGAAAGTTGGCACACAGATGTGCACATACCCATAAGAGTTGCCTTTCGAGGGAAAAAAGACTGTGGGGGTAACAAAAAACAATCGAGCAGAAAGTGATATATCAAGCAGTTGTTAGCACAGAGACAGACTAGTTTTGGAGCTCTCCTCTCCGTAGTGGAGTTGCACATCGCGTGTACCTGCAGGAACTGCAACTGCAGAAGAGCAGAAAAAAATAAGTAAAAACGCAAACATTACAAACTTTGAATAAAAGAAAGACATGCATGACATGCAATGAAAAACTCGCGTTAAACCTTCTATGCCCTCTGGCCATTCTGAGGGTCACTTCATGCAGCTGGGGCTCGTCGGCAGCGGCGGCTTTCCGGAACACACGAGGGAAACAACAATAAGCGAACCGATAAGAATGAAGAAACGAGTTTTTGCCGACTTCCCTCGTTTATTTTAGACTTTTTGTTTCTTAATTACTTCTATTTTGACCGTTTTCCCCTTTTCCCGTCCTCTAGCCCTTCGTTTGCGCGTGACCGCTCTGGACAATGCCACGGACAAACCTGTGCATATCACAGGGAACAGCCAGAATGGAGATCATGCTTTTCTCTGTGGACTGCTAAGCTGCAAAACACTGTGCACTAGGCTGTACACCTCGGGGTTTTGGCTGTGCTTTCGCTACTTGGTTGAATGGCACGATAAACGACAGGGCTGATTCGTCATTTTGGGGCTACTCATGGAGTGTGTTCAGTTTTCACTCCCTTTACATTTGTCTTAGACTCACACTTAAAATTTGATAGTAAAAATTAGGCAAAAAGGCTGCTTTTCTTTCCATGCATCGTCCACAACACGGACAGCAGAAGCAACAATTACACTTGCACCTGTAAAAACAGTGCTCCTCAGCTAAAATCCGGGTTTGGGACTGCGTTTCAGTCAGACCAAAGCTAATAGCAATATTTCTTGCAGTAACAAAGGGCAGCATCAGCAGTTGAAGCAGCAGCAGCGAGCGTCTCCCAGGAGCACCAGCTGTAGCGGCAGCAAGAACTCCAGCCATGTTGTTGAGCCTACCTGAAGTCGACGCCACGCGGTTCTCTCCCTCTGTCAACTTCAGCCCTGAGGCAGCAGCAACTGCGGCAGGCAGTTCACCATCCCCTGTTCCTGCAGATGCAGCAGACAGGGCAGCGGTGCCAGCAGCAGCTGGTGCTGCGCCTGCAAAAGCAAAACATAACCTATGGAAATTCGTTCCCTTCGGAAGCAAATGTCTACCTGCTTTTGGATGGAGCAGGTAAGCACTGAAGCGCCGCAGGATAGCTGCATCTCCGCCACAGCAGAGACGCTTTCTTTATCGCTGCCTCTGCGATGCTGCTGCAGGAACCGCAAGTCGCAGAAGGGCCAGCAACAACAGCGGCAACCACAGCGGCAGGGAGCGCAGAAAAAGCAGCAAGAGGCGGCATATGAGGGGCTTGCTAATTCCCAAATCCCACAGAAACAGACACGACTGCAGCAACAGCTCCAAGCGCAGCAGCTTCAGGAACAGCTGTGCCACCAGGATCAGCAGCCGAAGCAGCAGCAATCCACCAAGCAGCAGCACCTGCAACTATCACAAGATCACCAAGAAAAGCGTCTGCCGGTGCTTTGGGGGACAAGTGGCACCGCTGGTCTCACCACCCCTTGCATTGGCGCTGGAAGCAACAGCAACAGCAGCGGCGGCAAGAGTTCCAGCAGAAACAACAGCTCCGCAGCGGCAGGAGGCTACAACTTTTCCACCCCTGGGACCCCTGGATACAGCAGCAGTGGCAGCAACCGCAGTAGCAGAAGTGTCTGCAGCTGCAGCAGCAACAATGGCAGCAGCTCGTCGCACTCGCTGCCGCGCTTGTCTGTGGACGGCACAACATCAGGGCCATGCTGCGTGGGAAGTTCCTTATCGCCCAGATCCCTGATATGTAGCTGCAGTAGCAGCAGCAGCAGCTGCTGCTACAACAGGGGTGCCAACACCAATTCAACGCTACTGCGAGAGGGTGCTGCTGCAGCCAGGGAAGCAGTAGGTTCTGGTGCTGGTGCTGCTAACATGGTGGTACGCAAGACAGTTGAAGGAAGTGCAGAAGCGGTACCATCATGCTACCCTCGAGCTGCGCCATTGCTCTCAGCAGTAGCAGCGGCAGGAGAAATTAATTCTGCTACTTCCCCGGCAGCTGATGCTGCTGCGGCCGCTGGTGCTGATTCTAGTATACCCGCAGCAGCAGCGATGATGCCTCCCACTAAAGAGATGGTGGAGAAAGGAAGTGCGCAAGTGCAGCTAAAGGCTGCAGCAGCATCGCCACCTGAGGTACAACGGCAAGTGAAGCTCAGAGCAGCAGAAACTGCTGGAAGTATAATTGGAGCAGCAAATGCTGCGGACGAATGGGAGGGCCCTGACCTATTTCCTGCACCATCCTACAAACCAGACCGCAACAGGCCACCTGAAGAACAGCAGCAGCAGCAGAAACAGCAAGACCACCAGCAGCAAAGAAAGAATCTTAGAGGCGCAGTTAACCGACCCACGTCTTCCGTCTCCCGCGGGACGGAGTCCACCGGCGCCTCAGCAGCAGCATCAACAGCACCAGCAGCACCGGCGCAGGCAAGCAAAATAGCGTCGGCAGGAATGGCTGAAAGTGAATTTCTGCCCCGTCCGGCAAGCTGGGCAGATACAGAGTTGAAAATGCCCACCTCAGCAAGTGTGCTGCAAAGCATGCAGCAACAGAAGCTGCACAGACACCTGGAGGAGCCAGAACCACCAACTTTGCCGCTACTCGGCGGTGCCGCCGGCACAGCACAGCTTGAGCCCGGCTTTTCTTTCTCCCCTGCTGCTGCTGCTACTTCACAGGAAGCAGAGCACAGCTTTGGCCAATGCCGCGGTAGCGATAAGGAGAGTAACTCTAGCAACAGTAACCCTACAACCGTCCCAACGGGTGGTCACTGTGAGGCCTTATCTACCGGGCAAGCTGCTATGAATGTGCTTTCTGCCGCTACTTCTCCTGATGCTGCTGATGCGGTGCCTTGCATCGCAACTTCCACGGCAGACAAAGAAGCTGCGGAGGAGAGTCGAGACCAAGAAGGTCGCAAACAGGCGCAAAAACAGCATCAGCGTGCTGTTGGTAAGACAAATCCAACAATGGCTTCAGTGGTGTCAATGCAACAGGAGCCGAAACAGCTGTACCAGCAACAAAAGAAGCAATATCAGCAGCAGAGTCTCTGCGTTTCGCCAGTGTTAAAGGACGAGGCTCAGCAGGTGCACCTGCCGCCAAGCTGTGCGTCTAGCAGTCCTAGAGGCTATCATGCCGACCATTCTACTGCCGGCGCTTCCGCTGCTGTTGCTGCAGTGGAGATTGCTGCAACAGTGGTGGATGTTGCTGCTGCAACTGCGGCTGCCACAGTTGGGCCCCCAGCTGGAGCCCTTGTTTCCTCTGTGGCACAGAGCCTCAACGCCTTCCTTACTAAGGGACCTCCAGGATGCAGTATAAGGACGCCTCGTAGGCAGAAGCTGCAACAAAAGCAATTGCTTGAGCCGCAGCTGCATGAACAGCAGCATCAAGAGCAGCAGCTGCACCAGGTGCAGGCGCAGCAGCAGCACAAGACGCAGCTGCAGCGTGCCGCTTCGCTGCTACATAGCTTCAGCCACTCCCCGCACCAGTCGCAACAGCGCAGTGCCCAAGAAGAGCCGATGCACCCGTATTTCTTGCAGCGGCAGCAACTGCAGCACTTGGGCGTCCAGCAGGAGCTACTGGGGCAAACTGCGCCTTCCTCCTCCCCGTCCACAGCAAACTTGCATGCATACTGCGAGCTGCAGCAACCGACTGCATGCGGTCTGTACCAAAGGCAGCAACAGCAATACCAACTGCAACAGCAGCAGCATGAGCTCCTGCTGCAGCGACAGCACGTGCCAGCACCCCACGGGCCCCCGACTGGCACGTACGCCACCACAAGAGCAGAGTCCCCAAGAAGGCTTCAGCAGAGGTTTTTAACTTTTAGTAAACAGAAACAGCTGCAACAACAACAACAACAAAGGCACCAGCTGCTGCCGGGACAGACACAACAGCAACAAGAACACCAATCGCAGCAACAGCAGGACGTGCAGCCGCAGCTCCCGGTCGAGAAGCCTCGGACCTTTTTCGGCGTTCGCCTTTCTGCAGAAGCAGAAGCCGCTGCAGCGAATGCAGCAGGAGCAGCAGCAGCAGCAGCAGAAGCTCGTCCGATAAGCAGGCGTAGCAGCAGCCAGCCACTTTTTCCCGTATCCGTCAATGGACAGCAGCAGCAGCAGCAGGATTCACCAGAGGTTAAGTTGCCTGAAGCCAGCAGACAGCAGCACGTGCAACGGCAATGTGTCTTTGTGAATCCGGTGCATGAGGATCCTGTGGGCCAGAGATATGACCCCTGCAATAATACGTGTGCCGAAGGGCACTCCAACAGGGCAGTAGGAGCGTCCTTTACTTCTACTTTAGAAACGCCCACTCAGCCCTTCAAAGCGCTCGATGAAACCTTTTCTGAAGCCTCTGAATTGGCTCTTCCTGGTACACCCAAACGGGCTTCCAATGGAGATTCCAGCGCAGTTCCTATAGAAGTTCCTGTGGAGACCCCAACTGAAGAGCCATCTATGTCTCCAGTCGTTGCCTCTGCTATTTATGGTAATGGCTACAGCGTTTCAGCGTGTGACAAAAATTATTTGACTGCTGCTAGTGGACGGTTGTCTCCTGCCGGGAAGCAGGCTGCAGAGGCTTCTCGTCGCGCCATGTTGCTGCGAAAAAACTCGCAGGCTTCTTTGCTACAGATATGTGGAGCGGCTAATCAGGAGCAGCAGCAGCTGCAGGTGCCTGACAGGCAGTTGCAGCAGCAAGCACGCTGGGAGACTGGGGGCACTCATAATGTCCCTTTGGCAGCTGCAGCAGCAGCAGAAGCCTCAACGACGGTACCACAGCAGAAACAGGCAGCACTTCATGAGGCAAAGCCACACGAAGCGAGCATTGGCAGCACGCATGTATGTTCGGGTCTATCAACAGCAAGCAGCAGCAGCAGTATCAGCCGCAGCGCCCTTACCCCACAGCTGCCTCACCCCTCGCGCCGGGCCCCTTTCCGCTTGCAGCAGCCCACAACAGACACTGATTTAGCAGCAGCAGGGCCCTTTTCATCTCTATCACTATCACCATCCTCGTCATCGCAAGCGCCTTCTGGAGCTTCAGGAGTGGCAGGAGCAATAGGACCGTCAGGAGCAGCGACAGAGCGTCCTTCCACCCCAGTGCGCGCTGAGCGTTTGCGTAAGCACCTGGAGCAGTTGAAAGAGCGCGGGGAGCTGCGAGTGGACAATTTTCCTGCAGCGGAAGTGGCAGCACTGATACGGAACACAAAAGTGGAGAGGGAGGGCCCCTTTCAGGTGTACGTACTTGACAAAGAATGGAAGCTGGGCTGCAGCAAATTAGACAAGGAGTGGCCCCTCAAGATGCTGCAGAACACGAAGGAAGGGATTAAACTGCACAGAGAAATCAACAAGCTAATCGACATAGCCAAGCAAATACAGTTGCAGAAGCCGCAATCACACGGCTAATGAGCATACAGCACACGCCTACAAGGGCTGCTGATCCAGAATACGCGGCTTGTGGTGCTGCTGTAGCTGCAGAACTTGGTGGTGCTGAATAGGCAGAAATGATGATGCGACCAAATACCTTTGATCCCACTGCTCTGACAGCTGCAGCTGATGTTGCTGCTGTATGCTTTTCTTGCTGCATTTGCTGCTATTGCTCTTGGCGATTGCTGCAGCAGGCTGCTTTCGCCGCAGCTTTGATCTGTTGGATTCAATCCGTTTCAAAGGTGGTCAAGGATGAGCCGCTTACTTGAACTCTAAGCAGCCAGAAGCGGCAGAAAGGGCCGGAGCTCAAGTGGAAGCAGCAGCCGTAATGGGAGTTGTGCGCATCCCTCTTTTCCGGCCTTTATCGCAGTGTTTTTTCTTTGAGTATTTTTGTCCGTGCAGATTGCCGAACTTTTTCGCTTGTTTGTAGATTTGCCTTCTACCCAATTTTTTTTGCATTTGCTCAACTTTGCTTTAATGTACGCATTGGTAGCGTTATGCTATCGTTAATTTCCTGTCTTCCCGCTCTTCGTGGCCCTCTTTGCAGCGCTGCAGCTATTGCCGCCCCTCAGAAGCTTCCAGCTCCATGCCGTTGTTACTTTTGCTGCTACTGCCGACACGTTTGCGGTTATAGCCGATACTGATACTACTGCCATATCCACTGCGTCGGGCGCTGCTGTGGCTAACGGTAAAAGTTCACTTATTCTCTGGCTGTTTGACTCGTTGCCTCTCGTGTTGTTTAGGACAAAATTCGTGGCAATAAATTAACCTGAAGCTATGTTTGTTAAATTTAAATGGTCCCTTTGCCTGCTTGCCTTCTTGCCCACTCCTCTGTTTGACGGCACGCCCGGCACGCCCTTGTATATATGTTCGCTTTCCGGTATATGCGCTTATTTTTTCAGCTGCTTGCTTGCCTATTTATATAGATGGGTGATTTGTTTGTTGCTGTATCCCCTACATACGTAGGGACTCAGCGGCACTCACACATCAACAAGGCTGCAAGTGAACGCACAAACACAAGGGGGGCAAAGGAAAAGTACAAAGGGGTTGTTGCTAATTAGGATAGTAAAAGTTCTTAAATGAGAAATTTGACCCCACATAGCAGATAGCTCCGCTTTATCAGAGAATCCGGTCAAGATTCGCTCACTGTCCAGAAGACTTACGAACGTCACATACGATTCGTGGCTGACGCAGAAAATCATAGAAGCAATGCAGAGGCTATTTTACTCCTTCTGTAGTGTACACTTTGCTGTGCTGGATCTCGACTACCCAATTCTGTGTTCACATTTGTACTTGTTTCTGGTGTATTTGTTGGTCGAGGCTCTCTTGATTATTCACATTCTACTCGAGTTTTGCTATGTCTGTGCATTTGGATTTGTTCGTATCTATTTGATTTGATTATTTGCGCGTGTGCGTGTCTTTTGTGCTTTGTCTACCGCTAAAGTTATTCGCCGTTGTACTGCTGCCATTACTGCCTGCATCCATCACTCCCAGACAGTAGTTGTGAACAATCTACAGTGCACGAGCATTTCTATATATTTAGTCGGTAATGGTAGCTTTCCCCTGATAATTCATGTTGTTAACCCAAAGTCCGGAACTCTCCAGACTTCACACCCTCAGCCCTACGCTCCTCCGGCCCCATAACTGAGCCTTCGAGCCTGCACCCCTAGCTTTGAAACATAACCATATTTAAGCCTATGGAGAGTCCTGCACACGTTCTCCCAGAGACGTTCTAGGACGATCTCTGTGGTGCCCCTCGAGGGGCGCCTTGTGGTTCGCCACGTAGGTCCCCTCTTGGCGCCCCCATAGAGCAACTTTTGGTAGGCCCCCGCTGTGGCCCTTGGCCTTTTTGTTCACTTGTTGTTGTATGTTTTACCTTTTCCACTTCTAGATCTGCCTTTGAGAAGCACGCTGTTTGCAAAGAACTCTTTGAAGGTGGCTCGTACAATGACCCTTTCTGGGAGGCCTCATCGCGCGACGTTCCGTGAACAGAACTCTTAGTGTTGCTGCTTTTCCGGTCTGGAGACGAAGAGAAGGGAGTAGAGAGATAGCGAAAGAGGAAGAACAACAACTCCACGAATACTATGAGGCCGAACGAAAAAGCAACAGCAGCAGCAAAAGCACCTACGGGTTCTCTCGGCGAAAGAACATCCCCAGTATGGGGAGGAATCTTGCTCTGAAACACAATGAAATAGACCAAGAGATTGCACGCCCATTATGACTGCGCTGTGCAAGGTTTGACGCCGGATCTTGGGCTTCAGGGTTTAGGTTTTCAGGCCTGCATTGTAGGGCTTGTCTGACCGCAAACACTTTGATTGCGTGGTCAATATCGTGCATGGTCTGCTTAGAGAACCTGAAAGGTTCAACACCATGCTGGATTAACTTTTGTGCTTGTTGTGCAGGCAAAGAAGAGAAAGGGACAGAAACAGGCAGAGAAAGAGCAGCGTTGTAGCAGCCCGCCCACATCTGGTGAAATAGGCACACCAGCACGTCATCCTCCCTCATACCCTGAATGACAAGTACAATTATTTGTTCCACATTAGCCCTGAATCTACAAGCGGAAGACACATACGCAGCATGCTAACTAAGTCCTGCAAGACAGTGAGTTTCATCTCTTACCAACCATAGAAGCTGAGCTGTTGGAGTCTATGTACAAGAATAACCTTACAGAGGCACCCATATATTCCTGCTCATTTAAATTGCACTCAGGATTCACTTCTCTAAATTTGTGGACATAGGGCTTGGGTTTTGGGGACTTCGGTGCAACCATCAGGATGCTGGGCTGTGTGTGCGGGTCTCTAGCATAGGGTTTACGTGCTGAGGAGCTTTGTTCCTAGCTAGTTGCTGGAAGTTCGGTTTATGTTGTCCCATATATTCCTTAACAAGCTGAAGGCAGGAGAAGGCTTTTTCCTCTTTCTCCACATATGACAGGCGGAGCTCCTTCCTGAAGAAAAAGGAAAAAGTAGAAACTAAAATGCAGTGGCAAGCGTATGATTGATATTGTACATGTAGGGGTTTTGACTGACCCAGCACGCGGTATGGCTTGACTGCATAGGCTTTAGAATTTAGGGTAGTACAAAAGGCACAGGGGATTTAGGTATTGGGTGAATGGTCAAGTAAAAAATGCCAAATTTAGGGGTTTTACGTCTTTAAGCTTAGGGCTCATAGTTCTAAATTTAAAATTTACTCTATCCTTTCTTCTTCTCTCACTGGATGAGGCAAATCATTGCCAGGGTATAGAGCATAAAGGGCGCTGTCGAGCCTTGCTGCTTCTCGTTCGGATGAGTAAAGCGATTCAAGGAGGCTATTTTCTTCCATTTTAAGTAGATAAAAGGCAATTTCGACTAGTGTGCAGGCTTTAGGTTTCGTGGCTGCTGGGCTACGCCTTTAGTAACTGCTGCGCATTCTCATCAATAAACCCCATGGCAAGTCATGAACAGTTGGAGTACAGATAGAGCACCAAGGAAGGCCCGCTGACGCTGCGTGTGATTCCGGGGATGATCCTTATGCTGGTTCTGGTAGTAAATTTAGGGCATCAGCTGGAGCTAGTTTGCTTTTGCTGTTATTTTCACTCTTGCTGTTTGCTCCTGCTGCTGGTTTGTCGCGTTTGGTCCCTCTCTCAAACGACGCTGAAGATTAATTTGGAGGGACACAAAGCACAAGGAATAAAATCTAGAGTTTTTGATCAAATAAAAATGACAAATTTTAATCCCCAGGATCGGAATGTGGGCGGGAGATAGTGACAGCGGCTCGCTTGTCGGCTGCAGCCTTCGTCCGGTGACTCGCAATCTTGCAGCTAAAAACTGCAGAATTTCCATTGAAAAAAGCTCAAAAATAATCTATAAAGTATTTAAACTAAATATAAAGGGAAAATGTTAACAATGGGGGGATTCTGAATATCGCCTTGCTCCGAGACTTCGTCCTTCGTCCTTCTTCAGAGCGACAGCCGATCAGTTCATGAGTCGCTGATTTCACAAGTTAAACTGAACCAAGTCAGGCTCACGAAGAGACTAAACAAAGCTATTTATTTTATTCACCATTTTGCAAAGGCTGCTGTGAGTTTCCAGTTGGCACGTTGGAGTGCTTGCATGTGATGGATACCATGCTTGCATGTGACCTGTCTCTCCAAATCTTCTTCTCCAATCAAATAAAAAGCAATAACGCCCCATACAAACTTGAAAAACGCCCTCCAAATTGCTGTTTCACATCGGAGAGAGGGTACAACCGAAGAAATGGCGAGCAAACTGCATCGTCAGCAAACACCTCCTAAACCTTGGAGGATACTGCGCAAGTTATGATAAGCGAAGCCCAGCTTGATTCAAAAACATTTTCCCGTGTCCACACAACTTTGGTGTATTTCATGTCATCGTGCTGAGCTGCCTTGGTCTCTTGACTTAAACAAAAAGCACAACTTAAGCCTGGGATTTATAACGAGCAACAAAAAGTATTGCAGTCTTTTCGCGACCCTGGCCCAAAAGCGCGAAGAAAAATTCTGCTCAATATGAGCGCACGTTCGTCACCAAATCTTGGCCTTACGACTTGGCACACGGAGTTCAGAAGCTTCCAGGGCTCCGGCTTTTCCCGTGCTTACGCACATATATAGCTTAAACGTGGGTATGCTGTCTTGTTAACTACCCGGAACAACCTCCAAGCTTGATGCTTTTCTGCAGCCTATAGTGAACCTGTGTTTTAGGCTGCAGCTGCTGCTACTGCTGCTGTTGCTGCGGTTGCTGTTGCTGCTGCGGTTGCTGTTACTGCTGCGGCTGTTCTAGCTGCTGCCGTGGCTGTTATTGCTGCTGCGGAGCTTGCTTTTGCTGTTGTTGCTGCTGCTATTGCTGCTGTAGCTAATAATTCTGTTGGTGTAGGCTCTATTCTTGCTGCCGCTTTTGCTGTTCCTGTCAACTATTGTCGGCATTCCGCAAGCTTTAAGTCAGCACCCTTTACGGCTGTTTGCCACTACAGTCTGGGTTTGAGAGCGCTGCTCTGCTGCTGCGCCTTGTGATTTTTGGTTTCGGTGCCACATACTAAAATATGTAATTTAGAAAATGCGACTCCACGAAAAATTTTTAACGCCGCCGTAGAGTTGCTGGCAACGAAAAAGATGCGACAGGGCATTCTTAAATCAGGCTTGCTCTTGTGTTCCACAAACGCGGTTGACGAGGGATCTGGAGTTCCACATTAATCTAAAGTGCTGCATTTGGTTGTATTTCGTGCATAGGGAATGTGCTCTTGCAATAAATTGTCAAGATGATTTGAGTTCGTACAACCAACCTGCAAATGCTGTTCAATCTCCACATAAAACTTTGGCCACGAATATGGCTTGTGCTGCTTAGAACAAGGTTGTAAGAGGGCTCGTGCATAGTCTAGCGTTGTGGATGCTACCTGTTGCTGCAGCTACCGTTGCAGTTGTTGCCGCTGACATCATGTTAGTGCTAATGTGTCCGCTTCTGACTGCCCTGTGTGGTACTAAGCGCTGGCTGGAACCTCAGAACTTTCTAAAAGCCGGAGAATTCTGCTTTAAAAGTGCCTAAGAACGCTTAAAGAAACTCTTTGAGAGCTGCAAGCCGTTACCAGTCATGCAGGGAATGCCCGCAGCCCTGAAATGCAACTAGGTGGGGGGGCAGAAGATATGTATATGTAGACGTATGTAGTATTTAAAATGTTATAAATGCACTACGGTGCACATTCATGCTTCGTGATTCCGTAAATTGGACTCGAGTGTAGTCGACGTCATGGCATTTTGGGTGAACCGCTGTAGCACTATGCGCCGGATGTTCTTCCGGCCCCGTGGAGCACTACGTCATGCTTCGATTTGATTAAAAAAATATTTGCTAACACTGAATAATCAAGCGGTAATTTGGAGCCTAGTTAAGGCTGTCTGCATTTGTGCGATGCCGACACTTGGCCTTGAATATGGGCGAGATGAATAAGGCCGCAGCCTCTTTCAGGGCCAGATGCTCATTTAGGCCTTAACTAGCCGTTAAACTGTCATTAAGGTATTGTTAAGTTGTTCTGTGCTATTTTTAGAATCTATGAGCAGACATGGGCTATACCCCCAGCGGGCTAGAGACCCTGTCGATCCTACAGGCCAAATGTCCCCCCGCAGGCGTTGATATCGCACAAAACAGAGTTTTATAATCCTTAGTATGCCGCTACTATCTCCCGCGGACCTTCCGCTGCGTTATATTCCAGTCCTCTTTGCGTCATCCCTCTTCCGTATCTCGCTTGTCAGCTGAAGCAAAGTGCTCTCCAGACAAGACGGAAGTCAAGCAAGCCCAATGTATATATATATATTAGTAATACGCGATTACGTAGTTTAATTGATTAAAACACTTATGGACGAAACTTTCCCAGATTTCGAGTTTGGAGGCAACAGGCTACAAACAAGGTGACCCTGGAAAGCACCGGCAAAGCTGTGAGACGCCTTATTCCAAGCCACCAATGGACAAGAAAAGAATTAAACATAAAACAGATCAATGTTTCTGTGGACTTTTCAACGAGGGCCGCTGCGTCAGCTGTCTCCTGGCCGTTTTACACATTTTCTCCCATTCCACCAGTTCCTTTCCGTACATATGGTTTGAAACAAATAACGTAGGAAGTTCATGAGCCAATCAACTATTCGTAAATTTGCTTCTAAGTCCTTCTGCATTTGTACGCTCTCTTCCCGCAATATAGGTTGAAGTAGGCTTCAATCTCCATTGCTCGCCATGGTGTCTGTCCACCTTGCATGTCTTTGGAATGTTTGGGCCTTGATTGCTGTCACCGTGTTTATTTGTATTCTCAATTATGTGTCAGAACTACATAAATCTTGACTTATAAGTAGAGCAAGAAACCCTTTCAGGGTCTACTCAGCTGAATTTCCCTCCTTTCGTCGCACCGTTGCCCCCCTTTTGGTGTTTGTACAGGATGGTGTTACTGCACGTGAAGACAGCAGACGACTCAAACCAGTTTTTGTTCGAAGTAGAAACAAAGGAAAAAGTTAAAGACATAATTCATGCGTTGACTTCTTTGCACCTCAAGAGAATACAAACACTAAAACTTGCAGACGCAGCAGAGGCTCTCGCCACCTATGGGCCCCTTAGGCCCGAAGAGACGCGAGGGCTCACTGAGGAAGTCCGTTGCAGGCTAGTTTCTCAGCTACCTTGATATGGATGTCTCCTTTTCTGTCTTCCTCATCGTCTATCCATTTTTTGTCCTGCAGGGCCTTCGTGTGTCTACCATGTCTTGACCTCCCTGAAGCCCCTACTCCCTAGCACTTCGTCGATTAGACTTAAGGCTTTGGGGCTCAGGGTTCAGGATTAAAGATCTAGAGCTCAAGTTTTGTGTCCTATGCATAGGTAGCCCGCCTATCAAACTTAAATGTGTACCCCGACGGCCCCCCTACAAATCCAGACCCGCATTTTTACCGTACAGGACATCCACCGCCGGAGGAAACAAAAAACGTAATTCTCAGAGCGGTTGAAGAAACTAAGGAGGCACTTTCCCACAAGCAGGTACAACAAACGTCACCAGCAGCTACAACGGCACGTACAGTAGCATCGGCAGCAGAAACAGGAAAAACGGTAGTTACTGCGGTGGCAGCAGAAGCAGCGTGGTTAGCAATAGAAACCGCTACAGTATCAGCAACGGCAGCAGCAGCAACAGCTGTGCGTGCGCTTTTAGCTTGATGCTATGGTAGAAGTAGGGGACAGGACAGCAAGTGACACGAAAAAAGGTAAGATACAGAATACCAGCGAAAGGGAGACAAGGACATAAAGAGAGACAGGCACACAGAGGCAAAATGAGCGACAAAAAAATCAAGCAAAAGAAAGCACACAATCAGATACGAGTTTTAGTGAGGGGCAGGGAGTGGTAAGAACAGGAGCGGCAAATCAAGGAGGTATACACACAAACGAGGAACTAATTGGAGCGACAGAAACGAGAGGCAAATACAAGGAACACAAAGGAGCCAGCATAATAAAAGGCAAATGTGACTATCTGTGCAAAAGACAGACATACAAGATGGTCATACGAAGTTAACAGGGCGAACGGACAGAAACACATGTGCAGCATCGCACAAAGGAAGACACACAAATGCAAACAAATGAAACGAACAGAAGAGCTAACGAACAAACAAACACACATTGAAACAGCCGAAAACCAAAACACATAGAGGACAAGTAATCAAATAAATGGGCTGGCCAACGGCGGATGATAAACAGCAGTGAAGACAAAGCACACAGCAAACACATAGGAAGACGACCCACCAATCACAAGGGCTCAGTTGGAAACATAAAACGCCAACCCTATCCTTACATTAAACCCTGCAACATGTTATTTAAAGATAGGCTACTCTCACTTTTAGCGGACCATAGTAACACAGAAAAGAAGCTGCTCTTTTCCCAGTGTTCTGCCCCCTACTATAGAAAGTTTGAAGTATGCGGCTTACGTTTTACTGGAGTTTAGCATTGCCTGTGCATTAATGTATTTACGTGCATTGCTTCGCCATCAAATTTTAAAATTCGAATGTGTGGGCCTATGTGACGAGGCTTCAGGCTGTAGGCTGCAGGAGTAAAGACGTAAGATCTGCATATGATGAGTGTGCAGGTGCTGTTGAAGACCTGTCTGAGCTTGCAAACAGTTGAAGAAAAATTGAACACGCTAAAGGGCGCTGTGCAAATCGCCTATCCCGCATTCCACGGCTTGCCTCCCTATGAACCCACCAGACTGATTATTGAGGGAAAAGAAATAAATGATTCGCAGGACATCTCCCATGTATCAAACACAGCTGCTACTGATGGTGAAGGAACTGCTGCTGCTGTTGGGGTTATGGTGCTGCTGCTGGTGCAAGCTGGTGCTGCTTTGACGTTGCTGCTGGGTTGATGCCGGCGAGAGTTGTTGCTGCTAATACTGCTGCTGAGGCGTTTTTGCTGATTCTACAGAGCATAACTGTGGAGAACGCGTGCCTGTGGTGGACGGGGAAGCAGCTCCAGCAGGAAGAGCTTCTGAGTAAATATCTAGGGACAAATGAGAAGACAAAGACTGTCGTCAGGCTGCAACCAAAAAGTGCAGGCAAGCGTCAACCTCTAATCCCTAGCTTCTGAGGGCTAGACCTATATGCGTGAAGCCCTAGTGTTAATCCCTAAACCCTGAACTGAGGCTTGCATTCGTGGGGCTTGGGGTAGATATTAAATCTGGGACAGGTTTGGCGTCATAGCTTTAATTGCGTCACTTAATGTTTCTGCTTCCCTACAATGAGTATGTGGGTGGCGCTGCCTTCGGTGATCTGCCTGCTGCTACTCCTGCGGATGCTTCTGCCCACTACTTCTTTGGTGCCGCTGCTGTTGCTGTTGCTGGTTACTGCAGGCCCCCCTGTGCGTGAGCCTCGTATGGACGCGGAGACGCACAAAGCAGTGTTGGCTTACTGCCATAAAAAGAGACAAGAAGAAAAGGTAACCTTAAATAAATACATAGCCTAATAAGTAGATAAGTGGTGATTAGTGTACTTGTAAGTAATGGCCAATGAATAGATACGCTATGTGCGGGCTGGCCGCTTTATCAGGAACCAAATGGCTGCAGATAAAGCAGTCAGCCAGCATGTCACAGTCCTTGATTACCTGGTGTATTTCCCGCAGTCACTAAGGGACTGTTTGAGGGGCATATGATCAATTACATCCTTTAAGTCATTTTAATTGGTATTTTTTATTGATTAGGTATTGGACGAAGACGACGATGACTCGTATTTATTTTCTCCTTGGGCGAACCCGAAGGCGCTGAAGGAATCCCTGTTGGGCATGAGTGGCCAAGTCAAGTGGCGGGCATGACACTTGTAAACTGGCATTCAATTAAACGCTAAAACAGGGACAAACTGATCGATGAAGAGTAACCAAAACATGGCGTGGAAGGCTGGAATTCATTTTGGCGGGAATATGTTGAGCCAACAATAAAAAGTGAAACAGCAGCGATTGAAGCAGCACAAAACCTCCGCTGCGCCAGCGACAACAGCAGAAATAGCGGGCTGCCCGTAGTACAAGAGCGGAAACTCACAGCATCGTTAGAACGAACGAAAGGCACTTCATCGAAGGAGTTACAGCAGCAGCGAGAGCCACCTGCACTGCTGCTGTTGCTGCTGCACTACTTTGCCGCAGCATTCAGACAAACAGATGTAGACGGAGAGGGTGAAAGTGCTGCTGCATCAAAAACTGGAACAGCAACAGCAAGACGAAATGCGCTCCTCTGCACATGAAACGAAACATGAAACGTTACGGCAAGAAGGAAAATAGCTGCAGCAAAAGTTACCGCAGCAGCAGCAGCAGAAGATGAAGCGGAAGCTGCCGCAGAAGCTGCCGCTGATGCGGATCTGTGGTAGCCTGTGCTTTGTTGCTGCTGCATGGCTGACCGGAGTTGGCAACAGAAGTATATAGAAGCACGGCTTTTTTTAGCGCTCAGCCAGTTTATGATTTAGCAAACTGACTATCTAGTAACATACACAACTTGTTGCTTGTTTATAAATATTTTGGGCTACTCAGCGGGGCGGCTCCTCTGTTCTTTTTCTTTTCTCTTTGCCGTCTCCTGTATGTCTTCGCTGCTGCCTTCCCAACAAAAAACAAAAAGCAGAAGATTAAGAATATAAAGGAAATGCTAAACCACCAGCTCTTTCGCCAGTCTGCAGCCTCCCAATACGCAGCGGAGCGACCTTCCTGAAACAAAAACTGTGAACTCTAAACCCTGAACCCTTAAACCTCATGTTCCGACCTTCATGTCCACACGCCAAGAAGGAGTGGAACAGACTGTACATCACCTGCCCGCCCTCTATGCAACAAACCCTGAAATCTACGTCATGTAAACCTGCTAAATAGAGGCCTCTACAGATCCTAGACTCAAACCCTGAAGCCTTACGGCTTTAACCCCAAACCCTTATCCCTGATTCCGGCTGACCGCAAACAGCTTGATCATTTTGTCGATTTCCTCCAATGTCTGCTCCTTAAACCTGAAGGGCTCATTTTTATGCCGAATCAGCCGTTGCACTTGCTCGCGAGAGAGAGAAGACAACGAGGTAGAGGCAGGCAAAGACAACGCAGAGCTGTAGCAGCCAGCCCAGATGTGGTGAAATAAACACACCAGCACATCACTTCCCCTCATGCCCTGGATCGCACACAGCAGCCGTGAGCCCTAAACCTGAGCCTCAAGCCCTGGTAAAAAGCATTCTGCATAATCCTTTTAATGACACGACAGCAAACAAATAAAAAGAAGACGGTTTTGACAAAAGCAAGAGAACAAGGAAAAAACAGAGGTTCTGAAGGGCACACAGAAGAGAGAACGGAGGCACAGAAAAGAGACACAAAAGGAAAGACAAAGAGACGATGGGGCTGAGAAGCTGAGCAACGGAAACACACAGACGCAAGTACGAGAATAGATGCAGAATGAGGCGACACACACAGAAAGAAGACACGAAAGGGAGATGAAGCAAACAGTCAAAACATACATTCTGCGCAGCAACAGGCGGTATTATCTGTCGAATCATTCCAATTTTGTCTTTGATTTCGGCATCCGTCAAAGTGAGACAAAACAAAGCCCAGTCCATGCTGTCATGCCGATGCGCCTTCTCCCTGAAACGCACAGGCAGCGAGCCAGCCAGAAAAATAGATGAAGTGTACGAACGGCAAATTAGTGGAGAGGCAACTCCTAAAACTACGCAAAAAACTGGCAGCTACAGCTTCCAAGCCCTCATCCATTCGTTTTGTGTCCCTCTCTCTCCCTGCTTGTCTCAGCTACTCGGATGGTCTTTGTCGATTTGTTTGTCTAAGCCTGTGCATATGAGCTGCCAGCCTTCGTGTCCGTTTGTTTGTCTTTGTTGGTCTCGTTCCCCTTTGGCTAATCCTTGGCGTGCTATCTCTCTTGATACAGTCACCACACAGACCAACACCACTGTTATTACTAGTTTGACTGTCTTCTCTTGTGCTGCTGCAGTTGGCGTTGCTGCTGTTGCTCACTGTGCGGACAGAGGGGGAAATACGGTGGGTTCCGCATTTGGCTTTAGGGAACGCAGAATCGTGTTCAACTGCTCCGAAAAGTCGCGCAGTAGCACGTTGCTGCTGCTGCTGCTGTTGCTGATGCTGCTGTTGTTGCTGATGCTGCTGCTGTTGCTGCTGTTCTTGTAGCTGCTGCTGCCGTCGACGTGGTAGGTACTTCTACTGCTGCTGTGGGCAGGGATGCTGTGGTTTGCAGCCTGGTCGAGAGCACTAGCATCAGAAGCTTTTGCCACACGAGAAAGGAGAAAGAGCTGCAGCAGCAGCAGCAGCAGAGAGCGCTGCCGAAATAGCGGACTGGGGCTGCAGCAGCGGGAGCCGCCGGGATGCCCGCCTCCCATGTTTGCAGTCGTTGCTGACCTTCCAGTGTGCTGAATTAATGCTGCACGTATTTAAGTTGATGAGAATGCTGCTGCTGCTGCAGTTAGTGCTGTGTTTCAGTTGTTGCGCTGTCTTGTCGGCTGCGGACCGACGCTGTAGCAGTATCTGCCTTCAAGGCAAGCCGCCTGTCCTCATGCAATTTTTCTAGATCAGAAGTCCGTTACTGCTGCAGTTGTCGCTGTTTCTCTCGTAGTTGCAATTGCGGCAGCAGCAGCAGCTGCTGCTGCTGCCGCTGCTGCTGCCCACACGACACGTCGGCAAGAGGCCTGCCGCAGCAGCAGGTGTCGTTGCTATTGCTAACAGCTCAACCTCAGAAGGAATTAAAATAATATATTAACTTCGCTGCTGCTGTCTGCACGATCGTCAGCAGCTGTAGCTGCAGCCGACTGGAGGCCCTGGGGGCCCACGAGACAGTGACAGCAGCAGCGGCTGCTGCTGCTGTTGTAGCCGCAGCTGCAGCTGCAGCATGTGTTTTCATTTTCTTGGCCTTTCATGTTTTTATGCTGCTATTTTTTTAATGTTCCAGTGAGTCGGAGCTCTCGCGCGTCGCTGCTGCCGTATCCGCCGCCGCCGCCGGAGCAAGAGCAATAGCAGTAGTAGCATTAATTGCAGAGGAGTTGATGCTATATCTGGCAAGATTGGAGGTGGTCTTGAGGAGTTTTGACGTTGAAGAGGCGCGCAGAAGCTGCGGAACGGCTGCAGTAACAGCAGGAGCTACAGCAGGTTGAGCAGCTGCCGCAGCAGCAGAAGCGGCAGCACGGGCAACAGCAACCGTGACAAGAGCAGTAGTGATATCGAGGGCAAGAGTCTGTCTCTGATGCCGTTGCAGCCGCAGACACGGTGGCTACTGGAGGCGTTGCTGCGGTTGCCGGTGAGAGGAAGGCACAGACCGCGCAACTCCTGCATGGCTATCTCTTCGCTGACTCCTGCATGGCTACCTCTTTGCTGCAGCGAAAGTGCCAGCAGCCGCAAGTGCTGCAGCAGCGGCAGCGAAGTGCAGATCGTTGACGGGACAGCCTTACATTCCAGTTTCTGGGTGTCGCTGCCACGGTAGCAACCGCAGGAGCAGCGGCGGCAACAGGAACAGGAACAGCAACAGCAGCAGCGGAGTTGCAGGCGTCTGCGCTTTGGCTGTTTCTGCCCAAAATCAGGTGCAGGAGCACTTTCAATAAGAGTGGCACGAGCAACAGCAGCAGCAGCACGAGAAGCAAGAATGGAGTCAGGCACTGCGCCACCACTTGCTGCAGCAGTTGAAGCGCTGCGTCTGCTCGCTGCACTGCCTGCTGCTGCTAACAGTCGACAGGACCTTGCAAAGCAGCAGCTTCTGCGCCGCATAGAGCTCTTGCTGCTACAGCGTCAGCTGCAGAATCAGCAGCAGCAGCAAAAGTGCCAGTGGGTGGGTTGGCCGCAGCATCAGAAATGTGACGAGCAGCAATATGGGCAGCGGTACGAGAAGCAGCAAAAGCGCGAAATCCACGAACAGCAAGTGCAGCAGGAGCATAAGCAGGAATGGGCCTCGCACTGGGAAGATGATGCGGCGGCGGAGGCGGAAGCGTTGGAGGAGCTTGAAGAGTCGCTCCTGCTGCTGTGTTGCCAGCAGCCTCCTACAGCCCTGCAGCTGCAGCTGACGCGGCTGCTGCTGCTGCATCTGCAGCGGAAAAATGATTGCGAAGTGTGGCATCATGTTGCTGCCCGGCTGTTGGCAGCAGCAGCTGACGGACTGCACCTGCCGGCAGCGGTTTCTTCCGCCCTTGCTGCGGCTGCTGCAGCTCCACCAACGACAGGACGAACAGCAGCAGGAACTGCAGCTGCTGCAGGCATCCGAAGCAAGGTTCTGTCTCCCTTGCCTCCCCTTTTGATTTGTGGGCAGCTGATAAAGGCCTGCCCACAGGTGTTATCTCCTCTACTGCCGCTGCTCGTTGCTATCAGTTCGAAGTTGCTGCAACAGCCAGCTGGTGCAGCAGCAGCGACGCCAACAGCAACGACCGTATCAACAGCAACAGCAGTTGCGAAGGCCCTGAGGACAGCAGTTGCAGCAACAGGGGCGTGCGGAGAAACCCTGGCTGGAAAGCTTTTCGCACTAACCTTGACATGTCTCCGCTGCAGCAGCATCAAGGGCAGCAACAACAGAAACAAGAGCAGCAGCAAGTATATCAGCAGCGCTGCTGCTGCTGAAGCCACGAGAGAAGCACTGCTGCTGCTGCAGCAAGTCGTGTGGGCCTTCCCTCGAGGTGTTGCTGCGCCTGTTGGGGATTCTTTGTTCGCTGCTGTTCTTGCAGCCGCAGCACCGGAGCCTACCACTGCCGTATCTGCGGCTGACGTTGCTGCAGAGGAGGAAGAGGACTCACTTGAAGCAGCTCAGGAAAACGTGCCGCATGCAGCAGCAGCACTTGCGGTCCTCCTAGCGGCCAAAG